CGAGGTGTAAATTGCCAGACTTTTAACTAACTCAAAAATCTCTAATTTAATTTCCAGACTTTTGACTCGTATAGAGAATTGAACTCAAGGTTTTCCGAAATGAATCCTGATTACCTGACAGTTGCGAACAAGATCTCCGTTTCGAACCAGTACACCTTGAATGAGATGTTCGCTGCATCTGCTAGAGCCTACCGCAGTGAGTTCGACTCCGTTGACTTCACTAAGCCTGAAGAAGCGGCCGCTGCAATAAACAAATGGGTATGTCAAGTCATCATGATTTGAACGTTTAACATGATTTAAAGAGTAATTTCGGAGGGGTATAGCTTTTGCTCTAGCTGCGACGAAAGATGCGGAAATGTCACACCCTGTCGATCATGACACGAGATGTTATATGGTCGACATCTGTGTTGACAGATATCTGTTTGGATCTCTAAGAAGGGTTTTGGGTTTAACCTAACAACGAAGTCCCAGAAGAAAAGCAATGAAGATTTTCCGTCGCTTCTCGGTTGCAGGCGTTCAGGTCACTAATTTGAAAGAACTTTGCCTTCGTGATGTCTTAACACCAGAATATAATAATGATAAGAGATGCAATAAAGTTCAAAGAAACACTACAACACCATGTTTTATGAATGTTTTTTTTACTTATTTTGACATTTGACAGGCTGCTGAAAAGACGAAGGGTCACATCACAGAGCCAGTTAGCAAAGACGCTTTAACTCCTGATGTAGTTGCAGCACTTCTTAACGTGATATACTTTAATGTGAGTATTGTTCTATCACGTGTGATACTGATTAATATATCTGCCAAACTCAAATGTTGCAGTACCTAAGTACGACCGTACATAAAATGGTCATACATAGAAAATACATGTAAAAGGTACAACACAATTTACCTAATTTAAGGGTTTTTAAAACTAAGACAGATCTTAATATTTTGCTGCAAATTATTATTATTTTTGCAAACATTATACCAGTACGTTATTCACATGGCAATACATCATGCATTTAACCGAAGTTATCAAAATATTCTATGTATTTAAATTTCTATGTATGTGATTGTCTTTTTTTAAGATCTTCTTGTCTGTTAAGTATTTAAACAGTTTAAAACGAGATTTTGTTTGCCTGTTGTTGGGTATTTGGTGTTGTAACAATTTTAGATGTCCGAGTAAAGTATATTATATTCTCTTACAAACCTAAAGCACTTGTATAATAGTTCTGTGCTCTCGTACTGTCAAAAAAGCTATAAAATCAAAATATACTTAATACAATATTTCATTACTAGGGCCACTGGCACGTTCCGTTCAAAGCAGAAGAGACAAAGGAGAAAGACTTCCACGTGAGCCGAGACAGTGTCGTTAAAAAACCCATGATGCATTTGTTGCAATCACTGTACTACACAGAGAGCGAACAACTTGGAGCTAAGGTAAGAAGTATACTGCCAAATACTTGGCTATTAAATAAAGTATTCCATAAAATCACTTTCACACGTTATTTCCAAACTAAATTTAACTGAAATTGAGATTGATGATCTAAATAAATAGGACAAAAAAACAAGAAAAAAATTCCATTCTAAATAACTTGTTGGTTGTGATTAATTATTTTTGTTCTCCCATAGATGATAGAGCTTCCGTACAAGGAGACAGGTTTCCGCATGGTAGTGGTGCTCCCGAACGAAGTGGACGGCCTGCCGTCGGTGCTGGAGAAGGCGGCGGAGAAGGGACTCCTCTCGGACGTGTTCAGGTTGAATCCGGCTGGTAGCGACGTAGATCTGGATATGCCCAAGTTTGACATCAGGACTAAGATAGACTTCAACGATATTTTACCGAAGGTATAACCTTATTTATTATGCCCAGGATTTTTAGGAAAAAGACTGTTAGTGAATTAGGACACACATTACGTGCCAACATTTCAAACTAAGCTCGAACTAATACTCGTGTTAGCTCTAAATTTGCCTTGTCAGTGTGATCGCATGCTTTAACCGTTACCCAACCGTCCCTTAAAGGATACTAAATGTGATCCTTAATATATGAACCTTACCTGATGATATTACAATATCTCTGATCTCAAACTTGAAAGAGTATTTATATAAGCTACTCACCAATTCACAACAAGCCGTGAGCTATTTTGACCCCGTCCTCTGTTGGAATCAGTCGAGTAGAAGAAAAAAAAAGAAGGAGATTCAGTAGGTATTTATACCTGTCGTTTTTCAGGTCGGCGTAAGTGAACTTTTCAGAGAGGGTGCACCAGGTATTGTGAAAGGTGCTTTAGTCAAGGTGTCGAAGGCATTCCAGGAAGCTTTCATCAAAGTGGACGAAGAAGGAGCCACAGCGGGGGCATTCACTGGTTTGTTTTTTTTTTTAATATTTAAATACCTGGATTACATGACTGAAGGGTTACTTAGAACACAGGTTTTGTACCTATAGAGTAGTTGGAAACTCACAATAAGGTTTTTTGCTTGGAACTAGCGAAACGCCAAACAGGCATCTCTTGCTTCGTATATTTCTCTTTAATGCAATTATTTCGCTGCGTTTCACCGATTTTACCAAAGGCCCAATGCTCGCTCACTGCCCCCCTCCTAACTTAAAAGGCTTCTTTAACTCAAAGGACGGTGACACAACTTGTGATTCTTTGAGTTATCTATGAGCAGTGGTAGGCGGTTTAATCAACAATGCAGATAGTTATAGAATAAGTTAAGAAATTGTCGTGTAAAATCGTAAGAAATACCAAACTATTTACTGCATAAAAGTTGAAATCCTACTCACAATTTTCCACGATGTTGTTTGTGTTAACGCAGCACGTCTGATTCAATAGCAAGTAAAATTATAACATATATTTATATATTTTGTACTAAATCTGGTATAAAATATTTTTCATGTAATAAGCAGATGATTGAAGATCATTTCTAATCGTATCCTCTACTATATTTGTAACTTACTGAATATTTTTTCCACAGCGCTCGTTCTTAATAAAAAGTCATTCCGTGCTAAGCGGCCAGCAATCAAATTCACAGTTGATCATCCATTCCTGTACGCGATACTTTACGAGGACAAAGTTCTTTTCGCAGGGACCTACTCGGCCTAAATAATACTGTCAAAATGACTATTAATTTAATTGGTTGTATACTTCTAAGCCGCTGATGGAATTTCATTTATAACATTGAATGCCAAATATTTGTTTTATTGCACGTTTAGTAATTGTATATACAACGATTTGGTGAACCGTGATGAACTGAAGCCTGGTATCAGAAAACCATTAGGTCAATTCTTTTTTTTCAGGTTTGATTATGGTGCCAATGTCATCCAATGCAACACCTCCACCACCGATGAAGTTCACAGTGGACCATCCGTTCCTGTACGCGATCCTGTTCGAAGACAAAATCCTGTTCGCGGGCACATATTCAGTTTAATATTGTTATTGTAAACCGAAACAATTGTAATTTAATTATTGGATTATAAATGAATTACAACATTTGATGTTTTCCATTTGTTTTATTGAACGACTGAATATTGCCTGAATCCTGAACAAAATAATTACTCGAGATATCTCACACACGGTCGTCTGATTCGAAATCAAGCAGTGCCTATGTCATAATAATCAGACTACTGAGAAACACACTTATTCATTTCTAAATATATGTATATACTAGCTGAGACCCGCGGTGTTACCCGCGTTGGTTGTTATAACCGCGGGCAACGCCGCGGGGCGAAGCTAGTCTAAAAAAAGTAGCCTAAGTTACTCCTTATGTCATCAGCTATCTGCCAGTGAAAGTCCCGTCGAAATCGGTCCAGCCGTTCCAGAGATTACCCGGAACAAACAGACAGACAGACAGACAGAACAGACAGACAGAGAGAAAGTGTTATTTTGGCATATGTACCGTGTAAACATACATATGCATTTAGTAACAAGCGGTTATTTTAATATTACAAACAGACACTCCAATTTTATTTATTTGTATAGATATCTATTCTAACTTTATGATGCTCGAACAGTTTATTTGGTTGGACGCGCTAATCTAGTGAATGAAAATTTTGGTTCTCAGGCAGCAGGAAATGTTATAATGCTATATAAATCAGAAACTCTTTAATTTTGAAATAACGGTAGATGGTGATCTTTGAAAGAATAAGCTTTCTTAACAGTGGCAGTAAGATTCTTCTCTTCTTCTTACATTTTCTTTCCTTCCTGAAGTTTGGCCGAGAGCTTCTTCTTTGTTCATGGCCAAGATCAAGATGAATAAATGTTTAAAGAGTGGAGGATAGTAGATTTTATTACAGAATTGTGATCTCACATTTAGGGTCTCAATCGTAAAGTAGACTATCTAAATCACGTGAGGAGTAATTTCAGAAGAATAACTGATTCTAAAATAAACCAAAATAATGCGTCTTACAGAGGCCAGATTTGAATTATTGCCATTATTTAAAATTATAAATATTGCTATAGACAAAATACTAAATTTCTGTTTGTAATTAGAATAATTACGTCGTTAGGAATTACAAAATTAAAATCAATGTTTTTATGGTGCAAAAACTATTTTAATCATGATAAATTCAAAATTGTACCCAAAGTTTCGAAATTTTGTACATTTACTTTTTGGTTAATCCGGTTACCTAGTAAAACTATCATTTGTCTCGTCTTATGCACTGAGAACATGACAATATCTATCTAAGTAATATATAAAATTCTCGTGTCGTGGTGTTTGTTACCAAACTCCTCCGAAACAGCTATACCGATTTTTATGAAATTTTGTGTGCATATCGGGTAGGTCTGAGATTCGGCCAACATCTATTTTTCATACCCCTGAATGATAACGGTGACCCACCCCTAAATATTTATTTTTTATTTTTTGTCAATTTCCTAGAAATAATGTATATGGCAAAACAACGTTTGCCGGGTCAGCTGTGGTAGGTATATAAAGAAAAGTTATGAGACTCTTTTATCAGTAGCGGGCTGAAGGTCGCAACTCAGTGCTCTGTTCAGTGTTAGAAGAGACATACAACCGACAACATGCACAAACTACTCATTCTTGCCGGTACGTATCTTGTTTTAACAAATTAAGCGAATATTCCTTCTTTTTAATCCATAATTCTTCTGCAAAGTTGTTGTCCTACAGAAATATGATTAAGAGTTGTTATTTTCTTATAATACTATGTTATTTAATTGAATTTCGTGACATAATGGCAAAGATTTTAGTATATTAAAAGTTTGTTTTTAAAGATTTTTATGTTCTAAATAAGAACAACCTTTTATCTAAGTAGGTTACGATAGTACAAAATTGACTGCACAAATCGTAATTAGAACGATATAATCTATAACCATTTAACTATAAACTACACATATATAAAGATATACATATGTGTATGGGTGTACTTTGTGTCCGTTTCATGTATGTTTGTAAAATCCCCCGCGACACAGGATTTATTCCTAGTGCGGGAGTTGTCTCTTTAAAAAAAAAAGGTATATAAGTATTTATGTAAATATTTCTGTAACTCTTTTTGTGGGATAAACGTTAGATATTATTATATACATAATATGTATACCTATACATGTATGAAAAATAGATTCTTTATGTTAAATTTATTTATCGGAATAAAATAGAATAGGTATAATAAAGTTATTGTAGATCGCTATGATGTAGATTCTACGAACAATTATATTCGTAGTGCAGATTATATGGATTATGGATAATTATTATATACCTATTATATTACGAAGTCGGTAAATACCTAAATTTGTAGGTGGATAGAGGTGGACTAAGAGGGGGCAATAACATAATGTTAAAGGACTTTGGTTTTAGAACAAAACGGCTCATCTCGCCGGATAGGTTATATAGTTAATTCGGATAAATTATTAACAACACTTATAGAGTTATATTGTTAACGACTTTATTAGTTATTTATTCGAGGGTGTTATTCGTTGTGAAACATTCAGATTAAATGACTTGATGATACAAAAAAATTGTTCTTTTATACATCCATACTTACACTATAAATGAAAAAGCGAGTATGTTTGTTTGTCACGCTTTCACGCCTAAAACACTAAAACGATTTTCAAAATTCGTTCACAAATGGAAAGCTACATGGTCATGGAGTTACATGGGCTACTTTTTGTAAAAAGTTTAGCTTTAGAAGCTATGTTGTAGCTTCTAAAGCTAGCTAAGTAAACTTGTATACAACGTGTGTTTTTTCTTTTGACGAATCTGTAAACCACATATTCTGCACTTTATAAATATCAACAAACAACATTCAGTGGTTTAGAAACAAGACAATTTTTTGTTTTTCGTAATTCGAACACATATGCTGACTCGTCCTTTTTTTTTGTTGACGCGGTGGAAAATCCCTTTGGATCTCCGGCTCCTTGGGGATGTAGGAGCCAGGAATATGTGGTATTTCCACTAAAAACCACCCTGACGGTCGGACTCAGGCGCCCTACTGCGAGGAGGTCCCGGACCATGTTAGTTCAATCCTTATGATAATATGTTGCGGCCCGATCGCATTTTTGCGACCAGGCCGCCATCCTATCGCCTACCGCGGCAGTTAATCTACCACCAGAGGTTCCCACTCTCTAGCAGCCTGCGGCCCCGTCGACGGCTGCTAGCGCCGCCGACGTCCTCTACGCTCGGGATCGGCCCTCTCCCGATCCCGTTCAGCGGTCTCTTTCTGTAGCAGTACAGCTTCACAGAAAGAGACCACTGTGCCCCATCCATCCTCACTCGCCAGCATGGCAGCAATGATTGCTGGCGGGGAATGCTGACTCGTCCTAACACGTCTGCATTATGTATCCCACCTCTAAGTACCCTGAACAGGTACGAGACGAGTGTGGGTTCCCTTCTGCCCCTCAGTTCGTTGTTCGTTTTGTTCTCTCTTGGTTATATCTGTATGGTTGCAGGTGTCCATGAGCGACAGTTGCCATCAGGTTATCCGAGAAGGGTCATCATAAAAAAAACAATAGAAAATTTATAACTTCTGCGGTGTATAATATGACTCATAAGTATATCTACAAGTAAAAGTATAAAATGATTAAAATATGTATTGTTTTTTTTCTTCAGTATTGTATTGCGCCTGCTTTGCTGCGGCAAGATTTCATTTTTATGACAGAACATTTCTAGGCAACAGAATTGATTTATCAACGATGAAAGTTCTCAAGGTAGGTTGACAATTTGTTTTAGTATTAACTATCTCAATAAGATATAAAAATTAACTGTACACCTCCTTTTTTTTCCGTTCCGAAATCCCCTCGAATACCACCTATCGGTGGCATGTCGGACTCGAACCGACTAAAGCCGCACGCCGTCTCGGGTACTAATAGCCGGGGAACCAGGTATACCCTAGAAAGGAAGTCTCTGGTGCCCCGACATACCTCGGGCCATCTACAGACGAGTAGACGACCCCCCCGTGTGGGAATCCCATGTTCCCTCTGCTCCCTGAAACCGCGGCCTGCTTCTGCTAGGGTGACAGATGGCCTCACCTGTCACCCCCAGGCCTGCGCTTATGGAGGACGGAGGTCGTTCTGCGACCTCCGGCGCCTGAGTCGCCTGCGGTACCTAGCCCGTTCCCGGGTCTGGCGGGCCGGGAGAGTTCTAAACCTCTCCCGGTCCCGCTCCACAGTCAATCCTATTAGTTCCTTTTTAGCGCACAATGAAGTTTCTTCAGAATATTCCTGGCTCTATAATCTCGTGAAGAAGATATAACAAGAATTGTTTTTTTTGCGTATTACATAACTGACTTCTAAAATCTAAGTGTAGGTCTACCCAGTTCATGACTATGACCGTATTGAAAAAAACTCAAGAAAAACTTACCTAGATAATACTATTATTATGATTTCAGGAAACTTACGAGAACGCAGTAGACAAGAACATAGTATCCTCGCCCCTGGGTGTCATGATGTTACTCTCGATTTATAACCTGGGATCCGGACCAGCTTGCAAAGTTGAAATCTCTAAATTTTTGGGAGAAGCGGACTCTAAAAACGTATGTACTCGCCTAATTTGAAGGTCTTCGTCAGTTCATTGGGTTTTTAGTGGTATGTTATCAGCCTATTATGGCTACGCATAAGTCTGATTGATTGACAAACTTGAAATGTACACATTTTAAATATGAATGGGAACCTTAGATCTAGATAAACCTATCAGATTGTGAGGAATAAATACATAATTTATGCTGCCTATGAAATAATTAAATCAACTTATATTAAATAGAAATGCATTTCTGGACCACACGAGTTGAGGTCCTCTCAATCTTGAGCACATACTATAAGGTACTGTGTTAAAATAGTTTCACAAGAAAAATCTCAAAAAGGTATTTTACTCATTTTAAAGAATGTTTCTTTCTAAATTATGAAGTTAATATATAATACCCTCTATTTTTCCTTGGCACACGCCTTTTCTTATCTAGATTATTTTTCTATTTGATTTCTTGATACATATTTCCTGGTCCTTATCAACACTTGTGAATAATCAAGAAAATATACCTGATATAGACGAGCATGGTGATTAATAATTAATTAAAATTATTGATAGGTATGTGGCGAGTTTGATGATTTAATAATGATTCCCATTACGTTATTAATTGCTAACTAAGTATCGTAAACCTGTGCATATATGTACCTACGCTTTCTAAGTCGTTGGACTATTATAATTAAAAAAATATGTACATAAGCTATGAAAAAATGCAATAAGAAAATATAGAGAAGATGAAATATCTTCTTTCTCGAACATTAGAACCTCAATCAGGGTTTTATGTTTACTTGTGTGATATTCTATTGCAGTATTAGAATGAGCCCTTTGTTTCCATATTTGCTAACTTTGCGTGTACCTGTCCTGCTTTAGCAAACTCCAATGATGTGAAATATTTAGGTGTCATCCTTGACCAACATTTGAATTTAGGCAAAACACGTTTATTTATTATGCACAAGGGTACGAAAATTAATATTTTAATTTAAAAATCTTCGCAATGTAGACGATTACACATTATTAAGGCAAGTGTATTTGTCGTTGTGTCAATCAATACTTACTTCTTGCATGACTTCATAGGTTGGTGCAGCAAAGTCAATATTACTGCCTTTAGAGCGCACTCAAAGAGTCATTCTTAAGGCCTTACTAGTTTAAGTTTAAGTTTTTCTTTTGGTACTGTAACTGGTCGTTACTTTGTTCCTTTATTACTGGGGTTGCGTATATGTACAGAGAGAAATAATAAGTCTATGAACAACTTATTTAAATTTATTAATCACGACTGTATACAATATATGTGGGTGTGCTGTAGTACGGTATACAAGACGACCACGGGACAACTGTGGTTCACAGCGCACTACAGTACCGATAACTCAAAACGTTGCGTCAGCATTCCCGCAACACTATTTCCCTCTTTTTTTAAAAAATATTTATATATTTTTTTTTTTTACAACACAAAATCTTAATTCTAATCAGTATATTTATCAAACAATATTTCTTGTGAATTTACTTTGTCACCAAAGGTGACATCATCTTCTGCTCAATCAACAGTTTGCAACTTAATATGAGTACTATGCTATGTATTGTTATGCGGTAAGCCTGTGAATACATTCCAACATTGTAATAGCGACAAAAGTTTTAACATTTATTATCACGCTATTTAAAATTTAGATATCAGTAGCGTACTTAAATATTAATTTACCATGACTTTAACACAATTATTTATTCTTATATTACGCATATAATATAATATGTTTGGGTTACATTTTGTTATCCTTTCTTGACATCGTTGTGGCCGGACACCAACAACACAAACCATGCAGCTTGTTCTATGACCGAATAGCAAAATATAACACACACTATTAAATCGTTACAAAATAATTTCAATCACATACACACTTAATAACATGAATGCACGACGATTTCTCGATCAAATAATCAGTAAACCACTTTATGAGGTGCAGACGTTCCATTATTAATTTGCGGCGGTTGCATAGTTTCTACCTTAATATTTGGTAAGGTTATACAACTAGCAACCATTTCTTTCTTCACCCATTTCCTGACGCCTTTAGCACATTTTCGTTTTAATGCATATCCAATCACTATAATCAGTAGTACTATAATAATTATCATAACGATACCAATCATATTCAACTTGTTATCTACTTGAGCTGTGCTGGATATATTTTCGTTAACAACAACTTTGTCCTTTGTCTGTAAGTTGCCCATTTCCTAATTAATCAACTACGACGTACAGGTATCAAACACTAAATGAATTTATAATACATTTTCTATTTCATATTAACACGTAATTATATAACCAAATGTCCTAGTTAAATTATTGTCTAATCAGCAAAATTAATTGTTACAAATACTTCGTTGGCTTTTTGCTGACTCGTCCTGTTCTCGTAGTATAACCAAAGCTACTGGGTTCGGCTGTTTGAAAAGTTACTTTTTTCTGAACTTTTTGACAGACAGTTTTACCACTATTATCTACTACTTCCGGTTGTACATTATCCTCTGCTAACATAAATGCAGGTTTAAGACGGTCTATAGAAACTCTAAGTTGTCTGTCTGGCAATTGTACACAAAAAACTTTATCAGTTCTATTAATGACGCGATATGGTCCGTCGTAAGGAGGTTGTAACGGTTTCCTTACTGCGTCATTTCGAACAAAAACATAATCGCACGTATACAAATCTTTATGCACAAAAATTTTACGTGATGATCTATTTTCTCTACTAGACGGTTTATATTCGTCAATAACTTCTTTTAACTTGCTAACGTAATCATTATCATCACACGATTTCACATTGCTTCCATCATAAAAATCACCAGGTAATCTAATATTATTACCATACAACATTTGTGCAGCGGTTACGCCTGTATCTAACCTAATTGTCGTGCGTAATCCTAACATTACAGTTGCCAGTTCATCTACCCAAGACTTATTGCTTAAACGAGCTGTAATTGCAGTTTTCAACGATCTATGCCAACGTTCTACTGTTCCATTGCACTGAGGATGATACGGGGTGGTTCTTGACTTTTTAATTCCCATTAATAACATTAGTTGTCTAAATAAGTTACTTTCAAATTGTCGACCTTGATCGCTTGTAAGTTTAACTGGACAACCAAAACGACTAATCCAACCCTCGTATAACGTCTTTGCGACTACTTCTGCAGTCATTTCCTTTATAGGAAAAGCTTCTGGCCAACGTGTAAATCTATCCACTATGGTTAAACAATACCTATATCCTTCAGTTGTGATTGGCAAAGGACCTATTAAATCTATATGTATATGCTCAAAACGTTTAGTAATCTCAAATTGTCCTAAATTAGATACTGTATGCTTCTGTATTTTCGCTCGTTGACAATTTATACATGTTTTGGCCCAATTCCCGATGTCTCTATTCATATTTGGCCAAAAATATCTATCTGCTATTATTTTTCTACTAGCTCTAATGCCTGGATGGCTCAAGTTATGTATCGAATCAAAAGCTAAACGCCTAAATTGTTCCGGTAAATAAGGACGTATGTTATTAGTAGATGTTTCGCAAACAACATGCTTATTGGGTACATTAAAGTTACACGCTTAAATATCAACTTACAGTTGTTATCCGATTCACTAAGAATTTTTGCAAGCTGTTCGTCGACTTCCTGCGCAACTGCCAGTTCTGCGAAGTCGATAATCGTGGGACTTGTTATTGTTTCAATTCTAGATAATGTGTCCGCTACAATATTATTTTGACCACTAATATGCCTTATATCAGAACTAAATTTACTAATAAACATGATTTGCCTGGCCCGCCTTGATGTTTCTCTATTTGTACCTGATTTCGTAAATGCAAAAGATAAAGGCTTATGATCAGTATAAATAATTAAATTTTGACCTTCAATTAAATAACGAAAATGAATTATGGCTAAATAAATTGCTAAAAGTTCTCTATCGTACGTGCTATATTTCTTTTGCACTTCTGTTAACTTTTTAGAAAAATAACCTAAAGGTTTCCATTTGTCGGCAATTTTTTGTTGTAATACTGCACCTACGCAATTGTCTGACGCATCTGTCATTAATGAGAACGGTGTGTCTATAGATGGATAACCTAACAATGCAGCATTTTTAAGATCTTCCTTACATTGTTCAAAATTTTGTTCGGCCTCTATTGTCCAATTAATTTTACTTTTATCTTTACGTTTAGAAGAACTTAAATACTTATATAAATGTAATTGGTGGGCTGCCGAATGCGGTATGTGTGCTCTATAAAAATTTAACATACCCATAAATCTTCTTAGTTCCTCAATAGTGTTAGGTTTTGGAAAATCAATAATAGCTTTAACCTTATCCGTTAAAGGTATAATTCCTTCAGTTGTGACTTCGTAACCTAAAAAATCTAATTTTGTCTTTCCGAAACTACTTTTAGCGAAATTAATTGTTATCCCATACTCGTTAAATCTTTCAAAAAACTTTAAGTAAATGCTGTTTATGCTCGGTTTCATTATCTGAGGCAATTATTACATCATCCAAATAATTAAATAAAAAATCTAAACCTTGTAAGACGGTGTGGTGCATAAAGCGCTGAAAAGTTTGTGCTGCATTACGCAATCCGAAAGGCATTCGCATAAATTCAAATAACCCAAAAGGTGTTATGACAGCCGTTTTCTCAATGTCATTTTTGGCTACGGGTATACAATTATATGCTCTATTTATATCTAACTTCGTAAATATTTTCTTATTCGACAAATTATACATAAAATCGTGAAGACGGGGAACTGGATAACGATCCGGTTTAGTAATCGAATTTAAACGTCTATAATCACCGCAAGGTCTAATATTTCCATCCTTCTTTGGCACGATATGTAAAGGACTTGCCCAAGCGCTATTACTCGGCCTACAAATCCCAAGCTCTTGCATAACTTTAAATTCATTTTTAGCTTTAACATACCTGTCTGGTGGTAGCTGCCTACTTTTCACGTGCACTGGTGGTCCTGTGGTCTCTATGTGATGACAAACGCCATGTTTAGGTGTCTCCTTATATGAAACAGGCATAGTTAACTCGGGAAACTTACATAATAAATCATAATAAGGGCAATTATCAACAATTGTCTTTACAGTGGACTCAGTTGAACTCGAAATGGTACCTCTAATGCTTAAATTAGTTAACTGATCGATTAATCTTCGTCCGTTCAAATCAATTAACAGCTTATGCTTAGCTAAGAAGTCAGCACCTAATATTGGTTGTTGTACGTCCGCTAATATAAATAACCAACGGAAAGCTCTTCTAAGGTTAAGATCTAACTCTAAAAAATGCGTACCATATGTATTAATCTCGGTTCCATTCGCGGCATACAATTTATAACGTACATTATTTTTATTACCTAAAGGTATGTGCATATGAATATGTGCTATGCTGCGGGGTAGCACAGACACATTAGCACCGCTATCCACTAAGAAGGTTAAACCTGTTTTCCTGTCCATCACACGAAGACGGTTGTTAGGATCTACGCGGCCACAGCCTCCCGTCGTCGGCTGCACCGACGTTAGTTTTCCGACGGCTTGACATCTTTCTTCCAGTTGCACGGCTGGACGCACTTATTTGCCCGATTCTTGTATCGATAATGATAGTAACACAACCAATTGGGATCTTCAGGTGTCTTCCCACGCGTCCTTGACTCTGATGACGATCGCGATCTTGATCCGTAACGCCTTCTGTTACTTTTCTGCCAGTGCCTTCTTGATCTAGTTTCTAATTTTTCAAGTCTTTCGCTTATTTTATCAAGGTGGGCTATTACCAAATCGTCTTTATTCAAGGTCAGCGAATTTCCTTCCACCGCAGCGATACTGGGTATTGGCGTCGCGGTTTCCATTACCTTATCCGCGATAGTTGCTAATTTTTCTAAATCATCTTCATTTGTCACAGCCAATACTCCTCTGACTGATGGTGGTAGGTGATTTTGCCACATCACCACTAGTGTCTCGTTGGTGACTCTATTGCGAGCTAGGTCCTGCATTTTTCTCAATAACTGCGATGGTTTCTGGTCTCCTAACTCCATTTCGCCTATTAGTTTCTTTACTTGTCGTTCTTCCGACTCCTGGTAAATCAATATTAATTTTTGTTTCAAATTTTCATACTTATTTTTTTCTGGCGGATTTAATAAAATTTCTGTGATCTGCTCTATAACTTCTTGGCCTAATTTCGATATAACGACTTGATATTTCGCTTCATCAGACATCTTCTGCGGTTGTAGTACTGCTTCTACCTGAATAAACCAGGTTTTCGGCGACTTCTTCCAAAACTCAGGTATTCTTGCCGTGACGGAGATAGTGGATAAATGATACTCTTCGGTGGCTATTTTTCTTTCTTCGGTAGGCATGTTTAACGTAATCACGACTCGTACAAGTACCGATATTAAAAAACAACACTACAGCACAAGTGAGTTGCCCGTTCTAAACAGTCTCAATCTGTACACAATATCACAAAAGTTCTTTAAAATTACCAAATCACAGTTCAGTCGGGGTCACCACTTTTGTAACTGGTCGTTACTTTGTTCCTTTATTACTGGGGTTGCGTATATGTACAGAGAGAAATAATAAGTCTATGAACAACTTATTTAAATTTATTAATCACGACTGTATACAATATATATGGGTGTGCTGTAGTACGGTATACAAGACGACCACGGGACAACTGTGGTTCACAGCGCACTACAGTACCGATAACTCAAAACGTTGCGTCAGCATTCCCGCAACAGTACGTTTTCGGTACCGCTGGACGTATTCCAGCGGTACCGAAAACGTACCAAAAGAAAAACTGTTTTTAGGAGGGATAGAAATAGAAATTGAAAAAAAAATTCTTATACATTACTATGTGTGTAATTACTGTGTTAAGTTTGTAAAAAAATATATTTCAATATATATTTTTTAAATTACAACATGAAAAATCACATTTTTTGAAGCACTGTAAAAAAAAATTTGGTAAACGGTCGGTAGTATTTCTTCCTCAAATGTTGACGGATCTGCAAAATCTAAAGAAATTCTTGTAAAATAAGGTAGTAGTTATAGTCTGTTTATAGCCGGTTTTTAGAAATTCGAAAAATTAAACAATTTAAGGTTATTAAAGAAACAAATTTTAAGTTTGCGTCAAAAAAGTCACACTAATTGTTTTTATAAAATTTTCTAATTATAATTACAAAATCCGGCTAGTCTGACTAGAAAAAACAATTCCAAATATTTAAATAAATCATCAAAAAATATTAAAAACCGTACGAGTTATCATGCCGACCGTGTCAGAAAAAGTAGTTTTAAGAAAAACGCGTTTCGTCCATTCATATTTCCCATACACGAGCTTTTTTACATGGCATGTAATGTACTAACAGACCGACAGTTATTTATATTGCACTGCATTCTAAAACAGCATACTGAACTTCCCTATAACGCCACACCATCAAATAAGAGAAGGAAGGACATAGTGTGTAGCAGGCCTCAAGCTAGTCATGCATTTGTTCATAGATTTTATATATTTTTAGGACCTTTTTTGTGAACCCTAGTTCAGACAGGCAGCGACTAAAGTTTTCAACTAAATCTTTATGTGTGAAAATCATCCGATACGAATCATACAATCAGAAGAAGACTAAGACTACTAAAACTATAGTAGTATTATTTTAATAATACTACTATAGTTTTAGTAGTTTACCTTAGTCTTATTATTGTCTAAGATCTATTTTAAACTGAAATGTCCTACACTGTAATATATACATACATAGGTCAAATAAATGATTTATTAATCTTATTATATAGTTCGTAAGTGAACTCCTGTAAATGTCACTGTGCAGATGAAGTTACGTTTTGGATCGTGATATTAAGGCTTTAAATCGATATATATTATTGGTTTAAAACTGTTTTAGCGTAATATACAATATAAGTGTATATTATGCTAAAACTTAATTTATTAAAACCGGTCGAACACTTTAGTGAATGAACATAATAATAGACCAAATTGCCTTGACTTGCCAAAAAAATTTTAATAACCACATTTAGATACAACTACATCTTGATCACTAATTCCAGGCATCAGACTCGTTTAAAGAGTTAAGCGTGAAATTCTCCGAGATTGATCCTGACAACCTGGCGGTTGCTGACAAGATCTCTGTGTCAAACCTGTACAATCTGGACGAGACCTTCGCTGAATCTGCCCGTGGATACGGCTGCGAGTCCGAAACCCTCGATTTCAGTAAATCTGCTGAAGCGGCTGCTGAAATTAATAAATGGGTATTTACTTACATTCTTATTATGCCTATCCTTTCAACTTATTTCTCTGATTTCTAGAATGCTCGCCTGACGGCCCGCGTGGTAAAATGTAGGTGTTTTAATACGCTTCTGTGTCTTCAGGGATACAAAGACATATTATTGTATACCTATGTATAACAACATTATTATTATTATTTTATTTATTTCTCTTCACAATTAGTTAAGTTACATATATGTATTCATATTATGTTGCTTTACACTCAACTGGTATTTCCTAAATTCAGCATATCTAATTATTCCCATGTACGTAGGTACATACATACATATATTGATTATAGGCCACGTAACTAAATGTTTCTCGACAGGCTGCTGAGAAGACGAAGGGTCACATCACAGAGCCAATCGGCAAAGACGTGTTAAGCCAAGACGTGATCGTCGCCCTCTTCAACGTTATATACTTTAACGTGAGTATTGATTGTTCTGTATATTGAAAAGATACAAAAGCAAGCGCCTTTAGAAACGATATGCTAATACTATAGTTTATTCGCGTTAAGAAAATAGTGACGCATCGAGCATTTATCGTGTCGTACGAAAGCTACGTGATTAGTCAGGGCGTGGGGCTTGATCGATGGGTCACCATTACATGAACTCTTAACGTGACTAAATTACTAGTCTATACTAGTAATTTATTCTAAAAAAACTAATTTAAAATTGTTTGTTCAGCAACTTCACAAATCAATAGGTAAATTTATTTTAATTATTTATTTTACCTCTTGCAAAGGAAAGGACAAAAGTCAAAAGGACAAGTGACATTTGCCATAAATAAAAAAAAGAAGATAAAAACTACGATTGTGCTATCCGGTGTGTCGTCCACGTAACCATAGTTAATAATCTATGGAAACTTTAAAAATACTGTCTTACTTGTGCTGAAATAAAACCTGATTTTGAAGCAGAAAGGAGACCAGGAAGCAATCTAATATTTATTCTATTTTACTTCCAGGGTCACTGGCACGTTCCGTTCAAAGCAGAAGAGACAAAGGAGAAAGACTTTCACGTGAGCCGCGACAGTGTCGTTAAAAAACCCATGATGCATCTACTACAATCACTGTACTACACAGAGAGCGAAGAACTCGGAGCTAAAGTGAGACTACAATATTTATATGTATTTTTCAAATGAAGTAATGGAAATAAAAAGTTGAAAAGCGACTGGAATCATACCACGACCTCACAGAAAACCTTAGTTAGACAATTCTTTCATTGCTTTTCACTGAGTGAGCAAGGTTGCCTGAGGTCCGACCTCCTTCCTGGTACTCGTGTGGCGTGAGGCCGCTCGCCGAGCCATGATGGATAGTTGGTCGTCCCGACTGGAGGCTCCACGTGCCGAAGGTGGAACCCGCGCCATTGCGGGCTTGCGCTATGTGGGGTCTAGATGTCCTAATAACAGCAGTCCCTGGATCAGCACCACTCTGCGCTCTAGAGGGATCCAGAGACTCAGGATCCAAGACATCCAGGATCCAGGGACAGGATAAGTTTTTAGTCGGTCCGATTCCGACACACCACCCCACCGCAAACTCCGGTGGGGTGACGGCCCAAGGGGGTTTCCACGCGTTAAAAAAAGAAGAAAAAAGGCCCGACCTCCTCTACCCCTAACCCTGGGGGGGAAAATAAGGGCGACATTACTTTTGTGCTGTTTTTGTTGATAACGTCTTTTCTTTAATAAATTGCTTGCTTGCACTTTATCCCTTTGAGATACATTATATCATCATCATCAACAGCCTTCAATAGTCTACTGCTGGACATGGACCTCTCCTGAGAAGGAGGTTTTAGCCGACTAGACCAAGACGGGTTGGTTTGTTTCAAGTTCTACTTCTCTTTGCAGTGCTATTGTTCTGCGTAGTTTGCTCAATTAACCAGCTCAAACAACATCCGCGGGATGAATAGGGATGGTCACGCTCCGTCTACTCAATCCGTTACAATACTTAAATTATGCTGTTGTTTTTAACAGATGATTGAACTGCCATACAAGGAGACAGGTTTCCGCATGATAGTGGTGCTCCCGAACGAAGTGGATGGTCTACCGTCGGTGCTGGAGAAGGCTGCGGAGAAGGGACTCCTCTCGGACGTGTTCAGGCTGAGGCCGGCTGGACGCCAAGTAGATCTCGATATGCCCAAGTTTGAGATTAGGACCAAAATTAACTTCAATGACATTTTACCAAAGGTATTATTTAGATTCCATTTAGCGTAAATAAATTTATAGAATAATGTTATGTGGAGAATTAACCCGGAACATCGTCATGAATAATAATGATAAAAACAATAACTTTACACATCTCAACCGCCGTCTGATCCCAAACTAAGAAGAGCCAGTACTATTTTAACCAGACTGCTGATAAACACACTTAAATATTTCTAAATACATAATTTTTTTTAAAGCTAAGGAGTGCTTTTTCATATGTTTGAGATTGTTTGTATTGTTGAACGCGCTAATCTCAGGAACGACTGGTTCGAGTTGGTAACTGTTTTAGAATAGGATAGCCCATTTATCGAGGAAGGCTACAGGCTATATACTATCACGCTATGACCAATAGGACCCGATTATTATTGCTTTTGAAGACAAAGTTGCGCGGGTCAGCTAATTATAAATAAAATTACACCATTAAAGTAAATTACACCCAGACACATAAGATATTAGATGGATGTTTGTGCGGTACGGGACTACACTTTATACGTTTTGAAAATTTTTATTAAACTCAACGAATGATGATCTGAATCAACTAAATTAGTTTTCGTTAAGCTGTTCCTTACGCTATGCATATTCTTATTTTGCAGGTCGGAGTAAGTAAACTATTCAGCGAGGGTGCCGCCGGCATTGTAAAGAACACTTCAGTCAGAGTGTCCAAAGTGTTCCAGGAAGCTTTCATCAAAGTAGACGAAGAGGGCGCCACTGCAGGAGCATTCACTGGTTTGTCTTTTTGTACTTTATTCGTGTGTCTCACAAACTGCAAAACTACTGTCATTTTATGCATAACTATAACTATTATCGACTGTTTTGAATTTCTTTTTAATTTCATTGAACAGTATAACTTGAACTATCATTGTAGAGACTTTTGTACCAATACAGGACAAAATTTATGCTGGACTTCTATATTTTTATGTAGCTTTCTTATATTGTTTTTAACTTTGAATCACATATTCTTTAAAAAAGGTTACACAGAATTTTCCTTACTTATTAATATATAGATAGATATATATATATACAGGGTGTAAGGAACATCGTAACGAATACTGAAACAGTGTATTTAGATCATGGTACTAAATCGAAAATCGTTGGCATTTTCTGAAATTCATCTTTTTTTTTATTTGCCATTTTTTTTTTGGTTAAAAATGATATCACAATGAGTAAACAGAACATTTCACCGAAAACAAATTATTAAATACTGCATACGTACAAAAACTGCAATGTAATTAACCAAACCGCCGAAGTGCGCGGGGCCTTCACTCCGGCCGCCAACTTGTGTTAGTGTGCGTAGACGTTTGCACGGAATACACATGTAGTTATTACTTTTGTGCGATATCATTTGAATGAACATGAAATGACATTTACCTTTGACAGCTGATTGCACAAAAAATTTAATTTTCCGGCAGAAAATTTAGATATAACAACAAACAATAACATTAAATTAGATAAAAACTTTTGTAAGTGGTATTTATTACATACGTATATACTTGCATGTTTTTTTTTATTGTGCGTCAAGGACCATACTCGAATTTTTAAGGGGTCTTTCGCATTAATGTCAGGTACTGCATCATAAACTAAAAACTGATTTATTTTATTTACTATAGCATAGAAAATATGACAATTTGAGAGACAAATTTAACTTTTCCGTTCTTAAAATATTCGTCTATATATCAATCGATGACATCATCATGCGATGCTGCCAATTATCGAAATCGAATTGACGATAAAATTATGAACATACGCTAAATATTATTTTAATTTTTAGGACCTTTTTTACTTGTTGAAAAGCAAGGTACGCCTTCTTAAAGTAATTTTTCCCAGCTATCCTTTTATGCTTATGATTTCTACAAAATAATTTCTATGTTTCACATTAACCAGACGTCCCGCGATGGCTCTATGTTTTTAAAACCATTGAGCAATAATATTTCATTTTATTACAGGTGTTATTGCAGTTGCTCGATCTTCAAACTCAAGACCCCCACCACCTATGAAGTTCACAGTGGACCATCCGTTCCTGTACGCGGTCCTTCATGAGGACAAAATTCTTTTCGTGGGCACATACTCAGCTTAATAGATTTAAAATAAATAGTCTTTTCTCTTTTTTCTAACTTTCGTACTTTAAAGGTAATTTTAAGATAAGCTATTTATACGACAAAGCTCTTATTTCCTTTAGCTGGGTATAAAAACTTCTTGAATATTGAAAGTAAAAATAAGTAATAGTGATAAAAAGAAGTTACTTATAAGTGAAAATCTCAATACTATTTGTACTGAAACAGAACGTTAATTGTACGTTAATTATGACTTGCTTGCACACAGAAAGTAACAATCTTTTTTTTAATTAATTTATTCCTCTTTACTACAATAAATATCTATGTATTGTTTTATCGCGTACAGGAACATGCGGTACACTGTGACTTTTATGGTCAAAAGTAGGCTAGTTTTCGAAATGAACAAATGAACACGCAATCTAGACACGAGGTAGCGTGTCCAGCCAAGTTCAAAGCAAAGGAACTGGCGACGCAGCAGCCGTGTGTAATACTAAAATAAGCTAATTTAATTAATAATTACACACAAACCATTTCGAACTAATTCTGACCCCTTCACAACTCGAAAACTATTTACCCCCCATATATGTATGAAATTTGCACATTGTTATTATTATTGTTGTTAGTTTTTTCACTTAAGCGAGAACTGTTTTGAATTTATAAGAAAAAGTAATTTTATCTACACAAATCGATAGTGCTTCATTCACCCTATCATCCTAAATATTTAGCACGGTGCAAGCTTACGTTGCACTCTCCAGAGCTACAATCTTAGACGGAGTACATCTTACAAATCTCGATCCAAGTCAAATCAAGGGACAAGAAAGTTCTTTAGTAGAATACAACCACCTGCGCACGTTGGCCAAATTAAAAGAATGGGCAAACCGGTGTTAAGCAATTCTTTCATTGCCTCTCACTGAGTGAGTGAGGTTACCGGAGCCCACATCCCCCTCCCGCTGACTCGAGCGGGAGGGACTCAAAGGGCAGCAACGCACTTGTGACTTTTGAGTTGCAGGTGTCCATGGGCGGCGGTAGTTACTTACCATCAGGTGACCCGTCTGCTCGTTTGCCCACTTATAAAATAAAAAAAAATTAGAAAATATAGTAGCTAGTATCACAAATAGTAGCAGTAACTCTCTCTTTGTCTTTGTATCTTCACTAACTTATATCGCCCTCTCAACTTCCGCTCACCCGATCACACTTTTCGTAACGCTTTCGTCACGCATTCACCAGCTTACTCCCCAAGTCAAGCGTGCGTAATTGAAGTTTTATTTAAAAAAATCTTTGAAACGGGTTGAATATCTATCGTGTCAATATGTACGTGTATATATATATATATAAATTAACTGTATTGCAGGTGGGATCACGGTGGCGTCTTCATCCTGGTCAACACCACCGCCACCCATGAAATTTACAGTGGACCACCCGTTTCTTTACGTGATCTTGCACGAGGATAAAATACTTTTTGCAGGCACATTCTCAGCATAGGAACATCAGATCAAAGTTTTTCTTTCAATTTGTTTTAACGTTACTAACTTTTAAACTTTCGCGTTCCATGATAATTAATATTATTTAACGGGAATTAACGCGATCTCTTATTTAGGGTATTACATACCTCTGGTTTGCCTGACGTTTCGACCAGGTTGCACTGGGCCGTGGTCACAGGTCACCGCCGTGGTGACCACGGCCGGTGCAACCTGGTCGAAACGTTAAATAATATTAATTGTTTTAACGTTATACCTCACTGCTGTAATTTTATTTATTAATAATTATCCAATGCAGTCTGTTTGAAATAAAAGTTTTTACTTATTTATATTTACCATTTTGTGATGTTCACGTTTACGTCTAAAATCTTTGAGCCTGCCAAAGCCTCTTTTGATATATATTTTTTATTAAAAAAAAAAGACAACTTCCGCATTAGGAATATATCCTTTGTCGCGGAGGACTTTACAAACATACATGAAACGGACACAAAGAACACCCCAGACTCAGAACAACAATTTGTAGATCACACAAAGTGTCATCCCATGTGGGGTTTGAACCCACAACACTCGGCGTAGTGACGTGGCGACGTGGCGACCGCTTCAACCACTAGGTACGCCATCCGTGCAGTGCAATTGCGGATATGCACGAAGAATGATGCAATGACGAATAACCATGAATTACGAGTAGTCCCAAGCTTACAAGCATATAATACCAAACATAATTTTCAAGATATATTTTCTCAGTTGCAGGTACAAGTGTAGTAATCCGGTCTATATTATATTCTTTTGCCACTTGCACTTTTAATGTTATAGACAAATTGGAAATTAAATCATTATTAATTCCAGTTTTAAAAGTACTTAGTAAACGATTTTAAAAAACGGCGGGTTGTGTTTTCGTCATTAGTAGATTCAAACACTAGTTTTTACATGGTCGGGGATATCATGCAAACCATAGACTTCTTGTATATGACCGGTAATCATGTATACCTTTTCATTTATGCCAACCTTCTTGGTGATTTCGAAACAAGATTCAAAAGTCACTTGATGTATTTGCCAAAAAAAAATATAATTGTTATTTCGGCAACATTCGGAAAATAAGACTACTGGAATAAAAATGTACGACAGTCATTGTATAAGTATAAAAAAAGTAGAGAGGTGTTTTTTTTTTCAAGCTTTGTTATCAAAACTGTAATTGTGACTTTATAGTCACAATTACAGATTTATAGACCCTATACTCTTAAATGACCTATACTCATCCATGATAACCGATTTTTTTAAAATTTATAACTAGGTCAAGAAACTGGGCAATAATATTATAATAATAAGATGTATATTGCTCCACAAGTAACATGTTGACACAAGAATGCACAGTAAGCCACGTCTAATAGCGAAATTATTTTGCCGTCTAGTAAATGATGCTGAAGTGAGAACTTTGAAATAATGTTGTCTCTTTCATGCGCAAGTAAAACGGACGCCATTGTGTTAATGATGTGTTCTAATCTAGTGTGTGTAATATAATATAATAATTAAGTATAGGTAGGTATACCTACATACTTAGATATAGTTACCAGAACGGATCTTGAGCGCTCGGCGGCAGAGTGGGGATCGCTTTGCGCATCGTGCACTTATGGCAAAATAAAATGCACACCCATTTATTATTATTTATTTTTTCTTAGTTTTTTTTTTTTTTTTAAAGACAACTCCAGCACTAGGAATAAATCCTGTGTCGCGGGGGACTTTACAAACATATATGAAACGGACACAAAGTACACCCAGACTCAGAACAACAATTTGTGGATCACACAAAGTGTTATCCGCAATAGAAAGCGGCGTGGCGACCGCTTAAACCACTACGCCATCCGTGCAGTCTAGTCAGTTAGACTAGAAACAGACTACAAATAGATCAAAACCATAAGACGTTACGTAGTTAAGTTACTACAAAACTTCTTATTTATTCTATGGTAAAAGAAAATGGTTTTAATTAATATTTTAAAAACAAACCTAAGTATTAATTTTGTTTAAGAAATATTTTCCTTATGAAATTATTAGGGTGAAATAGGAGTGACAGCTTCCATCAAATCACTTTCTTTTTTAAAGCTGGTACTGGTACTCTGTCCATTTCTTCATCTTCGTGTTGTGTTATAGCTATATACTCGTATTAGAGAATAAATTACGCTATCTAATACACTCGCTTAAAAATCTTAATTTGAACTACCAGAAAATTAAATTGATGAATAGCCAAAGCAGAAATGATGCAATTATTAATAAAAAAAGAAAGACCCTATTAATTTGTTTGGAACACTTTCCGTCGACCATGCAAGGTGATTGGGGATTGATGGCGCCACACGGTCCATGAATCATATTCGTAATTACAACATCATGTAGGTCTAGATCGGCTTCGTGATCGGGAATCTCGACACATATGATATCATCAGTTTGATCTGGTTGTTTTCTTTCCACTAACCAAATAAGAATGCGTGCGTGCGGCGGGCCAAATGGATGTCATATCAGGATGGCAACTTCATCTATTGTTGGATCGTTAAATGTGCGTTCATGTATTCCAGATGGTTGTTTATCCGGTCTGATCACGACTTTGTAAAACAAGTAAAAAAATGACAAACAGTATCCTATGTCCATCTCCTGGTTTTAAGCTACCTCACCACCAATTTTCAGCCAAATTGGTTCAGCCGTTCTTGGGTTATAAATAGGGTAACTAACACGACTTTCTTTTATATACATAGATATGTTACAAGTTTACTAGATTTGCAGCCAGACTCGACCGTCACGAGCTGCCCAACGGCCGTCTACTCTCGCACCGAGCAGCTGTTTAAGGATCTCTACCTTACCTATATTGAAAGTGAAAGGGGTTTAAAGTAAGCCCTGTACTAAACTGACCTAACACGATTGCTATTTTTTTTTTACATCTAACACAACGCCATCTAGTTTCAAACTAAGCAGAGCTTGTACTATGAAAGCTAGATTGACTGATAGGATAGGTACTTATAAACTTTTTTTTTGTAAATACATACTATATGATACATAGTAAACACCCAAACCCCGATACAAATATTTGACTAGCGTACAAACATTTGGTTCGACCCGGGAATTGAACCGGTAGGTATTGAAGTTATAATTGCTGAGAATTGATCGTACATTGTTTGTTGATAGATAAAACAACTGTATCGTATTTAATAATGTATTTGTCTCATTTTAAAAGGATCAATTTAATTTTTTTGTTATCTTAATTATTTTATTTAGAATATGTGCCCGCGAACAGGATTTTATCCTCGTACAGGATCGCGTACAGGAACGGATGGTCCACTGTGAACTTCATCGGTGGTGGAGGTCTTGAATTGGATGACGCTGGCACAGCAATTAAACCTGAATAAAATAAAAAATGACTGAATGGTTTTCTGGTATCAGGCTTTAGTTAATTACAGTTCACCTAATCGGCGTATTTATATAATTACTAAATGTGCAATAAAAGAACAACATTATAACGTTGAATTTCATTAATGGAACTCCCACTGCCACTGATGGAACTTGAATTATAATTGAAATTCCATCAGTGGCTTAGAAGTATACAACCAAGGCAATTAATAGTAGGTAATTTTGACAGCAATATTTAGGCCGAGTAGGTTTCCCCCGAAATGAAATTTTGTCCTCGTAAAGTATCGCGTACAGGAATGGATGATCAACTGTGAAAGTCATTGCTGGCCGCTTAGCACGGAATGACTTTCTAACAATAACGAGCGCTGTGGAAAAAAAATGCAGTAACTTACACATATAATTCAAAAATAATTAAGTTCACATTTTTTATGAGCGCCTATACTTTTATAGATTGTAAAAAATTGTATTCGTTATTACTTAATTTTCACCCTTAGAGGTGGTATCTTTTCTTAAAATATAAATAGGATTTAACTGGAGACACCCTTTCAAATTTCAAAACATTCGATTCATTAGATTTATAACGGAGCTCTGAGGTAACAAACATACTAAATATACGACAGAATTGACTTTATTATTTTACCAGTATGTAATACCAATTTTTCAGATAAATCGATTTTTAGCATTAAAAAAATGAATTTTAGCAAATTTATATTACATCGTGGTAGAGCAAGTTCTTTGTGTGAGTGTGGTTTTCAGAGCCAAACCCTCGCTCTCCTCCTGACTCTAGGGGAAGGGATTGAAAGGGCAGCAGCGCATTTGTGACTCTTGGGTTGTAAATGCCCATGGGCTGCGGTAGTCGATTACTATCAGGTGCCACGTACAGGTGTACCCGTCGGCTCACATGCTCCCTTATACCATAAAAAATTGCGTGTAAAAAACTTTTTAAATATCGCAAGCCACTGGACAAAAATTATTGAGCAGGTACATATATAATAAAAATAAAATAATATTTTACCAGATTCACACAACGCCATCTAGTCCTAAACTGATCAGAACTTCTGCTCGTACTATGGGTACTAGAAAACTGATATAAATACATTTTTACTTTTTTTTGTAAATACATATATGTATATTACACATAGAATCACCCGTGGGTTGCGTATGGTAAGGTGTAAGACACAAAGAGAAATAAATTTTCATTTAAGGCGTAGGCGTTTTAAACATATTTATAACTTTTATATGTTATTGCATAGACGTAAGACTCTTCAATGATATCAAAGGCCAGAAAAAAATGGAAACGATTGCAAACCTTAACTTGTAAATGTGCCAGCGAATAGTATTTTGTCTTCGAAGAGTATCGCGTATAAAAATGGATGGTCAACAGTAAATTTTATTGGCTCGGGTGGCCTGAATGCGGCAGATGGTGGGACAACAAAAAATCCTGAAAAACAATTGAATAGATGGGTAATATCATAGAACAGTTCTCGGTTCTGTAGTAATATATATACAAGCGGGTCCTCCACCGCATGGTCTAAGTATTTTGGGGTATGTTTGTTTATAATAGGTTATAGTTGTCATATTTGTAGAATATTTATTGAGTCTTATCTCTTTATCGAATCAAAAACGACTAAGAACTGTTACAATTTTCTGTTAGAATAAATTTCAGTAATTTTATGGTATAGCAGGCAAACGAGACGTGGGATTATCTGTGACTACCGCCGCTCATAGATACCTGTAAATCAAAAAGTCAGAAATTGCCCTTTGAGTTAGGGGGGAGCGGGGCGAGCATTCTGCAAATAGGTACAAAACTTTGTTCTAAGTATGCTGTCCCTGCCCTCAGTTATTTTATCCAGGTATAGAAAATATTTAAAATAACAAACCAGTGAATGCCCCCGCTGTAGCTCCTTCTTCGTTCACTTTGATGAAAGCTTCTTGGAATGCCTTCGACAATTTGACTGGAACACCTTTCACGATACCTGGTGCATCCTCTCTGAAAATTTTACTTACGCCGACCTGAAAACCAACAGGCTAGTTATAAATACTGAATCTTCTTCTTTCTTCTTCTTCTACTCGACTGATTCCAACAGAGGGCGGGGTCAAAATAGCTCACGGCTTGTTGTGAATTGGTGAGTAGTTTATATAAAGTCTCTCTCAAGTTTGAGCACAGAGATATCGTAATTTTGTCCGGTAAGGTTCAGAGCCGAAGTTTTCATCACCATCAGATTTAGTCCCCTTTAAGGGACGGTTGGGTAACGGTTAAAACATGCGATGGGTATCACACCGGAGAGACAAATTTAGAACTAACACGAGTATTAAGCTTAGTTGGAGATGTTGGCACATATGGTGTGCCATAATTCACTAACATTCTTTTTCCTAAAGATCCTGGGCAAAAGAAATAAAGTCATACCTTCGGTAAAATATCGTTGAAGTCTATCTTAGTCCTGATGTCAAACTTGGGCATATCCAGATCTACGTCGCGGCCAGCCGGATTCAGCTTGAACACGTCCGAGAGGAGTCCCTTCTCCGCCGCCTTCTCCAGCACCGACGGCAGACCGTCCACTTCGTTCGGGAGCACCACTACCATGCGGAAACCTTTCTCCTTGTACGGAAGCTCTAACATCTATGGGAGAACAACAATTATTAATCACAACCGACAAATTACTTAAAATTGAAAAATTTCTTGTTTTTGTGTACTATTTATATAGTTTAGTTCGTATTATGTTTGAATTGGAACATTAGGAGTAAGTTAAATTGATATCATGTCAAACACTGACAGCAACTAATGGTTAAAACAGGAACAGTACAGGAGCGAACAATTATCACTATTTGTTGAGAGTTTTTTTTTTATATTTTTAAATATAAGAACTACTTCCTGCAAACACAGACAACTTAAATTTAGTTTATAAATAACGTGTAAAAGTGATTTTATGAAATACTTTATTGACTACACGGTAAGCGTAGTTGTTAAAGCGGTCACCTCGCCACTTCCTACTGCGCTGAGTGTTGTTGGTTCGATCCCCACATGGTAAAAACTTTGTGTGGTCCACAATTCATTGTTGTCTGTCTGGGTGTTCTTTGTGTCCGTTTCATGTATGTAGTCTCCCGCGACACAAGATTTATTCCTAGTGTGGGAGTTGTCTCTTATAAAAAAAAGGCCAGGTATTTGGGAGTAAAGTTCTTACCTTAGCTCCAAGTTGTTCACTCTCTGTGTAGTACAGAGATTGTAGTAGATGCATCATGGGTTTTTTAATGACATTGTCGCGGCTCACGTGGAAGTCTTTGTCCTTTGTCTCTTCTGCTTTGAACGGAACGTGCCAGTGGCCCTAGTAATGAAAGAACCTATGTAAGTATATTGCGATTTTACATCTTCTTGACAGTACGAATTGCACAAAACTATTGTACAAGTGCTTTAGATTTGTAAGAACTACAATAAATATAGTTTAAACCAAAAGGCAAAGAAAATCTCGTTTAAAATTGTTTTATTCAAATACTTGACAGATAAAAAGATCTTAAGAAAAGACAACCACTGTTTAGAGAGTAAAAAGTATTTGACGTTATTACGCATAATTTGGTATTTACATACAATATTTTGATAACTTTTGGTAAAATGCATAATATATAGTTACTGCAAATGTTGCAAAAATCATATGCAACAAAATATACTAAATTGTCTTAGTTTTAACAAACCTTATATTAGGTAAATTGTGCTGCACCTCTTATTGATATACCCCATGTACGCACTGGTCGTACTTAAATACTGCGACATTTGAGTTGGATATATTAATCAGTATTAAACGTGATGAACCAATACTTACATTAAAGTATATCACATTAAAAAGTGCCGCGACCACATCAGGAGTTAAAGCGTCTTTGCTGACTGGCTCTGTGATATGACCCTTCGTCTTTTCGGCAGCCTGTCAAATGTCAAAATAGGTATAAAACACATGCAGGCATACATAAAAAGGCATATATAAACAGGCATACATAAACAGGCAAATTAATATAGTGTTGCAAAGGTAGTATTTTTTTTTACTTTATTCCATCTCTTATCATTATTATATTATTGAGTTCAGACATCAAGAGGGTAGTGACTGGGTCTGCTTCTACGTTACCTCTTACCCCTGCTCTTTTTGGATCAGAGAAGGTAAAGTCCTTTCAAATTAATAAATTTCTAATAAATCTTTATGGGTTTTCAAAGACTTCGTTTTTAGGTTAAATCCAAGACCCTTCTTAGAGATCCAAACAAATACCTACCTGTTGACATAGATGTTAACAAAAAATTTAACTGTCTTGGAACCCGTAACGAAATGAATCAGAAAAAAATTACGCCTTAGCAAAGCAAGCTAAGCTATTCAGCATTATATTACGTTCATTATACCACATTCCCAGAGGATATGATGAGCAGACTGTTCACAGTTACAGTTAGGTGTTCAGCATTGACACAATGGTGACTTGACAAATTTAAAGAACGTGACCGACATAGTGACCACCTCAAGCCATGTAATCAAAAACCGTTCGCGAACAGATTTTAAGAACTGGTTAAGGTGGCGCCCCTTAGATGATTCGTCCCAGCGCTATTGCCGTTCGTCTGTAAGGTCATTATAGACATCGGACTACTATTGAAGCAATCATGTAATTTTATCGCGATCTCGCCTGCTCAAAAAATCGCATTCCATGTTTTGTTGTCTTGAATAGTACATGGCTGCACGTCTCTGCATCCCAAGATCGACCGGAAGTACACCCGCCAACACCGGCAAAGTCTAAGTCGTGCTAATCGTCCTATATGCCTTGCACAAGAAGATCAGTGCAATTCGTTGGCCTTGTGAAAAGTACGAAGAGATAAGAGAATAAATATTTTTAAAGCACCCCGTAATTTTAATTTCAGCTATTCTGCTGTTTGTTCTTCTCTTGTGGTATATCTGTTATTAATTTTGATGTTCTGTATGTCTGCAAGGTCGATTGATCTATTTGCCTTAAATTTGTGATACATAGGTGACCACGGGCCCTCTCTATCGAGTTTATCAACAAGTTTCTGAATTAAGTTTTAAGTAGATTTTTTCACAACAGCTCTGTAGTGGGACCTGGCAACTCTAAGAGCATTGAGAAAATTATTGTGCAAATCTCCTGTTACGTTATGTTTTTTAATAGCTTTTAATTTCCTACTAGCTTTCCGGTAGGTTCTACGTAGTTCGGATAATTTATCATTCCACCAATTACATCTACAAGTGTAAGTGATAAATTCGCGTCCTATAGACACATCAGCGCAGTATGTGAAAGTTTCTGATAGTATTTCGGCGCGTTCCTCGGCCTATAGCCTACTGCGACTGAAGTCTTTGGCATGAGTTGCAAGGAGCGAACCAAACAAAGCCCAGTTCGCACCTTTAGTTTTATATCTAAAATTATAGTGAGCTCTTTGCGGATTCTGTGCAACCCTTGGTATAAATTCGTATACGATTAAGCGGTGATCACTACAGGATGCGTCAGGGAGGACACGCCATCCGGATATCGAGACGTCGCCGCGCGTAAGCGTCACGTCAATAGAAGACTCATCCATTGGGTTGCATAAAGTTGGTGGTGCATCGGGGGTATTGTGAATAGTAAGATTCATTCCCGCAAAGAAGTTTTCAACCACACAACGTCGACACACAACGTCGACGTCGAACGTCATTTCCGCATCTGTCGTTACAGCTACCAAAAACTAGACTCCTCTGAAATTACTCTTTAAATCATGTTAAATATAGAAATCAATGATGATGGTGACTTACCCATTTGTTTATTGCAGCGGCGGCTTCTTCGGGCTTAGTGAAGTCAACCGAGTCGAACTCGCTGCGGTAGGCTCTCGCAGATGCAGCGAACATCTCGTTCAAGGTGTACTGTTTTGAAACGGAGATCTTGTTCGCAACTGTGAGGTAGTCAGGGTTCATTTCTGAAAACCTCGCGTTCAATTCTCTGTACGAGTCAAAAGTCTGGAAATTGAATTAAATAACTTTGAGCTAGTTAAAAGTCTGGAAAAGGCTTCATAGCTGGCGTAGGAACTACAGGAAACGTGGAATTTGAAACAGCAAATTGTCCCATACCTGAGAAGCATTGAAGTGAGGTTTTTTTGGTATGAGGTGGACTGACAGTAAAATGATCGCTTATGGGCCTCGAAGACAAATTCTTTTATTCTGTTGCTCGTCTCCTTACCTTTTGAAAATCGGTTCCTCCCAAGAAACTGGTGATTTCAGATTTAGCACCCGATCCAGCGCCCAAGTTGTACAATGAGAGCAGAGTCATGAGGCCCAGTGGTGATGAGACTATATTCTTATCTGCTGATGCATCGTACGTCGCCTGCAATGTGATTCAAATGATGCTCTTTAGGATTAACGTACAATATCAGGCAGTTGGTTCAGTTTCATACAGAGTTAATAGCACGACCTAAAAGAAAAACAATTACATTTCTGTCTTTCGTCTAAGTTAACGAATACACATAACATATATAAAAACGCAACTTTGACAAAATTTTAACAGTAAAACGTATAGGAGTGCAAAATATTCTATTCTTTTACATGATTAGGTGTTAACAGCACTGCAAAGAGAAGGAAACCTTGAAATAAACCCTATACCAACCTGTCTGGCCAGCGTGGTATAGCAGGCCAAAACCTCTTTTCTAAGGACAGGCCCATGTCTAACAGTGGACTGTTTTAGGCTGTTTATGATGATGATGACTGATAATATGAGAGATCTAGATCTCTGAACCATCATTATTCAAAGGGGCGGGTTATCCCTAAGGCAAAGTATGCATGTGCCTAGGGGCGCGAGGTTATAGAAGGGCGCGCGCGTGGTATTTTAAACAAAGAAAAGATATATGGCTAACATAAAATGAATGATGTTAGTAAGCATCATCCTTCTTACACGAAATAATCGATTCATTAATTCAATGTCGATGTTTAAGGTTGACATCTAGCGCTTTTATTACGTTATTGCCACTACTTCTTTGCTTTACTTCTCTGATACGCTCGATGACTGTGTTTAGTGCGAGTAATCACTACCACACATTTACATTTAGTAACATCGAGTATAGTCAACTCTAATACAGTAAATATTTAAAATATAGTATCCGCGCTAGAGAGGTGCGGGATGCCGATGAGATGCTTGCCCGGGGCGCTTTTGATACTAAATCGGCCTCTGATTATTCATGATCATTTTAGCAATTGGACTGCCAAGTTCAAGTTATGACTGAGATATGCGACCCTGACCTACTTGAGTTTTTACGCATACTTCCTACTTTATCCGTATAAGCAAAATCCAATGACCTTTCTATTTCAATTTTTCCTTTAATTTCAAAAATTCAAATTTTCCCATCAAATTCCTATTGCCTGGTTGACTAGGCCCCTTCTTATCCCTTCGGGAATGTAGAAGTATGGGTACGTTTGTATACATTACCTTAAGAACTTTCATCGTGGAGACATCAATGCCGTCGCCCAGAGATGTTCTCTGATAATCAGGGGGCAGCTCGAAACCGTAATGCTCCGCCATGACGACGCAAACACAGGAAAGTACTGGTCCGAAAAAAAATCAATTTTAGAATAACCTCGAATAAGTTTTGTACTATCTATAAATCTACTCGATTTATCAAAAAAATACAAAATGATGGATCTCCTTTTGTTGTTCTTCTTATGTAGGCTATATATCCTGACTATCCTGGCTATGTATCGTGACTCCTTATTTATATTTTTAATGGATTTATATGTTGCATTGGTTTTGTTCTTATGTTGGTGTAGCTTTTATACCAGTCTCAAGTTAAATTCTTTACAAATATAACACACTTACTAGTCCGATATCTGTAAACGAGTTACAAAATTCCACAGTTCAAAGAAAAAGATTGTTCCATGTTAAAGGAATTGGAAATATACAAACTATAACAATTTTGCATTTTTAAAATAAATAATTGATTTTTAAACAGTCTAATGGACTGGCCAAGACTGATTATAAGGTAAAGTATGTCTTAGAACAACAAAGCTCGCATAAGATAATGTTCATTCCTTAACGTTGTTTATTTTTTTATTTCCCTTACAGTTTTAAAACAACACGTACAATAATCTTATTAAATTATATATTAACAGTCTGACAATGAAATCGATTCAGTCATTAACATTTTTATATAACCAATCTAATGATTTTGTAAGTGAACTTAATTACAACTTTTAAGTGTATAATAATGTATTTTTTATCAGTAAGTAAGACTGTAATAGCTCATGTGAGCCTCGACAAGTGTCCACAAACACAAGCGTGTAAACGGGGTGTTTGGCTTGACTCGCGTATGCTCGTCGTCGGTCGGTACTAATGTCGGTTTTTAAACAAAGATCAAAGAAAGCTCGCGGCAAGCGTTAGCGACGTATTTACACGTTGGCGCATGCTTGTTCCCTACTGCTTAATTTAATATTACAAGTATCGTAGCTGAGCAGTCGAAAATCAACATTAAGTCTTAATGCTCTACTGATTGAGCAGTTAAGTTGAGCGTAGGGCTAGAGAATTAGAGGGAGTGGTGGGGTTGGGCTTGGCTAACAGTGGTATTCTGACTGAAAACTTGACAAAAACCCTAGAGCGACCCGTTAGGCCAGCGTGGCTGTTAATGATGATGACGTCTGCGTCTCTCAAAAGAAATAAATTTCCCCCCTTTTACAATATTTTTCATTGATGCATAGCTCTTATTGATCGTACCGTGATGTTTTATATGAATTGTCGTTAACTACTAGATAGCGTTGTGACCTTTACAAGAAACATTATCAGTTATATAATAATAACCCATATAATTATGACTGCTTTATCAGTAGGTATTAAGAAATTACAATCAAAAACATATTTTGAACAATTAGAAGGCAGAAGATTTTTTTTAAGGAATGGGGCAAACGAGCTGTCGCTTCACCGGTAAGTGATCACCACCTCCCATGAACACCTGCAACTCAGGATTCACAAGCGCCCGACCACATTTGGAAGGGTTAGTGGGGTTGGGCTCCGGTTATCTCACTTGCTTATCAGTGATATCATGACTGAAAATTTGACAAAAACCCTATACCAGCGTGGTATAGTAGGGCAAACCCTCCTTTCTAAGGAGCGGCCTATATCCAGCAGTGTTTTTTGATGATGATGACCTGCACACCTAACGTGATGTTATATAGCCTATAGGCTATAGCTTTTTTCGATATGTAAGCTATCTAATACAAAAGAATTTTTCAAATTGAACAAGTAGATCCTGAGATAAGCGGGTTCAACCAAACAAACAAACACTTCAGCTTTATAATATTAGTACTGATTTACAGACTTCATTCATTAATTTTACTTAATTAGATAACTGATCTTTTTATATACAAAAACTTAGTCTTGACATTACCTCAGACGTTAGACTCAGAAAACTATAAACTTTTTTGCATTAAAATAGAGTTAACTGTTGTACTAGACTACTTACATACGCTTTAGTTTTGTTTAGTTACACGCATACTGCGTTACAACCTGTGGTTACAACACTCCCGTGGTTTGCCGCAATTCAATTCAATCCGTCCGTCAATTCAGTCATCATGTTACAAATATCACCCCTTCAAGCTTTATTCAACTATGAGATTTTTTAAAGAAATTCTAGAAAACCTGACTTTGATACAAAAGGTACACCAACATAAAAACAAAACAAAACAAAAGTATTAATATATCGTGACTCCTGATGTAGCCAACATAAGGAAAACAACAAACACAATCCAACGCTTTGAAACTAGCTAATTTATTTATAACAAAAAAAAACAAATCAACTAACGATCGTTAAATAATCTATTTTTATTAAAAATAAAACCGTAACCAACCCAAAAAAGTTTTAAGCACATGACATCATCACATAAAAAAGGTCTTAAACGCCAATATTATTTTATAACAATAATATTTCCTTTTGGGAGAAGCCTTGTGTTCTTAGAAGTCATTTATATTATTGAGCAATGGTATTTACATACCGGTTACCACGAGCAGCTTGTCCATGTTGTCGGTATCACGTCACACCTGACACTGAAATGTCTGTCCACTGTTTACCTTTAATAGGGGGCTCAGCCGTGACCACAGCTCGCAGCTGCCATCTTATTTAATGGTCATTATGTGTAATAATTAATGTGTGTTGCTATTAAACTTTATCAAACATCATAGTTATTCGATTGAGTTAATGTAAAATTTATCATTCAATTGACGTATTCCAAGACTTTTTTCTAAATGGTACTCTGTGCAAGGGCGTGGCCAGGAACTGTTTCAGAACAGGGCAGGGCTTTATTTATGACAAGGGGGTGGGGGGGGGGGGAGGTCAAACTAGCGGACGGGTCACCTGATGGTAAGTGACTGCCGCCGCCTGCAACTCAAGAGTCACGAGAACGTTGCCGCTTTTAAGTAAGATTCAGGGGAAGGGAGGTAAGGGTTTGCACCGAGTGAGTGGGGTAACCTCACTCACTCGGTGCAAAGCAACGAAACAATTCCTCAATTCCGGTTCCATAATTCCGGTTTTCTGTGAGGTATCACTCTAGTCGAGCCAAGAGTCTATTTAAATATATATGAAATATTTACTTTACTAAATATTTGCGAGGATTCTGTCTGAATCTATTCAAAACCTCGATTTTTAAAGTTTTTTAGTCGGTCAGTACCACAGAGATCAGTTTTTAATAGACACCTAAAGATTTAATTAACGGAAAAAAACTCGACGAGACTAATAATAGATCGAACGAGGAGCCTGCGGTGTACTTCGTGGTTCTCGTGCGCATACGTATACAAGTGGATTCGTATTATTTTTTTGTTATTACAATGGTTTATAAAATACAATGTTTGATCCAAGCAAAAGTCCCACACTGTCCCACCGTGGATACGTTCATTACCCATTTCGATTACACGATTTTCGATTGGGAGTCAGGGCTGTAACTGCAGTAGCTTAGATAGACCGGGGTTGATTACTCGTACTTTCTACTAGCCTTCTAATACTAATACTTATAAATAAATATATATATATATATATATATATATACTCGTATATATATATACGTATATTATATCTAAGCTTTTTAAACAAATATGCAAGTAAAACAATAAGTTTTTTCTTTATATCAGTTTTATTTTCACACCCTTCCCTTTGATATTTATTATTGATTTAGTTATTAATTTGATTTGGATATTTATTATTATTATAGTTGTCAAATGGGTGTCGTAAGAGCCGAACTAAGGGAGCAAACTACGCAAGACAACAGCATACCACAGAGAAGCAAAGCTTGAAACAAACCCTATACCAACCCGTCTGGTCAGCATGATATAGTACGCCAAAACCTCCTTTACAAGGAGAGGCCTATGTCCAGCAGTGAAGCTGTTGATGATGATGATGATGATTGATTTGGACTTCGAAAGCGACTTAGAAGCAGACTTCGATGTCGACATCTCGTATGAGAGTCTTGTGTAGTTTGCGTACATGACAGATGAGGATGAGCTCTAGGCGTATGATAGGATAGGGTATATCCCGAGAGGTTTAGTGGTGGACTTTGCCAGAAGAAAGAGTGCCTTTAAGTAAGTGGAATCAATTTGTGCTATGTACAGTCTAGAACTCATGCAAGGTCGCAGGAAATTTGAAACAATAGAGGGTAAGCATGCTCCAGGGATCGGCTCTCAGTCCAAATCTCTTCCTGTTGATAATAGATGCACTGATATCGTCAAAACAGGAAGAAGCGCTGTTTTCAGTTGGTCAGTGATACGAGTCTAACGTCCAACTAAATTGGAAAAAAAGACTAGAAAAATAGCAACAAAGACTAGAGAATGTTGGCTTAAAAATCAGCAGGTGAAGAAAGTTTTATGTATAGAAGTTGACGGATAAATAAGTAGAGGACCACCAAAGAAAAGATGGATGGACTGAGCAAAAGGGGGGTTAAGAAAACCTCATTCCGCCGAGCCCAAATATTTGAAAAATCATCCTTGAACAGGGTGAAAAGGGGGGGGTGGAAGTTTATACGGGGAATCAATAATTGCTGAACCGGTTTAGATGAAATTTGGCATAAAGATAGTTTAATTATTAAGAAAGAACTTTGGCTACTTTATACCGCGATAACCAACACTCAAGAGGACGGAGCCGTGGGCAAAACTAGTTAGAATATAAGTATGGTACATAGTATGTTTATGCTTATACATGTCCTGCCTATGTGTGTATATTAAAACTATCAATGGCTTAGAAGTCGAAATGCAAGCAGTAGATACATTATTATTGATTAAATAATTATGTATTACTACACTGAATCTCGTTAATAGCTGCGAACATAAAAATAGTCGAATGACTAAGGGACATAAAACTTATTCTATGAAGGTACCTACTATTTTGTTTTAACCCGTATATATACTAAATTAGATATGTAAATCTTGTTTTAGTCACGTGGATATTTCTGTGATACCCAACTTTTTTGTTTCTGTACATTTAAAGTTAATTTTAATGCGCTTTTATCAACTTGCTACTACCTGTTTACGCAAATCTCGTACGTGGATTTTAAACTACTTTTAACTGCCCTGTCGAATTGAATCTCTGTATGTGCGTAGTCTGAATGGCAATTCTATAACTCGTCATGTTGAGGCCGATTGGTGATGGAGCCAGAATATAGATAGAGGACTTCTACTAGAAGCCGTTTTACCCGAATGTGCCACAAGGAAGCTTATGTGGTTGTTTTTTTTTTTTTTTTTTTTCACATTCACACAACGCCATCTAGTCCCAAACTAAGCAGAGCTTGTACTATGGGTACTAGACAACTGATATAAATACATATATACTTTTTCTTTTTTGTAAATACATACATATTATACATAGAAACACCCAGACCAAATCAAACATCAAATGTTCATGCACACAAATGTTTGACTTGAGCGGGAATCGAACCCGCGACCTTTGGAATAGCAGTCCGTTACACAAACCACTACGCCATTCGGTCGTCAAACGGTCGGTTCGCCGTTTGACGACCGAATGGGTGTATGTACCTACATAAAATGTTTATTTCTTTGGCACGCTCTGTAGTATAAACGGTTAGATCGATTTTGGTTCTAAGGTGTCGTTAGATTTATCTTAATCGTGAGAGAGACACTATGAACATTATAAAAAACAAACCGGTCGGGTTTTTGTTTTTTTTTTTTAAGAATTAGCTTTAAAGAATTCCTGTTTTGTCGTTAAGTGTTTTTTTAGTTGTGCCAAACTTTAATTTATTATCAATGTATAACACGGAATGAGAAAGTATATTTGGCGCTAGCCTGTTGTTGTAACAGTTTTTTATGAAAAATATTGACTGTTCTCTGAATTAAAAAATACAGAAGTTAAAGTAGAGGAAATATTTTAATTTATTCATACACGTAAACAACATGCTTAATTTCCCTAAATTTTCAAATATTCTCAATATTTCTAGTTGTTTGTTTCAACGTGACTTCAATGACATAGTAGCATAACCTTGCTTTTTTCTGTTTTAAGCTTCTATATTTAAAGTTACCAATAACAAATTACTCACATTCATTTTATAAAACTTGTCAAAACTGTTTGTGTGTTTTGTGTGATACAAAGGCTTGTCGCGAGATTTAAGTACTCGTATTAACATAGTTTGAAAATTTAAAAAAATAAAATCAATCAGATCAGAGAAGTTTTACTTTTTTTATATTACTACTAAACATCGAGAAAATATTTACCAAGGTGTTCAAGCGCCTATCAAAATACTACTGGCAGCGCATGAAAGGCTCGCTCCTTTGTTGTTGGATCTCGATAGGCTTCGTATATATTTGTAAAAAACTGTATGTCATTTTTATTACACGTACACTTCTGTCATTAGAAACAAGTCCAGTTGTTTAATTTTCGTAATTATCCCAAATCTTCCCCAAAACACTAGGTGTGGTGCGACTGCTCCCTATTTTGCTGCAGAAATTATCTTTTATATTTTTCTATGAAATCTACCGCTATTCAAAAAAAAAATTGTTAATTACTTTCTCAAATTGTTTCGTTAGCCATCAATATAATATACTTATTCAAAGAAGTTACAAGTAAGTAATTGTCTACGCGTCCAATGTTTCTAATTGATATTGGTTGCATGCACTGTTCCTCCATATATATATTTTTTGATGTTATAGGGGACAACACAGCACTCAGCAGACGAGTTATCTGTTGAAAAGTAGTTATGGAATGTAATCACAATTACATGTGATAAATCATATGATTTAAAAATCATATCGTCTGCTCTATGACTGATTTACATAACCCCTACGACTTAATTATTATTATTACGCTAGCACAAGATTCGCTAAATAAAAAGAAAATCATCTATGATATATGAAAAAAGCAAAATCACATGTGACTGTGTCGCTGTGACTAAAACCAATAATTTCATCAAATGAATATGATTTAAAAGTAGCAATAATTTCCATGTATAATGGTAATGGTCTATCGCAGCCCATTGACACCTGCAACTGAGGCGATATAAGTATTTTGTCGCCCTGTGAGTAACGAGAGGTAACTTCACCAGCTGAAAAGCGACAAAAGATTACTTAGGACCGGTTTGCTGTGAGGCCGTGTTCTCCCTCCGGTCAATGGCCCTAAGCGAGGAAGCATAACTATGCTCTAGTAGTGGTAGTAGTTAAAAGAGTAACATAAAGTAATGTCTGCGCTTTTTCCGGACCGATACGACCTTCAAACCTTCAAGAAAAAAGCGTACACCTTCTCCAAAGGCCGGCAACGCGCTTGTGACTCTCTGAGTTGCAGCAGACGCTTTTTATCCGGTGACCTGTCTGCTCGTTTGCCCCCTATTCCATAAAAAAAGGTGACTTGACAAATTTAACAGAATACGATCTCGTGCGGCCAAAAAATCGCATTCCATGTTTTGTGGTGTTGAATAGTACATGGCTGCAGGCATTGAGTTGAAACAACACTAGAGAAGCAAACCTCATTATCAAACGTCGAAAAAAGTGTAACCACTTTTGAACTTTGACGACGTAGCTTTGATACCACGAAACATTTGAAAGTAAACATATTTATGTCTCATTTACACGCGAGACAAGAACAATACCATCGCTCGGATTAGACAAAGACAAAGACATAACTTTACGATGGTGGGCCAGTGTTGACTACCGTATGAAATTTTACCCATAACAACCAAGAAACAATTTTTTTTTTAAAACAATTTTGTAATAAATTAAAATAATTTAAATATTTTAAATAATATTTTTCGAATTGAATGGAATAACTAGAAATATTTGGTTAAAAGAGTTTATATTCAGTGTAAAATCAAACTCCGCTATGAAGCATCAGTTTTGTATACAATTGTCTTTTAGACTCTTTTTTATAAGTTTGTGTGAATATTTTACTTTCATGATACAATCTTATTTTTACCTATGTATAAATAGTGGCATTTAATAGTAAAAGTGAATGATCAACTTGTACTGATAATAAATAATCCCCAGGGTGTATTGCAAATTCTTTTAATATTTTAAAATACAAATAAAATATATATATATATATATATATATATATTGCTTCTTATATTTTTTTATTTATATTTATTTACTTTTTTATTTTATATATATATATTTTTTTGTACAATTGTTATTTATATTTGATAATTAATTAAGAAAAATGAATGAATGAATTAATTAATTCTTTTATACAAAAGTCTCCAGCACTGCGAGCTTGGCAGAAGGTGAACGTTCAACGGGTCCCTAAAAAAAGTGATCGATTCAGCCCTAACAACTACCGTTCTTCCTATATTTTATTATTTTTGACAAAATGTTTAAAAACAGTATAAAGCATATTATTTCATAAATTATAAATTCTCCCACTAATGTGGGAAAACAAAAATGATTTTTTAATGGTAACACTGATTCTAAATTACAATTATCAATGTTTTATTTCAATTATAGCCTTATTTACGATATTATCAATACAAAAACCATAAACTTACACGTGATAAGTAATTCCGCATGATTTATTATGGTTTTGTGACCTTGAATCGCATTCTTTCACTACGCATTTACCCATTTTGGCGATTGTTACTGTCATGTGTCGCTATGTTCAACTCGGTTGACGCCACATTGAACACTGAATTGACGTTTGCTACGCATATGCCTGTGGACAGATGTGCAGTAGCAACGATTTTAGGCGGTAATTACTCATCTATGTTAGTATTATATCAATGGCTGCAGGTATCTGCAACTTGAGATCGACCGGAAACACACCCGGGCACACCGGCAAAGCCTCAGTGCTATACTTTTTTTTTTGGAAAAACATACATATTATATATAGAAAACACCCACATTCCGAAACAAATATTTGCTGATCGTACAAACATTTGGTCCGACCCGGAATATATTATATACTTACCCGGTTATAATTGCTGAGAATTAATCCTTCATAATTTGCAGGTAGATAAAACAAATGTACCATATTTAATAATTTATTGATCTCATTTTAAATAGGATTTACATAATTTTTTTGTTATCATTATTATTTTATTCAGAATATGTGCCAGCAAACAGGATTTTGTCTTCGTACATGATCGCGTACAGGAACGGATGGTCCACTGTGAACTTTATCGGTGGTGGTGGTTCTGACCACGAAGACATAGGAATTGCAACTGCACCTGAAATATAAATTGAGGAATATCAGGATTTTCTCATCTATCTAATTGTACATAATGAAATGAATTGTAGGCCGTTTATGTTTTATAAAAAAATAACCTACAGCGTTACTACCGGGCCCTTTGAATATTCAATTTTTCTTTTTTTCTCCTAGCTCTTAATTTGAAATTTAGAATGACATACATTTAGAATGACATACCCCAAGTTATAACGCCTTTTGACGTTTAATAAAATATTAAAATTTGCTTTGACATTCAGTTAGCCTATTGTGAAAGTCTCATGTGAGTAAGTAAGTACACCTATAGTTGTAATTACTTCAAACTAATACTTCAAATAGGGCAATTAGATTGTATCCTGGATACAAACATAGGATACAGATACACGAGAATCAAGACCCATATAAATGAAGACGTAAAGTATAGTCAGATGGTAGACAGTACCTACTGTTTATTACTGACTATTTTTTCGCATGCGGGCCTGTCATTCAACACAGCTATTTGCCATAAGACCATCACGCACAAACGCAGGCATACGTGCACCTAATCGTCGTATACTAAATTCTTACTACTGCAGCTTTAGTCCCATTGATATTTTTGTAAATAGTGTGAGCGTTTACAGAGTAATTAAGGAACTGCATAACACTATGCACTAATATCTCCATCTTATCTCATCTTCTTATCTTACAGCCTTTACTAGTCCACTGCTAGACATAGGCCTCTCCTTAGAAGGAAAACTTCAAACAAACCCTATACCAACCCGTCTGGCCAGCGTGGTGTAGTAGGCCAAAACCTCCTTTCTAAGGAGAGGCCTAATATCTCCATAACATATAGTATTGAAAAAAGTACAGTTGTCTAGAATGCTCTCAACCTGCTAAAAATAGTGTGTTTATCATTCGTGTGCATGTCACAATTAGCAATAATGTGTAGCTTAAAACACTATTTTAACCATTTCTTTTGTGATATTGTTTGTTTAAATTGAAAAAGAAAAAACAACTATTCTAAAACGATATTCAGGTAGGTGTAATATTTTGTAAATTATACGATCTCTGTCTGGTGATCCATGTTAAGCGATGTCTATATAAATAATACCTTTAACCACTCCTTGATCAGGCTGAATAGGTGTAGTTATAATTCCTTTTACGAAAAAAACAAACCAGTGAATGCTCCTGCAGTGGCGCCCTCTTCGTCTACTTTGATGAAAGCTTCCTGGAATACTTTAGACACTTTCACTGCAGCCTCCTTTACAATACCTTCGGCACCCTCATTGAATAATTCGCTCACGCCGACCTGTAAGTGAATAAAATATAGTCATATGCGGTTAACATGTTCAAATTTGATGTCGTAATTTCAGCGTATTTTGCTGTAAATATTCAGCACGGAAGGTGAACAAACAACTTTATAATAATTTGATAATATTTATGTTCTTACCTACGATTATGATGAAGAATTCATTAGTTAGACAGTTCTTTTGAACTCATCTTAAAAAAAATATTGACTTCTGAATGAGATGTGTCTTTTTTTGTTTTGTTTTTATTTCTTATAGATTTTTGCCTATTACATAGGTTAAAACTTTATAGAACATGCTAAAGTTTAAAGGTCGGGAGAGCTTAAACGAATTCCTCGCGCCTTTGAACACATAATTTAAACTCAACATCAGAACTACGCCAGATGAAACCGAATGGCTCGTAACTTATTTGGCCTACCTATGAGTATGTAACGATACCTTGTCAACATCTACCGCAAACTATGTTAAGAAACTTGGTTCTAAAAAAATAGTTTTTTACCTTTGGTAAAATTTTATTAAAGTCAATTTTAGATCTAATGTCAAATTTGGGCATGTCGAGGTCCACGTCACAACCGGAGGGTCTTAGATTGAACACTGCCGATAGGAGTCCCTGATTAGCCGCCTTCTCCACCACCGACGATAGACCGTCCACTTCGTTTGGGAGTACCACTATCATGCGGAAACCTTTTTCTTTGTAAGGCAGCTCGATCAACTGTTGGGAAATCAAAGTACTATGTAATTATACAATATGTTTGAAAAAATTAATAAAGGTTGGTATTTGCGTTTCGAGTCAGTTAATAAACTCTCTTAAGTATGGTCATTAGCACAGGGAAATATACACGTTATGTTTATATAGTATACTTCACTATACTACTACACTAAAGATCAATATTGCTTAAAAGAAGTAAAAAAATAAACAGACTTCGAAACCTTACCTGAGGCACAGTCATACAGGTCGCGTAATACCAGTATACATAATATACACACAAAAGAGCAGCTTAGAATAAAAGAATAAGCATATTCCCATGTATATTTAAAAAACTAAATTTAAAAGACAAGGCAAAAACTGAAAGAGAATAGAATGTGGCAACACTACAACGCCAGTCTGAAGTATTATAATATGTCAAAGTCGCTTAAACTATATTGCAGACTTAAACTGATGTTGACATTAAATAATAATATAAAAACCCGATTGGAACTCACCTTAGCTCCAAGACGTTCGCTATCGTAATAGTACAGAGATTGTAGTAGATGCATCATTGGTTTTTTAACGACACTGTCGCGGCTCACATGAAAGTCTTTCTCCTTCGTCTCTTCTGCTTTGAACGGAACATGCCAGTGACCCTAACGGTAAAAAATATATATTACAAACTGCAGTACTATCGATGCATGTCATAGCACATCTTTGAGAAATTTAAAAACCGTGTTTTGGCGAATAACTTCTCTACCGCTTCAGTACTACCACCTCACATAATATCGGTGTAAGGAAAGTTTTTTTTAATACCATTCCCCCTCCCATCCCCTCGAATTCTCGAGAGTTACTGGCGTTCATGGGCGACACCCGACAAAAAACACAAAAAGGAGGTCGCAATTCTTATATACACGAAATTCTTATGTGCGATGTACTCTTCAGACTACATAACTAAAAAATATTCGACCATAAAGAAAGCGAAATTTACAATGAAAATTTGTAGTCATTCTAGTTTCTTTGGTTTTTTTGTTAGACATATTGTTCAGAAAAACGCTTGAAAAGAACTAGCAAAACGATTTACTTGAATATTGTGTATGCTATAGCAAGGCTTTTTTAATGTCACTAAACTTTTGTGTGTCCTTTAAACGTATGAAGTGATTTCGATGGTCTTTGAATTATTAATGAAATTACTTTTGAGGTATATAAAATAAAAATACATACACTAAACTTTTGATTGATTTGATTTTAAAAACGGTTAAAAATATTTTTTTAGATAGATAGATAAAAATAGATTCACGCTTTTAACTTCTGTGTAATGAGTACATACTTACAGCGAAGTAAATAACGTTGAAGAGAGCTACTACTGTGTCTTCCGTTAATGTGTCTTTGCTGACTGGGTCCTTGATGTGACCTTTCGTCTTCTCACCGGCCTGTCAATAAACATTAACATTAATTTTAAACAATCTATGCATGTTTTATTTTGCTTAACTAAATATAACTGTATAAGGTTAATATTGCCTCGCATCGTGTGGTGAAAAAACTCACACTGCGATAACACATAGAGAACCGGTGTTAATCCATTCTTTCGTGGCTTTTCCCCGAGTGAGTGAGGTGACTCGAGGCCTAACTGCCCTCTTTCCCTAATTTTAAGGGGAGTGTACTAAAAAGGCGGCAATGCACTTATGTCTCTTAAGCTGCAGGCGTCTATGATGGTAGCTACAGTTCTACTTGCTTGCCTTCTAAACCACAAAAAAGTAGCTAAACCACAAAAAAGTAGGTAAATACCCATTTATTAATTTCAGCAGCAGCTTCCTCAGGTTTACGGAAGTTAAGAGTTTCGAGCTCGCAGCGGTAATCCCGGGCAGTTGCTGCAAAATTCTCGTCCAGAGTGTACAGGTCTGACACGGTAATTATTTCTGCAACCGTCAGTTGGTCAGGATCAATCTTGGAGAACTGCGTGTTTAATTCTTGGAATGAGTGTGATGCCTGGAATCATAGTAGGATTTGTCTTAAACAAAGCTTCCCGTCATGAGAAAGATGACAATAAAATGTCCATGGTTGGTAGAGAGAAATTTTTGAGTAAGAAATTTAACCATCAAAGTGAAACAAACTAGCCTGGTTTCCTGCTGCAATCGTAGTGGTGAAAAGTTTCTAGTTTAAAAAAAAAACAAATCAGGAATATATTCTGTGCCGGAGACTTTACAGACATACATAAAACGGAAACAAAGAAACAACAATTTGTGGATCACACGAAGTGTTGTCCCATGTGGTGATCGAAGCCTACAATTATCGAACACTGAGTACTAGTAGAAAGCGGCGTGGTCACCATTTAAACCACTACGCCATCCGTACAGTCGTATAACCTAATTCCCCCTTTTGAACCGAATGCAACTATTTAACTAAACGCAAAAATTGAAGTGATTACAGAAGACCTTGTTAAGTTGAGTTTAAATAATGGTTGCCTACATGTTATCCAAAGAAATACCTATGTTTTTTGTTTTTTGTGTAGGCACTACAAACGCCATTGAATTCTTATAAACATTTACAGGTCATCATCTCAACGGGGCTCTCAGTGAAGTGGTATGGCACATACGCACACGCACACGCACACGCACACTGACCAGCCAAGAAAACGGGAAGTCGACGTTTTGCTTATAATACTGAACTACTTATTCTAAACATTAGTTACATATTATATACGAGGAAATCGAAAATCTGTTCAATATAACATCATGTTCGTGATGAAAAAAAAAAAACAGAAGTATCCAGTAAATCGCAGATGAGCATACACACACACACACACACACACACAACTCTCACCCATTAATTATACAGATACTTCTTCCTTATCTACTACGACTATGCTTTCAGCTGTCAAGAATTTGGAAAGGCTGGTAAATACAGGTCTCCTAGTACGGATTCCAGTCTCCCACACAGAATGTTCATTAATGTTTCACATACGCTGTGCTAAGTTATTATTCATTATGATTGTAAACTGTGTAAGAAAAATACATGTTCCTTTGAGCCTTTTTTCCAATCTAGATTGAGGTCGGCTTTAAGTCTACTATGATACCGGTAAACTTCGATTATTTACGAGGAGCGACTGCCGTCAAACCTTCACAACCCAAGTACTAAGCGATATCGAAGTTCTATAGAAAGACTATTACGGGCTTTTATTTCTAAGGCTCCGACTACCCGTAACGATTGCCACAGACGGCTTAACGTGCTCTCTGAGGCACGGTGGGGTCTTAATGTGTTTAGACTGGGCACCTATCCATAGACTGACCAGGGTAAGATTGTTTAACTTTGCAATGTCTTAACAGTTAAAGCCACGGTAAGAAAAGAATATTGCAAATTTAAAAACGTAAGTATGTGGAGCAGGTCTGGTTTGTGTTTTAAATCACTTAACGAAACTCAACAGAGGGCCAAGTGCGAGTTTATTTCTCTTCCACTCGATCGTCACGGTGACCGCATTTGGCGCTGTGATTGGCCCGCACTGAAACCTTAACCAATCACAATGCCAAACGCGCTCGCTGTCGAGAGAGAGCTGATTTCAAATAAGCTCGCACTTTGGTATTGATGTTAATTTAGCAGCAAATGCTATCAACCTCAAAGGGAATTGTCTTAATGTACTAAAAAATATGTTAAAGAGTCGCCTAAAGAGGCTTATATTGCTTTCATTCAGTTTGTTTTATGAGGAAAATTATGGGAAATACCAATTTATTGTTTGTTAAAAGACACTCTAAATAACAATAAAATAAATTCATACATTTCTTTCTTCTGATTCTCCCAAAAATTTTCTGATTTCCTCTTTAGCATCAGGTCCGGTCCCCAAGTTATACAAGGAGAGCAACATCATCACGCTCAGGGGCGACGACACTATGTTTTTTTCTTCTTCGTTCTCATAAGTCGCCTGCAAATAAATTATATTTTTCTGAGTTTCTCATAAGTCTCGTCCAAAGATAGCTAGACCTACAGTTAGATCTTAGAAGTCAGGTCTACGACACCGAAACAACTCTAGTGCTCTTTCCTTCTTTACAAACGAGCCCTACTGCCAGCCAGGTTTTCTGAAGAAACCGAATGAAATTACAAGTACGCCCAAAAAGATCTAACTACTTTAAATGTCTAAGGTATTCTAGTTATAGTCTATTTTGAAAAACAATCTCAAAAAACTTGAGAAACTGTTGAACATGACAATATGTAGGTGACCTTTTAATAACAGGTACATTTAAATTAAAAAATGAAGACTTATATGTATGAAGATATATCTCTTATTCACCAAATTAAGCTAACTGCTTTCCAGATTTTAAAATGGCAATCTTCAAATGACAAAGATACAATCAAAAAGTTCTATAAAGCTTATAAAATCAAAATGAAGGGTAGGTAATTAAAATCAAAATTAACGGAGACAGACTTCTTCTGATCCATCGGCATGTTATATTGTCTTACTATTTTTTCTCACTTAAAGTAATATTTACCTTTCATACGCTATTGTTGGATTATAACTAAAAGACATGGCCATGACTCACCTTGAGAACCAACATCGTAGATGAATCGATGTTGTCGCCTAAATTTGTTCTCTCATAATTGGTCGGGTAGTAAATTGAATAATCGGCCATCGTGACACAGGCGCAACACAACACTGAAAAATTATTGGTTCAAGCTAGGAATATTAATTGATTCTATGTTACTACATGGAGTTATACCATGTGGTACTAAGAATATATGGAGACAAGTACCCTCAGAATACATACAATTTCTTACTTTATAGTACGTATACATACATACATAACTTAGATGTTAAGGCGATGCAATGTGTGGTTGTTCATACTCCATGTAGTAACATAGGATCAATTAATATTCCTAAATATTCATTGATCCTATGTTACTACATGGAGTTATACCATGTGGTACTAAGAATATATGGAGACAAGTACCCTCACAATACATACAATTTCTTACTTTATAGTACGTATACATACATACATAACTTAGACGTTAAGACGATGCAATGTGTGGTTGTTCATAGTACCAGCAAGGCATGTGCTACACAGTGTGAGGGCAAGCCAGCATAATGTCACACAGCAAACGTTCCACCAAAATAAACCTATGCGAGTCATTCGGCGCATGTTAACATCAATTCGGCTCAAATACTACAACCATAATTGCACCACCGCATCACGTACACTTAACCACTGCTGCTTTTACAATAATTTATTCAATTATTGAAAAAGGACGAAAAAGGCGCTTTGATTTGCTGGCTCGCCTCGTGTGTATGTAGCATAAAGTTGGATCGAGGTTTTGGGGTAGCGGCGGTCTGTATTCACCTTTTATTTTTCCAAGGATGTGTATTTAATTCTAAGCTATAGCTAGTACACTATAACAAATTGTGGGCAAGTTTCACACATTACATATAATAATGCAGGTAAGAACTTAACATTTAACTTAACTTAACGTTTCCGTAAAAAAAAATTACTGGTACCGTATAGGCATAGGACAAAATCACAGTGACCTGTGAAAGATTGGTGATTTATCATTCGTTTTTTTCGTAGGTTATTGTTGCCAATAAGTTATTTTCAGACGATGCATAAAGACCCTATTTCGACTATTTAACAGTAAATCTAGTAATTATTTTATTTTACATAGCTACCATACCCTACAATATAAAAATACTAGATTTAAAAAATACTGTTAAATAGCGTCTAACCTACCTTTTTTTTTTTTTTTTTTTTTTTTACGTGTGGAAATCCCCTCGGACCGTCACCCCGCCGGGGCTCTCGTTCGGCGGGGCGGTGTGTCGGACTCGAACCGACTAAAACCACACGGTGTGCCCTCTTTGCGCTTCCAGTTTAGGAGGGGTCCAGGTAGCTATCTCCTTCTGGACCCCTCCCAGCGCCGGCCCGCTCCTGACGCGGGCTCCGTCTCAGTGGACCCTCTCTTTAGGCGGCGTCCGGCACACGCGGACGCCGCCCCCTCGCGGCTGGCCAACTAATGCGGGTGGAGGGGAGAACCAGCGTCTAACCTACCTAACCTAACAACCCTAACATACGTACGCAAAAATTGAATGATAAATTACTGATTTGTTCCCATGTTTAGTAGGTACCGTATCTTCAACTATTATAATTAATGAAGTTAGGACCTCAGTGTCATTATACCAATGCTAAATAGATTTAGAAATAATGAAGACATCGCGTAAGTAGGTAACATAAACAAAAATAACATGCATTACATAAAATGCTATAACTGTCTGACTGATGGTTTAAAGTTCAGCCTAAACCACTGCAGAGCTGGTTCAGACTTCAAAGGAGGTCCTAGTCCTTATAATTATGATTTAAGCACCCGATAACAATGTTTTTTTTTACTCTACCCTCGCCAAAGAAAAACTTTACCACCTCTTTGAAATAAAAAGGAGTGTCAAGGATTCCGTAGCATTAAAAGAAAACGATTAGGTAGGTACATATACATAAAAATACCTTTCCCATTCAAATCAATATTATTAACTAAAAAAAAACTGCCGACATCTTACTCTCTTCACTTAACTATTTCATGTACGGTCGTCTGATCCCAAACTAGGCAAAGTACTATGGTAATCAGACTGATAGTAAACATTATTATATATTTCTAAATACATACATATTAAAGATAAATACACCCAAATACAGAACAAACGATCGTGCTCACCACACAAATGTTTGTCCTGGATGGGAATCGAACCCAGGACCTCTGGCTTAAGAGTCAGGGTCACTAACCTCTAAACTAACAGGTAGATATATCGTAAAATAAGTTGATATTCCGTTACACCCTTTCTTTGGTTTTTATTCAACATTAGATTACATTAACAAAAAAAAAAAACAAAAAAAGAATAGTTGTTCCAACATTTTTTAAAGATGCGCGGCTCATATCCATGGTAGCGTGATTTTATATACCTAGCCTTCCTTGATAAATAAGCTATGCGGAACCATAAGAATTTTTCAATTCGAACCAGTAATTCCTTAGATCAGCACATTGAAGCAAACAAACCAACTCTTCACCTTTATGGTACATAATTATTTGCTTGTTTTTTTTTTAGTAATAATTAATTAAGTATCACTGCCCATGATCGGCTTTACAAAATTGACCTAAAAGTTAAAATCTATGTTGTTACTTCATATTTTAAATCTACACCACACCAATTTTTTACAAAAATGTAACTAATGTTATACTAATAAGTTGTGGCAGAGACGAAACGGATTTTATCTCTAGAATATAAAATTCCTAATTCCTATTAATTGTTTAACTTGTTTCTGGGGGTACACAATAGGTAGCAAATCTACTTATACAGTACTGTATTGTGTACTAAGCTACTACATATATTGGTTAACAGTACACCCGCGGTTCTGTCATCACCTTGGCCTAGTTTTTAAAATATCTTTATACGGACTCAATAATTCCTATTAATTTCGTGTTCGAGTTTGAGAGATTTGAACCCCATGGCCAGTTAGTTTCTCATTAACATCAATGAAAACCGCGTGATGTGATTATGAACCCCCGGTCGGGACGAATGTCGCGCCGATGTATATAGTTCATACACGGCTGTAACTATTGTAAGAAGTTTCGGAAAAAAGTATTGTTACACATTTTATCCGTCTCCGTGTAACGCGCGATAATAATAATACATCACACATCCCACACACGGCCGTCTAATCCCAAACTAGGCAGAGCCTGTGTTATGGTAACCAGACTGCTGATAACCACACAATAATTAATAATCATCAAACAATATTTGTCCCTGGGTGGGAATCGAACCCACGACCTTCGGCTTAGCAGTCAGGATCCCTAACCACTAGACCAACAGGCCCGTCAAGGATCTTCGTTTTAATAAATCCCACGGCGAAACATGCTTATATTTGTACATTTTCACGGACGTGTACCTAATGCTTATAAATCTTCTAATATATTATTAATACCCTCACAAATGAATAACATGCGCCCCAACATCGTAAGTAAACTAGAACCTACATGAAACTTTAGCTTTTGGCCGCGGCTCCGCCAGTGTGTACTTATATCGATTGTCGCGGTAAAAAGTAGGCTATGTTTTTCCTTAAGGGTTACAGTATCTCCATGCTAAATTTCATTATAATCGGTTTAACGGGGTTTAGCTGTGAAAGGGTAACAGACAAACAGAAATGGCATTTATAACGTTAGTTGGAATTGTAGGTATATTTGTACAATATATAAAATTTTAATATATTTAAGTCACTTTTGCATTTTTGTGTAAAAGTTTTCTATTTATATTTTCTTCCTCCGAATCGCAGCCTTTATCTACTTGTGGGATATTTTCTTTCCACAACAGTCGGTATTATATAAAAAATATGTTATGTTATTTACATTTAATATACCTAAATGTTCGTAAAATATACATGTAACTACTCAGCGTAGGCATAGATATATATATTTTTAAAATATATTATAATTATAAAATAATATCGATTTAAAAATAAAAGAAAAACTAAGTTATACACTTTTCAAAAAAAAATGTTTCGTTACAATCTACACAATCGAAAATAGATAGATTGTATTTATTAAGACAGACACATCCTTTTTATCTGAAGCTGGCACTACACCGTCATCCTCGTTCTAAATTAACAATTGTACAATGCAATTTTGGTAGGTAGACGCATCATTGGATGGATATTCTTCAAGAAGTACAATATTCTTGATTTAGACACAAAATATTCTAGATATAATAATCACACAGCCTCGTAAAGAGTAGTAAATAGTAAACAATGTAATTCATATTTGTGAAACAATGGGAAATACATACCGGTAAATACGAGTAATTTGTCCATGTTGTTGGTTAGACGTCTTCTCTTATACTGAACTGAGCACTGACTGTCACTGACCTTATGTCAGAGAGAAACTATTTAAGACGATCACAGGTTTTCTTTATATATGTGCATGCATATACCATAGATCAAGTCATATTATGTGTGTCAGGATCTCTCAGAAAAATTACCGTATTTCATTTATTTAATACTATATTTATTGTTTCTGGGGGTACACAAGAGGTAACAAATCTACTTATACAGTGTACTAAGCTACTAATACATATATTGGTTAACAGTTCACCCGCGGTTCTGTCATCACCTGTGGTGACCGAGTTTTCAAAATATCTTTATACGGACTTACCGTACACATCTTTTCAGGGAAGGTACATTAAAGTATAAAGAAAGTGCCAAATAAATATCAGATTTAGACCAATCTGAAAAATACACCTGCGATCCTGTTCCACACTATATTATCGGTTTTTGAACGTAAAACGTTACATTAATCATTTGCTCTCAATCAGCTGATAGCCGCACTAACTTACAATTTTAGAATCAAAATAAACAAGATCGACAAGATTGTTTTATATTATGTTCCTACTAAAATATAATAAAACTTTTATGAAATATAGCATAAGTGAAAATTCTCCCGCTTCATTTCATCCAACGAATATAATGTGCGTTAAACAACAAATCACAGTTATTAAAAAAATAAGTGACAGCTCTCCCTACTGTCGGTATTCCTAACGGTGCAGCGTCCGTCATAAAAATCTGTTTACTGCTCAACCAATCGTCACCAAATTATGCACGCGATGGGCGGAGGGAAGGGCATGAACTCAACCTGAGTACATTCCTGGCTAGAGAAATGTATAAAACTGCGAAATAGCAAATGAGCAGCACAACAATTACTAGGTACTAGGTAGGTACTCATCATAGATGTACCAAAATGTAACATAGCCTAACTCGTCCACTCTGACTCTGATGAACTTCTAAGTTTAAGAGAATTCCCTCTTAACTCGCCCGGAGTTAAGAGGGAATTCCCTTAAACTAAACTTTCATTTATAAACAAATGTCTAAACTTTTCCCATGGCAACCTCTGACTTAATTTTAAACACGTTTTATTGAAATGTCACTTTGGAGTTATTTTTTCCCGTTACTTAAGAAATAGCGGTATAGGTACATAATAAAATCTAAGGTAGCAACTAAACATAAATGGTTATTTCAAGTTTTTTACTTTTTTCAAATTACTTAACGGTAATGAAGTGACATATGAAAATGATGTTTACTCCCCAAGGACTTTAGTTTGCTTCACACTAAATCTGTTTTTGCGTACCCTAGGAAGTATTGCTGATTATTTCGTCCTGGTATCAACGGTCAATGACTGTATCAATCAACGGTCAATAACAATGAATATCAAAGGATTCATTATATTCCACTTAAGACGCAACCAGCTAGGATTGTATCGCCGAGTGACGAGTACCTACTCAGCGACGTATTTACATAGTATGAGCATCTATATAAACACGTGTGGGCTCTGTCCGTATGCCTAGTTTTCGGGTATATACGCGTTCGTTTCCTTTGAAGCGAACAAACTTGGTAACAAACAGCGAGGCGAGCACTAACAATCGGAGAATAACTAGTATCGATCCCCACTACATTACTCTTTGAAGGACAATAACCTTTTAACACAGTGTTCGACATTCGTGAAAAGGAAGAAAACCCTTAGATACCCGTCGTCCTAATTGGCAGTCGGTCGCGCGATTAAGCATAGCGATTTCGTCGACACACTTCTTTAGTGTTGTAATTGAAGCTTGCAAGTCATCGGGCGAGCACTAGATATGCTCTCTAACGATCATACAATGGAAACTACAATTGCTACAAATCCCATTTGAGTGTCCTAATTGGTCACCCGTCATCACGAGTGCACTGCAACATAATTGAACAATCACCGCACTATTTTCTGGATTTATAAAGTACTAGCAATCCGCCTGGCTTCGCACGGGTGCAATGTAGATACTACTAATATTCTAATGTGGTGTCAGTGTGGAGTAATTAATTATACTATTATTATGATAGGACTACACTACAGGACATCTTAAAATGCAATATTTATAGGCCCGCCCCGAGACGAACGTACGGCCCGAAGGCGAACGCGGTGTCGGCCACTTTGCCCTGCATTTTAAACCTCTAATATGTTCATTTTTATGATATGTGTGATATGTATGTGCAATTTTAATATAAATTAAATGCACAACGTATCTAATGTATTTAATTGGCTAAGCAATAATAATGTATTGTTTTAAATAGCTTCGAAAATAACCCATTATTTTTGTGTTATATTTAAAATATAAAAATGGTTACTGTGGGTGATCCTTAAGAGATAGACATATATCATCGCGGACTTTTTTGTAGATCTTTTAAGATATACAATTCCGTATATATACATTATTTTGGTCTATCTCGGAAGGTTTAGCTAGCGTTTGCAATGTGAGCTCACAAAACAGGTTTTTTAAGACAATTTTTTTAAATTCTCCGATTTTCTCTACTATAGGTAACATGCATGTATTATACATATAGGTAAACCTTCCGTTTGAATCACTCTCTCTGTCTCTTTGGTGAACACCGCATTAAAATCTGTTGTAAAAGATTTAAGCGTACAACACAAAAAATCACGTTTATTTTAAACTATGTAAAGATATTATGTCGTCTGTCTTCTTTTTTTTCATTGTCACTTGCAATGTTCAAAGCAACATTGTCCGACAGCAAAAACTGCACCTTTGCAAACAGCCCTTGTTGAAATTGCGCCGCTGTGGTGATATTGCGCGTTGGACATCTATTTGGATGCGTATCGTAAGCTATTTGGAAACCCTAAATAGCTTGCAATATGTAAGCAAATGCAAATAGATGCATCTCTGAAAAAAGACATTATTGAAATAGAAATAATAATTGTGGTGGCATCGCCCGATGGGCATCTATTTGGACACCCTGTTAGACCACCGCACGATTATTTTCATCCGGTTAGGTCGACGTCCAATTCCTTATCCGCTTATTTATCTATTAAAACTCTTCTCGTAGAAGAGGTTAGATTTTTCGAGTTATTTAAAAAAATCGAAACTATGAAAATACAAGTTTCTCAGTCAACGTGATAGAAAAAGTACCAGTAACGTAATACAAAAGTACAAATTTTTTTAACATTTTGCAGGTATCGAAATCTAAAGGGTATCTTCCTTGCACCGAGGATTTTCGGAAGGGATTTCCGCACAGAAAAATGAGTAAAAAGGGTACTTTCATTGGGAGTGATTCCGTGAGAGAGGACGCACGTCGGCCACCGGGCGCCGTACATTAAAAATGAATTAACAACTTATCTACTTATGTTAAAATTCATTTTAAATTAAAGTTTCCAATATAAAATAGTAAGGTCGGTTGAAGATCACAGTTTTTTCTTGGATACAATTTCCATTAAAAGGATTATTCATCGTTACAAAAAAATATTTCAAACAATACCTGAATCATTTTGAGGATATAATGTTAACGCCTATTTCCAAAGTTCTACTGATCTGTTCTCACAACCTACTGGTTCGAATTGAAAAAATATTTTAGTGTTGGATAGCCCATTTATTGAGGAAGGCTTTAGGCCATTTAACATGCCAATGAAAAGCCGCGCTCCAATGAAAACTGTTCCGAAAACCGTGAAAATTTATTGCTTTTAAGAGACGCAAAGTTGCGCGGGACAACTAGTATGAGATTTAGAAGTACTTTTAGAATAGACTAGCTGAGAACCGCGGTGTTACCCGCGTTTGTTGTTATAACCGCGGGCAACGCCGCGGGGCGAAGCTAGTCAAAAAAAGTAGCCTAAGTTACTCCTTATGTCATCAGCCATCTGCCAGTGAAAGTCCCGTTGAAATCGGTCCAGCCGTTCCAGAGATTACCCGGAACAAACAGACAGACAGACAAAAATTGTAAAAAATGTTATTTTGGCATAGGTATGTACCGTGTAAACATACATATGCATTTAGTAAAAAGCGGTTATTTTAATATTACAAACAGACACTCCAATTTTATTTATTTGTATAGAAGAGTAAGTCCCTATTGAATGTGTGATTGCATACAATCAATCTTCGGGAATCCATTATTCCGTTCTTTGATAGTAGATTCGTGTGACCAGAAACAGACCATCAACTGTGAAATGTCCGTTATCCTGTATGGGTGGATTTATAGTCTTCTATTATTGTGAGTTTTATTTACTTATTATCGCCATTGATGGTTTTGCGAAACAACTTGCAATAATTATGTGATGTGTAAGAGCATTTGTTCTGTATCTGGGTGTAAGTTACGAGGGTGCGTTTTTAAGTTCGCGGAATGAGAGGGTTGGAGGGGGGTTGATTAGGCTCATTAGAATCGTCATGTGTTCAGTGACTCATAATTAGTATAAATACCAGGTTTCATTGTTATTAGACAATTAGTCTTTGAGTTATCGTCAACCAAGCAACATAATCGGGAGTGAAAAGTGAAACATGGAAAAAATTTGTTTTTTTTATTTCCACCCCTTATCCCCCATTCCGCGAACATAAAAACGCTCCCTCGTAACTATGATATGTATTTATTTAGAAAGTATGTTTATCAGCAGGATGGTTACCATAGCAAAGCCTAGTTTGGGATCAGACGACCGTGAGTGACGTGTTTATTATTATTTTATACATACTTGTAGTTAAGAGCTCGGATTTGCCGGCAACAGCTACTTATTTAGAGTTGCAGTCTGATCTGCTTCAGCTACTGAAATTATTGCATACACCCCCCAATCCATGCGTATAAGTAGGTAATATCACCTGCCCAGCATTACCATCCCTTCTTATTCTGCCTTTCCCTTTCGATATACTTCTAACTGCCCCATGTAATCCTTATAGTGCTTGATCGCAATAGGTTTGCCCCTTGCCAGTATTCTATGCTTCTGTGTTTACCTCTCAAGTCGTCATTTTGCACATGTTGATTGTTAGATCTTCTTATCACCTTCTTCCACCATCTTCTTATTGTGAGATATCGTTTTTATCCATTACACTATTATATAACTCATTTATTACAGTTGGTTAAAATGGGAGATTAAAAGCCATTGTTCCAAACAATTATATAATATTTATTCACTTAAGTACTAGCTTATATTATTAAAAAATAATTTGTTAGTATTGTCATAAATAGTTGCCGCCAATTCGTCAATGTTCTCCTTACGTACCGCTGCCAGTATCTCAAGAACTTGTCTGTAAACAAATAAGTTATTATTTATAAGGTCAGACTCCTGCCAGGTGGAGGTGCTTGGTGTAGTAGGTCAAAACCTCCTCTCTAAGGAGAGGCCTACGTCCATCAGTGGACTAGTAAAGGCTTTTGGTTATATTATAATAAATCAAACTTTTTATAGCACCATCTAGCGATGACAGGCAGAACTACACGGTAACAAACGATTCTGTCTAGCACTGTCTCGAAAACTTTCGCCTCAATTTATTATTTAATATAATACTTTGGACATCTGACACACAACGCCATCTAGTTTTAAATCATTTAGAGCTTTTACTATGAAAGCTAGATTGACTGAAAGAATACTCATAATATACTTTTTTTTTATATACTATACTTATATATACTACTTACTATACTTTTATATTAAAATACTTTTATTATACATAGGAAACACCCAACCTCTGAAACAAATATTTGCAGATCATACAAACACTTGATCCGACCCGGGAATCGAACTCGAGCATACGCTACCACTGCACCACAGAGGCAATTAATTTTAGACTAAGTTTTTTTGAACGAAAATACTTAATATGATAGAAGTTGAACCGTAAGTAAATAATGGAAAAAAAATACGAATGTAGTAAGTTAAAGACTCACTCAGTGAAAGAACTAAGTAGAAATTGTTCCTCCGGTCTCACTTTTTTTGCTATTACATCGCCAAGTGAATCTAGGTATTTTTCAGTCTCGACCTTCAGTGCTAACATACTATATTGACTGCACGAATGGCGTAGTGGTTTAAGCGGTCGCCACGCCGCTTACTACTACGCTAAGTGCTGTGGGTCCGATCCCCACATGGGACTACACTTTGTGTGATCCACAAATTGTTGTTCTGAGTCTAGGTGTTCTTTGTGTCCGTTTCATGTATGTTTGTAAAGTCCCCGCGACACTGGATATACTTATTCCTAATGCGGGAGTTCCCTTAAAAAAAATATCTCTCTAACATCAAATACGAATACTCACATGATATTCACCGGTTCGTTTCTCCCTTTAACTTGGTTACTTGACCCCACCATATATTTCTCTTTCTTCACTGAAGGGAATTTGGTCACCACATGGGTGTAGCCAGGGTGAGTAGGCTTCACTTCACACCAAGGACAGTCTGTCTCAACCATAAGTCTGTCTCGTGGTATTTTTGTAACCACATTTAAACTTTCTTCGGTCCTTAAGGAACTGTAAGAAAACATAATTAAAAAATTACCAAAATTGCATAATTTTTAAAAATTATGGGAGTCATGCAGAAAAATTTTATGTGTAAAAAAAAGATTTAAATCTATACAAATAAATAAAATTGAAGTGTCTGTTTGTGATGTCAAACTAATAGGTTTTTTCAGCTCACACGGTTATTTACACGATACCTATGCCTAAAAACCAGTTTAAATATTTTTTGTCTGTCTGTGACCTTTAAAAGTGCTGTGCCGATTTTAGCTATAGCGAGGTAGTTGTTTATATAAGGAGTAACTTAGGTTATTCTTCCTCTCAAAAAAATGCTATAAAATTTTATCCAGTCTAGGAATCGAACCCGAGGTCTCATAAACTGCAGTTGCGTGCCGTACTTCACCACTAAGACAGCACTTTTTGAATTCTAGCTAGTACATAATAAAAAAAAATGCGTGAAATCCAGAAATGCCTAAACTAACCATCCATTGATACCTATGTACAATCCTAGCTCGAGTATACTGTGTAGACTCTGTTCGTCTCCATCGAAAGAGTGCACCACGCCTCCAACGACACTGTCTGTGTTGCGCTTCAAGATCTCCACCAAGTCGTCGGCAGCAGCACGGCAGTGCAGAAACAGCGGCAGTCCAAACTCACGGCTTAGCTGCAACTGATATTCAAAATACCTGGAACATTATGTATACATACGGAGAGTGGGGTCTACATTATTCTGCTTCTATACATTCAGTCAAAAAAGTATCGGGAATGGATGATTTGTTTATGGTTCCAAATTCAAATTTTTTATTTTTTGTTGATGTTAGATTGGCACAACTGTTTTCCATTTTGGCGCGGAGTTTGAGTTGCATCTGTTATTTATATTAAATACAGTGCTTTTTTTTAGTTAGTTATATCATATCTAGTGTGTATTGCGAATTTCATAATGGACAAAAACATCGAAAAACGAGTTTGTCTTAAATTTTGCATAGCCAATGGAATTTCGTGTTCGGAGTCACTGAAAATGTTGCAGAAGGCTTACGGTGAATCGAATTTATCAAAAACACGTGCTTATCGAGTGGTACAAAGCGTTCAAAAGCGGTCGAGATGTAATGGAAGATTTGCCTCGCTCTGGTAGGCCATCACCGTCTGCAACTGAAGTTAACATCGCAAAAGTGAAAGAAATGGTGACTGAAAATCCTCATTCCACTTTGAAAGACATAGCCGCCGAACTTTCTGTATCTCACGAGTCGATCCGTACCAATTTAACTAATCATTTGGATTTGAAACATGTTACCACTCAGCTAGTCAAAAAAGACCTGAATTTTCACCAAAAACTCAATCGCATGAGAGTCGCTGAGGACATGCTAGAACGAGTCAATTCCGAGCCAACATTCATGAAACGCATTGTTACTGGCGACGAGACTTGGGTTGTTGTGGAAGCTTGTTGACTGAAGTCAACAAGCTTCGGAGTGGCGCCTTCCAACTGAACAAACAGAAAAATTCTTGCCGGGATGTCAAACGGTAAATAAAGAATATTATTTGAGCGTTATGCGGCATTTAAGAAAGCAAATTCGACGAAAAAGGGCAGATTTGTGGAAAGAAAATTCTTGGATTTTGCATCACGATAATGCGCCTTCGCACAAGGCCATCATTGTTAACGAATTTTTGACCAAACACTTAACAAAGACCATCGAGCAACCACCATATTCACCAGATATGGCTCCAGCCGACTTCTTTCTTTTTCCTAAACTCAAATTAGGTACTACTTCGTGGCACCCGTTTTCAGAGTAGAAGACAAAAGGAGAAGTCGCGGTGAGAACTGAACTCAATTCTGGAAACGTTTAAAAAATGTTTTGATGATTAGATTATTCGTTAACGTAAGTGTATCGTATCTGAAGGTGCAACTTCAGGTAACAAAATAAATTTGGATGAATAACAAACATTTTGTGTATTATTGATCTTTTCTCGGTACTTTCTTGACAGAGTAGTATATCCGTACCTACATTATATCCGTAAACATTTAAAAACTATTTTAAAATGTAATGCATGCTGCCACCTTTAGCTTAACTAGCTATAAGAGAAATTACTTACTTTAGCTGAATTTCCTTAGTGCAGAATGTCAATCTATCATAGTCAAGCCCACATTCACCAATTGCAACTACTTTATTCCTGTTCTCTGCTATAAGAGTTCTGAGACTCTGAAGATATTCCTCAGGATTTTCAACAAAGTCATTACACCTGGTTGGATGGCAGCCTACTGTTGCAAATAACCTGGCTGTAACCCACAAATAAATGGCAGTTCAATATTAATCAAAAATTTATAATAAACTACTAGAAACAATTAAGAACAAAGAAAAAAATAACATTTTCATTTATAAGTTAAAACTTTTAATGTTACAAAAAGCTATTACAGTGTAAAAGAATATATGGAAGAAATAAAAAATTTGTAACAATGCATTTAAAAACATTATATTACCTACTTGATAAGGACAAATAAATTAAAAAAAAAACATCATGAGAACATAGCCAAGCCTGACCAAAACCAGGTGCAATAATAATTAACTTAACAAAATAAAACACAATAATACTAATAACCCTTATAACAAATAGTACAAACTTAGTGCAATAAAAATTTACTAAATATTTAAATAAAAAATAATGGCAGATTGAATATACTTCAATAATATATTATAAATAAATTTAGTAATCATTCCCCTCTCTATCTCTCCTATGCTCTGCCCGACAAGATCCATAATTGATACCTAGCTAAACAATAAATTATATAGGTTTTCATTAATTTGTCCTTTCAATTGCACTCCATAATGTAAACACAGCTACTATAAATGTAGGCAGAAACAATTATGGACCCTGTCGGGCACGGCAAAATTAGAAGAGAAAAGCAAACATTCAATCATCCATTAAGCATCTTGAAATGTATTTTAGTAAATAGAGCTAAGTAGATTTTTATTTTATTGCTTACATATTAATTATTATAGTAATAGTTATAGCAATTATAGCAATAGTTTACTACAAATTCAAATTTTAAATATCTTTTATAATAAAAAAAAAATATTGTTTGAAATCGTCTTATATGTAGATTTTAAATTCGTAAATCAACACAGACACAGTAGTAACAATCTCTGTTTTGTCAAATAGTTATGCTTATACAAAATCTATGATATGCCTGTGCCGATCTACAATCACCCATTTCCAAGGGGTTGAGCCTTATTGAGAAGAAAGGGCAAACAAACTCATAGCCACACTTTTACAATGAATACATAAATACAATGGCATCATTAAATATACCACAACATTGTTCCCATGTGTGCCAGTATGTCTGTTATCTGCCATATGTGCTGAGGCACATATGGGTCAGGCTCAATGAGGGAGCCATTCCCACAATAAAATCTTAAGTGTCTTACATGAAGGTAGAAGGTGCTTAAAAAGACTATCCAATATCTTATGTAATTAATGAATAACCCTCACTTACAATCAGTTTGTGATAATTGTATTGCTGTTTTACTGTCATTCAAGTTGCCACCAGTAATAATCATTTTCTGCAAACCACCTTCCCAGCTCCGAGCAAGCACCACATCTAAGTCAGGCTCGTGTTTTTTTGACCCATGATACTGTCCTTGATACATAAGATCAGTCAAGTTTGCACCGATATCTAAAACGTAGTAAAAAAAATATTTGTTGAATATACAAACATTAATTTACAGAAAAAACTAATTCTGCCAGATATAAAAAATGCAAATCTCATTCCGTTCATTATACAACGTAAAATAAATCCTACAATCATATTTTCATAATGATAGATGCTTAGCGTTCTATAACGGCTAATAGTCGGCGCTCCTTAGGCCTTCGGTCATCAATGGACAACAATAGGCTGCTGATGATGATGATTTGATTTGGACTCGCCAGAGGTCGTGGGTTCGATTCCCACCCAGGACAAATAATTGTGTGATGAGCAGGGTCATTGGTTCTGTGTCTGGATATTTCAGATATATATTCAACAAATATACGTCTACAAACTTTCTTTTATTACGTTACGTGATAATACAAATCTTACCTACATATTTTCTAATTGAAGCCATTGCTCTCATTTATCTCCAACGTAATAATTATGAAATGAATTTTCCTGACCAGCTGGGCAGCTATTACAATCACAGATTACAATATACTCTGTGGGCAGCTATCAGATTACTGAACTGCATGGTACTCTGTAATGTCCGTCAGTGTCAACCTCACTCAGCCGCCATAGATTATAAATTATACATATAAGTGTACGCCGCTGTCATGTAAATAGGGCTAAATAGGGGTAAATAGGGTAACTTAAACCAAATAGCAGTAATACAAAATGCTGACTGCACGGATGTCATTGTACCGAATATATTAATACTTTACGAAACCCGTTGGTTACATATATCAGTGTGGTCGGGGTATTCTTAACGCTGTCGAAAGACAGTAACGATGCTTTCAGAAAATGTGCTTTTCAGCTACAAGTTCTGAATTTATTGTTAGTGTTTGCCTCATAGCAAAATATTCTGCAAAGTATAGATTTGCTTCAAAGTGCAAAACCATTTAAAAGAAAAACCAACACTGAGAAAATGGCCCTGGCCCATGTTCGATGCTAAGCTTCGATAGCAGAAGCAGCTTACTCTCTGTCTACATTGCAGCCTCACGTTAATGCTTCACATTAGCACGGTACTATTATAATACAGTACTCCAACTTCATACAAACGGACGAAACGCGAGCTATACCTACTCGCCTCGATCTCGGGGTGCGCTCGGGGCGCAGACAGTCACGGCTGTACCGCAGTGTCGAACGGACTGTGTGTTGTTTTTTTAACAATAACCGCGCGATATTTTCTCTAAAAATCAGTTAATATGACGAGTAGGAAATATTGTGCTGTTTTTGGTTGTATGAATTCGTCAATAACGCATCCAGACATAAGTTTTTTTAAATTACCTGGAAACTCTGAAAGGTAAGACTATAAAATAATTTTACTTACTAGTAGGTAGGTACATAATGTGTGTCTTTTTAATGGATAAGTATTTCCTTTTATCTCACGAAAAAAAAGGTGTTTAGATGAATAAATAAAGCAAATAGAGTAACGGAAAGTTATTGAGACGAGTGGAATAGGGAGTTATATGCGGTTCTGAATGAATCATGATACGGTAGGTACCTACCTACTTACGCTTGTGTTAAAACTTCGGTGCATGTGTGATTTGTTACTTTGCATAATTCAAAGTAAAGACGTGGTATTTTATTATTAATAATATTGGTTTATTATCTGTGTGTATGAATAATACTTGAAAAAATTTTTTACCGTCTGTGTGTCATTAGACAGTTTTCGAAATTTTCACAAAGTGTTTCTGCTGCAACTATAACAACATATAAAACTAAAAACTGGTTTTATTTTCTCGGTATTAACAACAACAGCTAGAGCTAGGTTGTGATTTTAAAACATTCGTAGTCAGCTGTTCAGCTTTTTAATAATTAATTAATTGGTGACCAAAGAATTTTTGTTTTGAGTAGTTGCGAGTTGTAGGTAGGTACCTAATTTATAGAGACGTTAATAAGCTGAGATAAAAAGTTACTTACTCGTCAGCTGTTTCTTGCATTCTAGTTGAGTAGGTAGGTGTTGGAGTTTCTAAGGATTGGAGTTTTGTAACGCGTAAGGAGAAAGCACATTTATTTTATTTTATAGAAGGATTTTTTTCGGTCGCAAATTTATAAGCCCGATTTGTTTTTTCAAACAAAAACATGTTTTTTTAATTAAATCTACCAATCAAAAAACAACACGCATTTTTATTGAACACTTCCTATTCAATATACAAAGTATTTTATTTATTTCTATAAAAAAAGGATATTTACAATCACAAATCTAAATAGAAACAGAAAGTAGGCAAATATAATTAAAATGCTGGAGACGGGCAGCCCTAACGCATGTTTACGTACCGCGCGGCTGTAGGCATTTATTTCTATCATGCGGCCGAGTTACAGTACTGTATTATAATTGTACCGTGACATTAGTGTAGTGACTTTCAGACCATAAAAATAAAGTCAGCACACTTCACTCCATCAGCTATGTTCATATCGTAGTTTTTCGAACCTCTATACCTCTATAACCTCTAACTTTCAGTATACAGCTGAACACTTTTTCAACTTTCCCATCTTAAGAGATGGTTCTCCTTGCCTCTACCCTGTATACTAGCTGACGAGGTGGTCAACTAACTAGTACATAATTCCACGTAATTTTTTGTAGATATTTTGAAAAATAGGACGAGTATTTTGATATTAGCAAATATATTTCAGTAAATTGATTGAGGTGATTCGTTCTAAATCATTTTACCCATGCGGTAATCACTTTACATATTTTTTTTTGTCTCATCATCAGCATTAGTTTAACATAGTTCTCTTTTAAAACTTGATGGTTCGGTAAGATGATAGAAGGGTAGATGTTTACAAAATTTAATAATAATTCTTAATCAATAGTATTTAACCCTCTTTGCGAATTTGACAGAAACAATTTTGATTAATTCCATAGCTTCGTTGATAGTTATTAAAGCTGTTGCATTCTTTTATAAAACTGTGCATTTATTGTTCCATCATTTTAACAAATTTATAATAATTATGGATGATGTAAATGAAAAAGAACCTGATTCTGGAGTTGAAACAATTATGGATAATGTGAATGAAAAAGAAACTGAAACTAAAGTTGAAACAATTATGGATGATTCGAATGAAAAAGAAACTGAAACTGGAGTTGAAACAATTATGGACGATTTGAATGAAAAAGAAACTGAAACTGGGGTTGAAACAATTATGGATGATGTGAATAAAAATGAAACTGGAGTTGAAACAATTATGGATGATGTGAATGAAAAAGAAACTGAAACTGCAGTTGAAACAATTATGGATGATGAGAATGAAAAAGAAACTGAAACTGAAGATAATAAAAGTGAAGACAATGCAGATTCACAAAACAAAGACAATCTCAAATGCAAATGTGACTCTATAGAGTTACTAGGGCGGATCACCAAGAAGCCGGAGAAGCTAGACAAGAGTGAAATAAACGATATCCGGTTAAACTTGTTCACCGAAAGGAATTCAGATGGAACTGGATACCTCGTGCTTCGAGGTAAAGATATAGAAAATAGGTACAAAAGAAGAATTATGGACTCTGATATTAGGGCCATATGTAAATATATAAAACAATCTCCAAGACGAATTATCATGTTAGATTTGAGCTATAACCGAATTACGGACAAAGGTTTCATTAAATTACTGAAAAAAATACTTGTCAAAAGCAGATCTAGCATTATAAACTTGAATATAATGAACAACAGGCTGTCTGCTGAGTCCATTTATTATTTAGCAAATTATGCTAAATATGTAAAATTAATTTATTTAAGATTGAATGGAAATAAGTTTGGATCTAAAGGCGGTGAATACTTCGCAAAATTCTTGATAAATAATAAAACAGTCGAGTACTGTGATATAGGTGAAACCAGTCAAACTTTATCGAGTGTGGCGCAAGTTATTTCAGCTTTGAGAAAAGGACATGGAGAAAATACAACACTAAGAGTATTTGATTTTAGTCGAATCATACCGATGTTTAACAGATACTCTTACGAAACAAAATGGTTCGCGTATCATATTGAATATCTCTTAGAAAATAACTCATCTATAATAGAATTACATTTACAGAAAAATGAGTTTATTAGCCACGATGTAGAGTACTTTGTTCGAGGTTTGCGAAAGAATAACACATTGTTATATCTAGATCTTGGTTTTAATAAGATTGGAGATTATGGAATTGAATTAATAGCAAAATATTTAGCAGAAGGTCCACAATTGGTACTGCTAAATGTTGCAGGTAACAGTATCAATGATTTGGGTGCTAGAGCCTTAAGTTTCGGTTTGCCATTTTCCAAAATCCGCGCTCTTGATATATCTCACAACAGACTGACAGATGCAGGGTTGCTAGACTTATTAAATACGGTGAAAAAACCTTACTTTCTACGGTTTTTAAATATTTGGGGTAATAAAATTGGTCCCCCAACTTGCGAAATTATTCATAGAATGCTTGAAAGTGGCGTTCTGTTCCAACATACCATGGATGTAAAATTATATGAAGTGGATGAAGTTTTGTACGCAGCCTATTATCCGAATCCTGCTAATAGAAATAAGCATTTATATTATAATGAAATGGATTTCGGCGTGGCTCAACCAATTTACCATATAACGAGAAATGTAATTGGGGAAAAGAAAAAAGTTAAAGTTGATTGCAAGCAAAGGCATAAACTGGATAAGACCGATAGAGATAATTTTTAAATTATTTATGTAAAAATTTGTCATGTTATTTACACCTATTTCGAATGTTATTAGAATATTGTTAAATATATACATATATTTTAAATTATTGTTTTGCTATGCGCAAGTCGATTGCATTAGATCACAAGAGATGCTTAACGCCATAATGTGTGAACACACCGCCAATACACTGATGTGTGGGATAAAATCATCAGTTGACAAGCTTTTTCAAGCACAAGCGAGATCGGCCAAACACCTGTTTACACACGACACATTATTCTACTTCGATCCCCCGTGCTGGGGACTCAATGAGTACTAATAAAACCTTTTATAGGAAATGACCAACTGTGTGATATTAGCGTTCGCACTGTGGAGCGCGCGCGCCTTTTAGGGTGTAGAATGGAAACACACATCTACAAGCTATAGATGGCCCGGAGTCACAGTGATTTCCTTCCTAGGGTACACCTGATTCCCCGGCTACTGATACCCCAGACGGTGTGCGGTTTTTAGTCGGTTCGAGTTCGAAATACCGGCAGGTGGTATCCGAGGGGATTTCCGCACAGAAGAAAAAGAAAAGGGGATCGGAGTGGAATGTTATTTAATCCCCTAGGAGATTAACCCATGGGATTCAAGTGGAAAGAGAAGACTATAACACCCATTTATTATAATTAAATTTAGTATTTATTTTAGTCTGCCTATAGACAATTTCTGTCTATGTATAAAAGTATAGTATCCTACCAAAAACTAGGTCATCTAAATTTCGATCATGAATAAGTGTGGTATAGATATATTATTAAAACATTAATCTCAACATGACATGCACAATTATTACAAAGAGAAGGAGGGAAATGCAATTGAAACTTCTAATAAATCACTAACAATATTTAATTGTGATTTCTTACAATTATTTCGTACAACACAACATTTATCATCATAGATTCAGAGGAACATATTTTAAACAATTTTCCTTATTATTTTCTTCTGTAAAACTCGGTTAGGCAAAGTAACAAATTGTATAAATTGCATCTATGTTATATCAAAGGCGTTTCATACTCTTTGTTGAAGTGCTCTTCCGTGTAGTATAAAGATATCATGTTGATTTCGTTCACTACAAAATTAAACTAAGTTGTGCAGAAACGATTTAATCCGCAAACAGGTCAAATGAGTAATATACCAAATAACTGTCTAAGAATTGTCGTCGTTATAAAAAGGTATTTCTAATCATCGAAATTAAAAGTTTATTTCTAGAGAGATTATAAAACCAGAGAATGTAATTTTGCCCAACTAGTTTAGCATCCATATTTCAATTTTGGCCTGTTTGTAGATCATCTGTACAACAGTCTAAATAATGTTTGAAACGTACAGAGCTTACCACACGTGGCATAGATTTAAGTATTTCAAATATGGTGTAGTTGATTATGAACATTTTATTTCACATGTTCTCTCTTCGTTTATAGAAGTATAAAGAAAATAATAAGACACCTAAGTTAGCGACAAACAAATAATAAACTGCAGACAAAAGGATATTACTAAACAATATTACAGTTCAATTTGAATGTTCCTCATTATTTTGTTAAAATTCATTTAAAACACGATCTCTCAACACAAAATAAATATACTACAAAAAGCTTATACCTCTATATCTCATTTGTTAAGATTAAATAAGAACAATGTTTATTTAGATGACACGAAGAGGTAACTAGATCATACAATACCAGTCTGTAGCGATATTTAAATGCTCTAGGAATGTATTTAAATACTGGACTTTTTCAAATTAAATAACACTAAAATTTATTTGATGTCATGGATGTACAGTGAAATTAGTCTCGAGAAATCTTTGCATATGTAGTGGTGTGTATATTACTCAGATCTTAGAGCGCGTTTCCACTATATCGTTCTGGCCTATACAAAAATGTTTCGATATCCTAACATTACTATTTAATTTTATATTTATCCCTAGCAACACTCTGATTTTTGTTTTCAATAAAAACAAGTTTTTATTTTAAAGAAAAAGGTTTTGACTTTATAAAAAAAAAGGTGTATGTGCGATTCACACACGATAGAAGTAAAACTTCAAAGACGAGAGACCAATATTTAAATATTTTTTTTTTCCTTTCATCTAGGTTTTTAAATCTCCGGGGTGTCTACGGGGGGGGGGGGGGGGGGTCAAAATTTTTGTTATTTTTGGCCTAGGACGCACCGTTTCCGAGATATTTCAATCTAAAGCAAAAAATCGTCACTTGATAGTGGAAAGTGGAAACACGCACAACCATACACTACTACAAACGCAAAAATTTCTCCAAGCTAATTTACCTGTAATGTTTTAAAAATATTATTTCAATGATATGATTTCATTATTGCATAGATTTATAAATTAAGTTTGAAGTGTGACGTTGGTGAAATTTCCAATTTTTGGCACACATTATTTTTAATGACAGTTTTTTAAGAACTTTGATAGGTATTAAAGGTGTATAATTAAGGATATTTTTACTTATTCATCAATAAGTTTCTTATCTCGGAATAGATATCAAATAGTAGAAATGGTATAGAAGTTGTTGGTAACAAAAACACTAAACAACCGAATTATTTGATTTTATTACTATATGTTGTTGGTATCTGACTTACTTCTAAACTTTTGTGCAAACATGGACCATTAGAAAATAAGCACACACTACGAAATTTAAATCAACCTTGAAATTTTTAGGAGTAAATGATTCTAACTGTTTAATAGTCAACTAGTATCATGCTGTTATTACATAAAAAGTTAAGTTTTAAATAAACTTTGTGTGTAACCTCATGAGGTGAATGCATGCCAATAATTGTTTCTTTCAAATAATCAAACCCATATGTGGTAGTAGCCACAAGTTGTGTATTGTACTCGATGATATTTTTGTAAAGAATATATGTATACATAAATAAGATTAGGCTGGGCACATACCAGGCAGTGGACTGTGTTTTTTTAATGCTAAATATAGCATTTTAAATTTAAAATTATTGATCAATTTTTTTTTACTAATAGAACACATGACAAACAACGAGTCCTAAGTAAATGTGATATCATTGATAAATTTCCAAGTTTACAAATTCTAAAAAGTATCATTATAAATGCTAGTACTACACAAAATCTACAGTAACATTTAAAATATGTCTAAATTTAATACAGCACTAGAAAAAAAATGGTGTCTTTTTTTAAATTGTGCATGAAAACTTAAAATCATCAAAATTTAAAACTGATATTTTCGAAGTTATCACAATTAGAACATAAATGACTACAAAAAATAAGACAGACTATTGAGAAAAGGTTGAGGATCTCTCCGAACTTTGCTATTAAATAACATGTGGTTGGTCTCCTAAAAATATATAAAAATATTTTGACAGACATTGAATAAAAAAAGTAAAGTTAAATTAGATGGTGAACAGATTCTGGTAACACAGTCCCCTGCCTGTGCAACTCAGTGAACACTAATGGTGAGCGAAAATGCTTCAGGGTATCTTAGAGTAGATATGAACTTGCTCTCTGAACCAGTGGAAGTAGGACGACACTTGGGACCTGGTCACGTTGAGGGCAGTCTGTGTTTTGTTTTGAAGGATCTCTGGCGCCCACTCGCCGCTGAAAATATAACAGAAAATGATATTAGTTAACACAAAAATTTTATTGGAAAGTTTAAATATTTTTCTTAGTTTATACATAACACTATATTCTTAAAATATATTATTAAAACAATATCAGTTATGATAAAACATCCACAATCAACAGACAAAACGTCATCTAGTTTCACACTAAGCAGAGCTTTTACTATGAAAACTAGATTGACTGAGATATACTTTTTTTGTAAATGCATACATATTATGCATAGAAAACACCGTAATTGCGAAACAAATATTTACAGATCATACACAATTTGGTCCCGGGAATCGAACCCGAAAGCTCAGCACAGCAGTCGCATACGCTACCACTGCACCACCGAGGCAATTAATCTTAAATGAATGCAGTTAATAAAAAAAGAAAACAATCGCTACGATTGGCCCGCACTGAAACCTCCACCAATCGCAACGCTCAACGCGCTTGGCGTCGAGAACGAGTCGATGTGAAATAAACTTCACTCGGCCCTCAGTTCCGATCAACTCTTGATCTCACAACTGTCATTAAAGGTATTTTCGTAGTAAAGCATTAAACATCCAACGTTGACTGTAATGTGAATAGATCGTATTGTGACCGAAAATTGAATAGTATTAATACGAAAACGTTCGGTCAAAATTTGAAGAAACTTTTATTATGAGAATTGGCATTGAGTTGTAATTACAACTAAGTATATATAACTGACGCGTGAGTTTGTGATTGGTACACAATTATCTATCTGGTATTTGATAACAGCATACAAATATTTATTGTTACTGTTGCTTGTAATCATTACTTATGAATTTGTTTACTAACAATACATTGTGATCAATATTATTTGTGACAACTAAGATAGTGATTTTGTTACTAATATGAAAGTCTCACTAGGTGAAACACAATGAAATAACCCACTTTGGGCTGAGCCCCACGTCCTCATGCGCACTGAGCTATTTTTGTATGTTTCAATCAGATGAGATGACAACATACTACATAGATAAGTCTGTTCTAATACAGATTACAAAGGAAAATACTAAGGAAAGAATCTATTTAACTTTTAAAAATTATTATGACTTTAATATATCATAATGAACTTGTTTGCACTGTAATGTTTATAACTTAATTTTCACTCTTAGCTGTATTTTTTCTTTAAATAATTAAGAAGTAGACTCTACCGTTTCCCATGAACTAAATAATTTATAAAATCGGTTTATAAATGACGAGTTCTAAGTTAACAAACATATTTTAGAAAAAAAATATCCAATTGCTTTTTAAGTCGGTAGAAAACTACTAAGGAAAGTTGGAATATACGAAAAATAAAGCATACTTACATAAACACTTTCGTCGTCAAATATTCTGTGGTTAGTTGGTAATAATCGTTGGAGTATTTCTTGACAACTCCGAAGCCAGACGCAGTATAGCTCTGAATATTATCTACCAGTCCTGGCGCATACTGCTCTATGGCAGCAAGAACTACCGGAGTCTTCTCAACGACGTATTCTCTAGCATTGGAGTACAATGTACCTGCTTTCTTGGCAGCTATGAATGCAACATCTTTGGATAAGATTGCATACGGCTTGCATATCTCTACTGTTTGCGTATAGTATATCGGTGCGTTCGTTTCCAGCCATAGGTAACCGCGTGCCGATGTTGATAGAGTCTTCTGCCATGCGAGCTGGCTATGTTCCAGCACACCCAAGTCATTTAGTAAGCGACCCGTTGTGCTTTCTGTGGATAGAAAGGAATAAACAGTTAATTATAATATAAACACAAGATAGACTTGGATTGAGTAAGAAGATGTGGGCCCTATTCTTCCTGTGGGTTTCGTAAGAGCCGACTAGTGGAGCAAACTACGCAGTATACGTACAACAGCACTGGAAAGACAGGAAAACTTGACACAAACCCTATACCAACCCGTCTGGCCAGCGTGGTATAAACATCCAAAATCTCCTTTCTATGGAGAGGCCTATGTCCAGCACTATTGAAGGCTGTTGATGTGATGATGTGAGACAAGATTGAGTAAGAAGATGACTGCTGAATTTAAATATAATTGATTGGTATAATCGAATAATAATAATCGAATCGGTCACATACTTTATTATGACAAATACTTTGTTATCATCAAGGATGAGTATAGACTTGCACATCTATACTTATATTATAAAGGTATGAAGTTTGCAAGTTTGGATGTTCGGTGTAATCTCAGGAACTAATGGTTCGAATTGAAAAAAAACATTTAGTGTTGGATAGCCTTTATTAAGGAAGGGCATAGGCTATTAACATCATGCTACGACCAATAAAGCTTAGTATTAATGATTTTTTTTTGCGAAAACGGGAGAATTTTATTGCTTTTGAGAGAATATGCACAGGACAACTATTATAATATAATTACTTATCTAATTCTAGATCTTGTATATAAATCGTTGGTACATAAGATGTTACTTTTAAAGATATGAATGTGTGCAAATTGACCGAAATTAACGTACTAATTGCACATTAAAACTGTAACTGTAGTTTCCATTGAAAAGTAAAAGTCTCTTCTGGCCTTCATGTTACGTTTGTTTCCAAATGCGTGTGTAACAGTATCACTTAGATAATAACAAAAATAATACTTTAGTCGAGTCGGATGATCTCTAGCTAACCAATAGCCAGACAAAGGAATCAGATCAATGTATACTTTAGAATAACATCAGTGTATGACTTCCTATATATAGTATAGTAGACCAAAACCTCCCTTTTTGGAGAAATAAACTTGTACTAAGCAAGCTGAAGTGGCAATGGGTTGGCCATATTACCGGCAGAACCGACAACCGTTGGGTAAAACGAGTTCTTGAGTAGAGACACACACAGGCCCGGGGGAAACGATTTGCGCAAGATGGCTGGCAGGAGCTGGATGCGAGAAGCCCAAAATCGATCTAAGTGGCGTGCAACGGGAGAGGCCTATGTCCAGCAGTGGACTGCGATAGGCTGATGATGATGATGATGATGATTTAATTAACGGATCGACCACGTGTTAGTGCACTAGGCCGATCCCCCTAACCACGTTACACTAACTCTTCACGATAGCACCAAGGTACCATATTCCACACAGGTAATAACGCGACATAATACTCTTAAAACGAATTCAAGGATAAAGATCACGCCATCTTTAACATCTAACACAAACACATTCAGTTATTTATCAGCAAACAATTTATTATAGAGCTGAAGAGTTTGTTTATTTGATCGAACGCGCTAATCTCAGGAACTACGAGTTTATTCCTTTTGAGAGACGCGAAGTTGACCACGATAAAATGTAATGCAAGCTCCTAGCAGATCCTAGTATTGTGTTATTAACGCTCAGGTCATGGTTATACATGATGAAGGTTGAAGACTATTATCACTTGATAATATTCCTAATGACACACAACACCAACTGGTATGGTGATGTCATTTGTTAGCAACGCCATGGCGACTAGCTATGTTGACCGCTTTAGGTGAAACTACTACGAGTAGAAGTAAGCTGGGGGTATTAGGTAATTACGGTACATAATATAAAACATATCACATCATTTTATCAGGAATTTTAAATCTTTGTGTATCTTCTTTACACTAGCTATCATAGCTTACACATTTTTTGGACGCGATATGTAAAGTAATTTAGGTCAGGTAAATATCTAATTGAAGTAGAACGAGAGAACGGTATTTTTCTAATTATAAACTTAATTATCAGGCTACGGCCCTTAGGCTTCGGTAACACGAGGTTAATTTTTTTGCGTCCACCACACTCGTTAACGCAGTCACCGCGGTTTATGTCTTGTAAATAGCGAATGTAGATTCTATTTACGAGGTAACAACATTTAAATTCCTATTAATAAGTACAACGCACAGACATAGAATGAAGATATCGCTGTCGCGGCGAATACAGCATTGCTCTCCGATTTAAAGTGTAGTTGGCAAAAAATAGAACCTATTTTGCTAATTCAACATGATCTCTAAATAGGCACGCAGGTGCAGCGCCGCCAAGCTGCAGATGCGCAAACCTGGTTGGGGTTGCCGTAAACAAAGGCTTTTAAGAGCGAACCACAAGCACGGCTAGAATTACGAGGAACAGCTGGTCTGGTTGCACTACAGTTACAGTATCTTATACTTTTTAATAGTCGCATCTAGTGGTCAATCTTTGTGTAGTGACAAGCATTAGGTAATAATAATGTACATTGATATATTATGATTAATGAAGAAGTAATAAACACAATAAACATGAGACAACGGGGTTCAAGAGAAGAAGGTTCTGCTGTACTTATAACTTGATAAATTATTGGAAACGAAATATTTATAATGTTTATTTTCTGGAATTAATTGCCGATATTTCGGCACTGTTGTATAAGCGACTTCAATACTGATGAATTATCAACTAAAAATAACCACGTAGTTTGAATCAATACTTCTAACTTATATTTTTAACCGACTTCAAAGAAGGAGAAGGTTCTATGTTCCACTGGATGTATTTTGTACAATATGGTTGATAACTTTAGATATCACGATTAGAGGTCATAAAGAGTCTATGTGGAGCGGCTGTAATGCATTTTACTGCAGACCAACAGAACAGAAGAGTTGGTAACGACCCCACCGTAATGAAATTTTATCACAAACCTTATGAATTTATCGATATTAATTATTTTTCATTTGTAAACTCATGACCATTTTAAAAAGCTTTTGCCTGAGTATTCTAGAAGTTGCTTTAAAGATAGCAGATGTATTGAAACAAAGATACGGTGAAAACAATGAATAGTTAGTGTATAATTGTCGGATCAATTAATTTAGTTGTTTTTTTTGTAACGGACACAATTGTTATGTTTTACGCCCTTTTAATCCCTGTGAATTCGACCAATTTGAACATTATCATAAAAAATTAACACGTAACGAATTGTTTTTTTTTTTCACGGTATGCATCACTAGTCAACAGGGGCGTCGTTATCAAAAAAAAAATTGTAAACGACACCCCAGTGATGTGTTTCAGTGGTGTCGTTTACAATACGCGGTCCTAAACTATTGATATGTACGAGTATAATGCGATCACCATATATTCATAAGTTAAAAGAGCTTGTCACCATAGTACCTATGCAATATTTCTAAAAATTATGGAGAAAATTGAATCCCGTTGTCAGTTAGGTTTAGTTTAGAACTGAAAATATTAATTTTCATCTTAAGTACTAACTAAAACTAAAGCTAGACATTGATCGACAGTCTGCATGTACAAATATTTTCAAAGCGTCGTTTCCGCCAAGCCTGTTATAATTAGAATAAGGAAAATACTGTATAGGTTTTACAGTACTCATACGAGTGCTTTAGTAATTATTTTAATTGTATGACAGGTAGAAATATACTATAGAACTAGAACATACTTATCTTTATGTGTTAAATAGACGCAAGTAGGCCGAGGCGTAACATATTTGTACACCATTGACTTATCTCTCATTGCGTATATTTTTATAATTTATGACTGTTTAACTCATTTTGTTTTATATTCTAGAAACTTCTAAGTACTGAGATACTAAGAATTTTAGGCTTTACAACTATTGTCGATAGCTTTTCCGTCGGCAAAAATCTATTTTATAGAACAGTTCAAGGATTCTTTATACTTACTGAGGCGAGAATAAAAATGTTGAAAGCTCGGTATCTTTTTCGTTATATAATCAATTGATTAAGCAAATTAAAACGCTATAAAACGTCACGGTAAGATCTATACGGACACAACAGGACGAATTATATTAACATCAACAAAATCTGGCATACATCGGGAGTCTTTGAAATTACTTTTCTCTTAACATAAAAACGTCACTGAATCTAGTTATAGACAGAATCCAATAAAGATATTAATTAACTATAACCTTAAAGCTAATAATTATCTTAAACTAAAGAGTTAGATCAGACAACATTCACAAGAAAAAAAATATATAAAGAAAATTTAAAACCAACATTTACGTTAAAGTTTTTAAATAGAACATGCTCAAAACCACAAACTAAATCTAAGAACAACATTAGACCTGTTTAAAACAGTGCCGTAACTAAGGAGGTGCTAGTACCCAGGTACGAGGCGCTAACAAAAAAGCGCAAAAGGGGTGTGGATAAACTTATTTTCAGCAGTACTTTTTTTTAAGACAACTCCCGACTAGGAATCCTGTGTCGCGGGGGACTTTCCAAACATACATGAAACTGGCACAAAGAACACCCAGACTCAGAACAACAAATTGTGAATCACACATGGGGGGGATGGGACCCACAACACTCAGCGCAGTAGGAAGCGGCGAGGTGACCGTTTAAACCATCCGTGCAGTCAAGCAATTTCACTTTGACATCTTTACATTGTCCATTTTAATGAGCAGAAACAGAATATTTTCGGGACGTCCTTAAGCTTTTACCAGGCATACAAAATGCTAGTAACAATACTGGTTCCAAAAAATTAATCGTCTTGGTCTTTGAATACCGGTATTTTTTTACAACTTAAGTTGAAGGCTAAATCAAAGTTTTTTGAACTTTGTCAAAAAACCTGTTTATCATTACTCGTGCCTATTATTAAATGTTTTATTATTAATACAAGTTAGTTTCAACATTCTCAATAGCTTTGAAAACACCTGTTTCTATGGCTGTAACCATAGCCACAAAACCAAATTGATCAATTAAATAATAATAATAAAATTGAGCAAAGGAAGTGAGGTTTACTGTATAAAAATGATCTCATATTGACAGTTTACTCGGACCTAAGGAAGTACCTGTGCAAGCGTCAAGGCCAATTCTCGTTATAAAAGTTCTGTCACAATTCAGTTCCGATCAGCTTTCGTTCTCACAACTGTCATAATAAGTATTTTCCTAGTAAAATAGTAAAGTATTTCTAAGACTAGCAGATTACCAATTCAATTTTCGGTGACAGTACGATATAATCACATTACAGTCAACGATCAGAGATCGAAAGTTGATCGGAACTGAATTGAGACCGAACTTTTATTACGAGAATTGGCCTTCTATGTGTTCGAACTATAGCTCACATTCCCTAAATTCGTACCTACAACAATCCAAAATTCGTGTAGAAAATTCCTTTCCCTGTCATTGCCCTTCCTTCTTTTCTAACTTTCCTTTTAATTACACTGCCCAATTTATCCATATAAACCCTATAATGTTCGGTATACAGCAATAAACTTGCACCGTATTTCGTTAGTGGGACTAAACTTATATATATATGGAGGAGGCGTGTGATCTGGTTACAGAAGTTGGCAGAAAGGAGAGTGAAGCGTCAAAGACCCTGCACCTATAACCACCGGTTTGTGGGTCATTGTTGGCGGTGCAGGGTATGTAGTAGAACATGTCGCTCTAGAATTGGCTTACATAGCCACGAAACAAGGTGTATGGCTACATGACAGTGACTAAATCGTCTGGAATAGACGTAGGAGTCCGGCAAATCGAATCGAACATATATGTATTTTATATTATGTTATCAGTTGTTCCTATGCAATGAAATTACCAATGTTTTTAAAACATTAACCTTATCATCAGAGTGGACTCTGCACAATACAAGATATTAACACATTTTGCAATAGCACATGTAAAGTGTTACTAACTGTAGTATTTTTGCATAAGTAATCTCTCTAATCAATATTTTTTTTTATATGTAAAGACAACTCCCGCATTAGGAAAATATATTATTATCCTGTGTCTTGGGGGACTCTATAAACACGGACACAAAGAACACCTAGACACAGAACAACAATTTGTGGATCATACAAAGTGGTGTCCCATGTGGGGGATCGAACAAACAACACTCAGCGCAGTAGGAAGAGGCATGACGACCGCTTAAACCACCACGCTATCCGTGCAGTCAAAGTACTCAGTGCGAAATGATCTCTAAGAATATTGGGAGTTATTGGAACGGTACGGTACGGTTACGGTATAAGGGGGGAGGGGGATGGTGCAAAGGAACAGAAGTGTCACCTGATTGTATGTGACTACACGTACTACGTAACTACGTAATCTTAAACTATTACTGCTAAAAGAATAATATTTATTTAATATATGGGACATCTGACACACAACGCCATCTAGTTTCAAACTAAGCAGAGTTTGTACTATAAAAGCTAGATTGACTGATAGAATACTTATTAAAAATACTTTTTATTTTTATTTTGTAAATACATACATATTATACATAGAAAACACCCAAACTCCGAAACAATTATTTGCAGATCATACAAACATTCGGTACGACCTAGGAATGGAACCTGAGACCTCAACACAGCAGTCGCATTCACTGTTTACATATACTCTAGACTGCCTTGGAAAGAAATATCAATATGAAGGTATCAATGTGAATATCCAATGGTCAGCTGTCTATTTAAAATTAACAACTATTTTGGAACATAAAGTTAACTCGTGTAAGATAAATGAAAGAACTAAGCAGTGACTTCATGTTAATGTGTAAACAGTTGTTTACATAAACAAGACCCATGTTTTACAATAGCAACTGATTGTTTTCAACATTTGTAAATATTAAAGGTAAACACAACTGTCTAATGAGGTACAGAATAGAAACTCGATTATATGGTCATTAACCAGTGACTTGTTTAAAAATTTGAATTATTTCAATTGTATATTGAAACTATGTTCCCACTGCGTATGAAAGTCTGAAAACCTGACTATACCTAGACAATTGCCACTTTTCGAGTCATACTAGTTGTGTCATAATAGATTTATATATATATTTTTATATTCATACATTACAGAAAAATTGCCATTTAAAGCAATTGATTTAATAAAAAATTTGACTAAAATTATCCGTATTTGCTTTGAGAAAAATTCATTTAGACATTTTTGATGAAAAATGAATAGATATGTAATCTATACATTTAACATTATTTTATATGTTGTTATAGAGGTGGGCCACCGGCAAGAAAAAGTGCCCATGGATCACCCAGGTGCACTGAGGTGGACCACTGGCAAGAAAAAGTCCCCATGGTCTATCCAGGTGTACTAAGCAGGCGGACCGGGACCACTGCCACAATTTACTTGCCCTGACTGACTGATTCATGCAACGCAGAGCCTAAACCGCTGGGGCTACCAACTTGAAGTGTTGCCAGCTGATGCTTTTTTGACCACTAAGAACTGAATTTTAGAAATTTCATCCCTAAGGGTGTATGGAAGTTCATCATTTTCAAAGTTAGAAGCAGTAAATAAGAAATAATCACAAAATCAAGGACAATGGTGCTAATTCTGTAGTTCAAAAACTCTCTAAACTAATCTAAAAATCACAAAAAATTAGTTTAGTCCTGTCAAGTACTACATAATACGAAACGTTGTTTGACAGATCTTAACAAAGTTTTAGTATTTTTTTTAGTTAAGAGACTTTTCAAACAACAGAATTAGCACCAAAGCTAGTCATTAAATGAATTGTGAATACTTGATTGGATCATTTTTATACAACAAGGTTAATAGAATAACAAAAGTAATAAAGTTCTATAATACACTTACTTGGGAAGTTCCCGCCAGACTTGTTGACATCATAAGCAATCAGTCCAGCTATGCCAACCAGTAGGAAGAAACTGGCCCAAATCCAAGGAAACCTTCTAGTGCTTGTCATTCTGTCTAGAATATCCTAAATGAACATAAAGATATTTTATTAATAAAATAACACACGTATAAGAAAAATCACTTGAACATAAACCATCTTTATTCAACTATCTTATCAAACTGTATGTTCTGTACTGTATGTTCAACTTAAATATCATTAATAAAATATGATATTTGGGACAAAGGTTCTGAATTCTGATAAAAGCTAGTTCTATAGGTGAGATGCTAACATAATTGGATCTAGTGTTTGCTGCCATTTATTAATAATTATAATATATGCCTTTGATTCCATTCCACTATCTTATGTACCAAAGTGCCTTATTGAGAACCCTATTATGATAGTGGAAAATTATTTTAGTTGACAAAATATGGGTGTTTAATATACCTCTATCTTTACACTTCATTATTATGTATGTGTATGTTTTACTTTACATAAACATTAAACATAATTATACCTAGTATTGCACATAAGACATAAAATTACAAAATATCCATACTAATATGATATTTTGTATATTTGTTTGGATAAACGCAGTAATGTCTGGAACTATCAATCAGTTTTAGATAATTCTTATTGTATCAGATAAGAGTATTCATCAACTAAGTATGTAACATCATTTAAGGACAGTGCAGTGACTACAATCACAGATATAACTACAAATATTTTCCAGTGTTAATGTTAAAGATAATCCAAAAGGTATCATATCTATAATAAAGCACTCTATTAAAATAAAACCTTTTAGTTGAACATAATGATAAATTGTAGGTAACTATATTTTGTGAAGATTGTTGTACATTCCCTTATAACAGACTGTTGACTGCATCAGAATAAAGTTTAATAATTTAATTGTTTTTGTTGTTAACCTCTTAGTCTATTTCATTAGTAAACAGTATTAATTTGTCAGAGATAAATTATGGGTCACAAATAATGTTTGGACCTGATAAATAGTTAATACTTTAATTTTATTTTTCATTAGGGTAACTGTTTGCAAATCTGAGTCACAAAGAACCAAATCAGTTTTCGATGGCAGAAAAAAGAGTAAACAATTAAAAAAATTAACGAGTTTTGGGTTAAACTTTGATTGTTATCAGTCCACATTTTGTAATAATCTGGCAACAGTTTTGATGACCGATTATACTTTTTCTTTTGTAATGTTTTAACAATAACACATGAATGTAGGTTTAATAAATATTACCAAATATTTCCATTAAATAGGCAAATTCATATTATGTTTGCACTGCTAGTCAGATTATATTGATGGCACCACAGTAATTCCTATTAGAAAAAAATAAATATCAAGTGAGGTTAATAGGTGCTTAAAAAACTTCACTATAAACAAGAAATTTTTGTTTTTTTTCTACAATTTTCACAACGAATCTTTGTAAATCACAACAATGATTTTGGGCAATTGACATTGATCAGTTGTCGCAAATTTTCAAAAACAGTTTTAACGAATGATTCACAATTTTAGTCCCGCAAAACACTAACACGATTACATAGATCCTGAAATGATATCCAGAATGAAACAAAACATAACACTTGCACTATGTTCGTGATTTACCTGGAGTCTCAAACAATTATTACAATGTGTTAAGCGTTGGCGTGATAAATGTCTCCCGCAGAGTAACGGATGTAACCCATCGACATTTACTGTTAGAACAACGCGTGTTCACTACACTACGCCTAAAGTAGTTTTTCAACTTCCATTCTTAAGCCAACTGCGCGATTCTTTGAATTGATTCTCATTTGCGCACACATTGTATCACATAGATATTTATTTAACTATATACGCTATTTTTCTAATCACATAATATTTTATCGATTTTTGTACACTTTTTAGGACATTCGTAACATATTTACCTTTAACTAGCGAGGAAATCACTTCGAAAATTAAAACAGATTCAATAATAGAAAAATATGTCGCTCTGAAACTCGTTTTTTTATAGTACTAAGTGGTAGGGTGACCAGACCAATATTAATATTTCACAAAAAAGATTTGAATAAAATTTTCTTTCTTTTAACAAATAAAAAAGGAATAATCAATTAAATTAATTTTATTTATTGTCTTAAATAATGAGCATTGACTTTTAATTCTCTTTAATCAGTCATTTAAGCATAGTTAACAATCAAAAGACTAGCAACATTATCATCACAAGGGACGTGACTTTAACCTCTAATTTGACGTTTTAGTTACGGTTTTTTTAGTCGAGTATTTGGAAAATGTATGTGGATTTCGAATAAGATCGTATTTACAACATGACACATTTAAAAAAAAAGCGTTTTGGTTGGCAACAATTTAGTGATAAATAAATATGAATAAACAAAAACGACACTATTTACGCAAAGGAATGAGAGGGTGTAGTAAAAAATAAATTATAACTATTGAGACAGGAGATTTTGGATATTTTTAATAATTACTAATAAAATATTCATGAAAAAAAGGTGTACAATGCATACAAATGTAAAAACATTTTAAATTGTAATTTAATGAACTTCAATATACTTAAGTTTCAATCAACTTTCAAAATGAAAATTAAGTCATGGGCAGTGTATGGATTATTTCAATTTAGATTTCCTATAGTTGAGATAGATCTTCATATCGCATCACGCTCTAAGTGAAATAGTATCTATAAATTTATGTACAGGCTATAAGGGTCGGCGTATTTATTACTTATGAAAACTTTATTCTGAGGATTAGAGGAGGAAAGGAGAATCCATCATTTCAGTTTTCAGTATGCTGCTGTAATTACAACCCGTACATGTTTTAATGTTTACTTACTTGGCATATTTTATTGGTCTTGACAACAGTTTCATCCTTCTTTTTTCCTTTCAGAGCTTCTCCACAGACTTCTTTGTATTGCAATACAGTGGTTTTCAACGACTTTTTCTTTATTTTTAGACTGACTTCTTCCCAGTTGGTGTCTACAACGAACAATTCTTTTATTATGATATTCTATACCTATAGTAATTAGACTTCTTAAACATATTATTTAATATTTTGGCAATTTTTTTTATTTTATGAAGATTTTTGTGTAACGTTAAAATGTCTGTCAATAATAACTTCCATGTTAATAAGGCTGTCCACAAAAAATCGTATGATAATGCCCTGTAAAATATGTTTCTGGAATCATAATTTTTCTTTTCAAATTTAATATAAATATGTTAATCTCAATCATCAAGTCACTGCCCCTTGATTGGTTACTATAAGGAAAGACATAAGAAAACTAATCATTTTGGTTTATTGTGCACAAGGATCATCAGATCTGAGATTAAAATAACTAACCAATATAGTCCAGGAGAGTAGATGATTGTTTGGTGCATCTATGGAATAATTGTCTCCAAGTTGCATTGCAGGAGTCGTCTCTAACTAAGCAGTCTACTAAACAGTCCACAAGAACCCTATAATAAGGATCCAATGTAGACCCAGTCAGGTACTGATTGGGCAACTTTTTCATAAGTTGATTGAAGGTCACTTGAAGTTTATTATTGCTTTTATTGAAATATATATCCTGAAAATATTAAGTTATATTAGTAAGTTGTCAGTTAAAAAAAAATGTAAAAATATTAGAGACTTCATTGGATTCCTTGGGTTAGGTTTAATTAAAGTTTTATATACTCCATTTAAAAAAAAATAAGATGTTTTTCAAATTATTGCAGACAGACAATAGATATATTATATGATAAACATGAAACACTAAAGACAATTTTGTGTCTCATCATCATCATCGAACCCAAGGCTCTACACAACAACAGGTCCTGTGCTGCCCGCATCTAACAGCTTCCCGTTTGGTGCATAATTTAACAAATTTAAAGTATTGCAACTATAGATTTTATTACCAGATTTTTTTAAAATTCTAGGATCACAATGATAACATCAAGTAGCATACCTTATATTTACTTAATTGCTTGATAAGGTCACTTGACTGATCTTTCGGTAAACTATTTCGCTTGTTGTTCACCAAGTCGATCATAGCAAACAGCTGGTCCTGGCTCACTTTAGTACTCTCCATCATGTTGTGGGCGTCCAGCAACTGAGATAAATAACCTACCACGTATTTTGTATAGTTCTTCAACTCAATCACAGGCAGGAACAGCTCTTGCCATGCTGTAACAAAAATAACAGTTGATTCTTGCAACCCCTGGAAACCGGTTGTGACTACAGAGCACAAGTTGTAGTTGTTGTTGTGTAGTATTTGTGATCAACTTAGTCGTTGGTAGACAAACCACACCACGAATACCTAGTCACTCAGTTACTAAGAGTCAAACAGTGCTACTTTCTGTGAAGGTCACAAAATTAGTTACTCAAAATTAAGCAAAGTATTTTAATTTTATTCAACCTAAATATTTTAACTCACAATTTTTTAACTGCTATATGATATCTTGTAAAGTAAATTCAGCACTCAGGTATTTTTTCTTAATATCTAGAGGCACACTGTTGTCTGAATGTCATCTATGTATAAGAAATTGTTATCTCAACCTTGGAAAATGTCAAATTGACGAGAGATAAACTATCTCACTGAGTTAGTGACCCAAAATATTATCTTACTTTACGTTTAAAATCATTGCTTATCTCTGTACAACAGGATAAAATTATTCACAGTAAAAAAAATAGCTTTTATTAGTCCTACAAATATATATGTCAGTATTCCCATACTTGGAAACTACAGATATTGTTTTATGAAGGGATGGTTTTAGTCATTCACTCCAAAAATCTAACTAATAAATATCGAAGCATAGAATAAATGATGCGAAGACGGAGGACGATTTAAAAAAATCTGTACAATCTTAACGTAAAACACCAATTGAAAATAATAGTATAGTACGAAATGGTAGGTTACTATGTAACGTAATGTACCGTAGTTGGCGTCGCTTAATAATGCTAGTCGTGACTCTTATTATTAATATTGTAATTTTTTTTAGCTGTGTCCAGTTTATGATTGTTGCTGAAAATAACTGTACAATATGAATTCTAGAATTACTTCCTCTAAATAAGTTACTGAACATTCTGACCAGTCAGTCTCTTTTGTTTCATGTACATATTAATACTTTTAGACCAACAGCATTACTCACCTTTTAGACCAACAGCGAAATTGCTGATGCCACCTTGACCGAAAGCCCAAAGTAATGAGAGACCTATTGGCGGCCTGTTTTGATATGAGTTACGCAAGCTTGCGCTCTTTTGGACGGATGCAACACAAAACTCTGGATAATCTTGGGCCAACATTTGGAGTAGCAACCTGTGGCCATTAACAGATTGACCTGCAAATAAAATGAAGTATAATTCATTTATTAGTTTTGTTCATAAAGATCTTATTTTTATCGTTTTACTGGCTTTTTTCAAGCTCATTAGTGGCAGCTTCAAGCTCATCAGTATCAACTTTGTTAGAATTTTTAAAGATTAAAAGCAACTACTCCAGACTATAACCTGTCTTTATGCCAAATTCATCTAGATCGGTTCAGTCATTTTAGACTGATTGACAAACATACATCCAATTATAATTGTTGTAGCAAGATTCACTTGTTTTACAATAGCTACTTATTATGTGTGTATTAAATACATACACATGTATACATACCTCTGCTCATATCATTAGCCAGAGCTGTGAGAGTGACATCAAAGAACAATTGCGCATTGGCTTTCCCTGCATCATGTAATACACCCGCCAAAGAATTTCTTATTTCCTTTGGGACAGCAGAAAGAGGGTACAATGGATCATAGTTAGAGAATGTTGGGTCTTCAACTTCTATTTGTGTCTTAGAGTTGAGGAATGTGGCAACTTCTTTGAGCCAGACAAGAGGGGCATTCGAAAATCGAAGCTTGTTTGTAGTTATTATGTTGGCTAATTCAGCTATGTCAATCTGAAACAATAATTTTTTTTGGTGACGATTTAATATTATAGATACAAAGAGTAGTAAAGGCTGTCACAGTTTTGAACGTCACCTATTATCACTTCAAACTCACAAGGGGTATGCATATAATATTGAATAGCCATTTAGAAACTTGAAAAGCGAATAAAGATTACTCATGTTTGTGTCATAACTACGAGTAAGCTAAGAATAATACTCACTGCCTCAAAGGCGCCTTCTACAGTTTTTGGGGGCTTAGGCTTTGGAGGTTCAGCATTTTTTTTCTCCTTATTCTTTTTCTTATCACCTTCTTTTTTCTTTTCCTTAGCTGGTTTCTTTTCTTCATCTATTTCCATGCCCGAGTAAAATGATTTGATTTGAGAATGGGGCACTGAAAGTAAAACTACATATTTATATTTATCTAATAAATGTATTTTACAATTGGGATATGGAATGAAAATTGGGGATATTGACTTTATAAAATCGACATGGAGTTAAAGTATGTTTTTCATGGAATAAATAACTAAAAATAAATAGAAAAATAAAATAAGGTGACCATTGGTTCAGTTTTGTATAGCCATAATTTATTGTCTGCAATAAATAATGGCTTTTTATGGTATTCTGATAATGTGTCAGTGCAAATGTCTATGGTTTTGTTGATATCAATTCCATTATATTGGAGTTTATGAGCAGAATGAGCAAGATTCGTTTTGACACTGATTTTGTGACAGTGATTATTCTTTGTTTGGTTTCAACTGCAATGTATATAAATTTCTGAAAGCTATGAAGGCACATAAGCCAAATTATTTACAATTTCGTATGAAAACACCTGACCAGACAATGTAATATGTTGTTCTAATAATTTCATACAGAGGTGTCCTTAGCTTTAGGGAATAATTGGCATCCAATGGAAGACATTTAGGGCATATCAAGTGCCAGTAACGTTTTTTTGGATATTTTTAACATGGACCGGATATCTGAAGTTCCAAACACAGACATAATCTAATAAGATTTTTACCAGGATCTTGTAAAGCAATTTAAGGGTTGATATTGACCGAATCTCAAAGCGTTTAACATAAATTATAACCAAACCAAATTTATTGAAAACTTAATATGAACAGACATATTTATGATGGTTAACTAACCCATAGACTAGTTGCCATTTTTCGATGGATTCAGTAACCTTTTTAGCTTTGCACATGAAGTAAGAAAAAGTACCTCTACTTTCTAGTTATTTCACAATCTTCATATAACATAAGACCCACTTTCACTTTCAGAGATGAATGAAAATGGAGGTTACTATAAGTATTACATTAATATTATGAAAATGTATGCAATTTCAATTATTATGCAACATGTTCTTAATTACTAGCACAAACAGTTTACGGTTTGTAGATATTTTTTCGTTTCTTTTTAGTTCTTGTAAAACGTAAAGTGTTTATTTCAGCACTGTGGTAATATGGTTAAGTATTACGATAGAAATATTGTTAATGGTGTTTAATTTATTAAAGATTAAAAGTTTTACTCACATATAATTTGTGAGATAGATTAAGAGCTTAGAAGTGCTCTCATAAGGAAAATGAAACATTTTGAAGCTTATTAAATAATATATGATATTTATAGAAACACAAGGCTTTTTCTATTAAAAAAAACAAATAAAGACATAAATAAATGTGTATTATCTACTTTATGTGTAAATAGAAATCCTTCTGAATACTCTACTATACTAAATAATAAGTAGCATTTATAGAAAAGTTTTTATTTAAAATATAAAACAATTGACAATCTACCTAATTTTAACTGACCTTAAAAACCAGGTTATGCAATTAAAATGAATATTGTTTTTTTTATATACTTGTTATGCAATATCAACACAATTTGGAATATTATATGAGTATTTTTTTTATAGTAGGGATTAGTAATACAATTAGTAGGGACATTGAAGTTGGTGAAAAGTATTAATTAATTCTTGAGCAGTATTAGGCTGACTATGTTTAGTCCCACTTAAAGAGCTTGTTATCATTTTTTGTACCAATTACGCCCATTTTACGACACCCATTTAAGTACTGAATGATGTTTATTTAATAAATAACACTGTTTTTTTTCCTATGTCCAGGAGTGGACTATTAAAGGCTGTTGATGTGTGTGTGATGTTTTGTTTTTGACACTATCTTCATGCGCATATATATAATTTACTCTAGCTAATGAAGACTTTTGAGTACTACTACTTGTGCAATAATAGAAATATCTCTACTGTGCCCTAAAATCTGCGGTTTTAGCTAGCCTTCAATGTATTTCCATATAAGGTAGTATGAGCTAACTACGTTTATATTACCATAAAAACCTAGGAATGAGCGTGTTGAAAAAAAATTTTAAGCAGTTATCGGACTTCTGTTAATACTGGCCGAAATAATTGTAACGAAGTTACCTACCGACATCCTCCAATTTCGGTCCGTTTTTGAGTGACTTCTTTTCATCTTCCTTGGTTTTAACTTTTCCATTCTGCGATTTCTTGTTCTTTCCAACAACTTCCCATTGACCACTCGACATTTTCAGAGAGATTCTTAACAGACTTTTATTTAATTCTTTGTAAATAAAGGGAAAGCATCAAAGTAATAGGTTACACGTCAAAACCAAACAAATAGCAAAAAAACGTCAGATGCCGCGCTCACGGTTTTAGTTTGGATTTTAATTTTTAGCATAAACTAAGTTGTGAATCAAACACCTCATGCTATATTGTGAATTAAAAACTCTCTGGAACATTTTAGATCTCATAACTAGTCTCTGATTGGCTGATAATCTCCACCTTGGACAAAACGTGGCAAGAATATTTCATTACACTGCATTTCTGTTGCATCCAATGTTGATTATTCTTAAATTCTAATTAATTTCATAATATTTTAATTTATTTTTAACAATAAATGGATAAATTTGCCGAAAATAGCGAAATCCATTGTAACAAATTAGAGTTTTATTTATTTTGTTTTAAATTTTAAATTTACGGTTTTGGTGTGACTGATAAATGTGAAAGAGTATGATTATAAGTTACGGTAGAATCGGTAAAATCTTTTATCAGTCTGTGTGACTTGTAGTTATCTTTCTTTATGTGACAACATCACTAGTAGACAGCAGTTGTTCTGATCCTGACTTGTTCTTCATTTCATTCATGGACTCACATGAAAAGGTTGATATAGTTTTCTAATTAGTTTTTTCTTGTTGTTGAGAAAATCATTAAATAAATAGAGATTGTGAAGGATACAAATCAGTGTAGTGGTATAATAAAACTGTGTGTTATATTTATTAGTGCCTAAATAATGGAAGACAAATTGATGTTGGAAGATGTGACCAGCACCTTGAGAGAACAGGTGTTTTTTTGCTGCCAGAGATGGAATGTCTTTAACCCTATATGCTTTACTGTATGAGAAAAATACAGATGTAATTGACGATCTGTTGAACGGTGTAAGTACTAGATCAATTATTTCATTCATAAAAGAAATATACTTTTATTTGTCATTCCGTAATTTTGACGAGAATGATGTTAATCTATTTTTATCATACAAATTGACGGCGCGTTACCTTTTGCGTATTATATACAGCTGTGAGATTTATTAATTTGTTTTTTTAATGCGTCGTCCAACGTGATATTGCGTCGCGACGCGTTTTGGCGTCACGTTTACCTTGATGTTAGTTTTGATTTCCTATCTTAGTCAGGGTGTGTTGCGACAACTAAGTCACGACTATCGCTTTACTTGCTATCTGTTGTCCTTCATTTAAGTAATTATCACGTTCATCAATTACTACATCCAGTTTAAATAGCCTTGCACAAACCTACATAGTTAAATTATCATATTGATATTGCCAAACAGTGCATGCACGAAAATTTATACCTCACAAAAGTAATTAATTTTTACCAAATCACACATACAAATATTGACATTCTAATAAAGTTTTCTTTGTAAAGAAAACTTTATTAGAATGTCAATAAGGTAATATTTCAGATTTCTAAATTACCATAAATATGTTCAAAGTAATTTGCTAATCAAGAAATATTATTTTTTCTAATCTTTTAAATTTAAATAATTTTATATGAATATTAACTGTAATCAGATTAAAATGCATATAAATAGATTTTATTATATCAATTCTCATATATGAAGCTAAAAATGGTGAACTGAAGAGAGTACAAAAGCATCCCTTAAACCTCAAGGAAAAAACCCTCAAGGTTTTCCAATAAGCCAGTAGCTCAAAAGATGCCAAATTGTTATCATGCAAACTACATAAACATACAAGGTTTTATTTCAATAATACAATTAGAAGAAATTTAAAATTGAATTCTGAAATTTTTACATAGTTGATTGTGAAGCTAATACGAATAATGAAATTAAGTAAATTGTTAACTAATAGGTAGCATAAAATATGGCTACTAATAAAAAATATGGTTCTCACCATTGTTTATTTAAAAAATAATGCAACCACATACTAATTGATGTCTTCTCAATGTAACTATTGGCACTAAATAAGTTCCAAATGTGTATATGGCAAAACTATTACAATCATGTGATTGTAAATACAGATAATCATTAAAAAAAAACTTTTTTTTTTACCTTTTGGCCCCTCACTATTATGCCCGTGCCTAACTCTTGTTTTGATTAAAGTTTTCTAGTATCCAAATAAATCCACTGTACTGTATCTAGGCAGATAGTAATTATAACCATAATAAGCCATGTAACGGATTTTGACCAGATCTGCAAGTAGAGTAATCTGGCCATTGTGTTAATGGAAATTGATGTGGTGGACTAAAAAGAATACCTTTTTAATAAAACAGCCAAACAGTAAGTCACAATAAACATAAACAACAATTACATTTAATGCTCAGAGATGTGGGTTAACAACATGTCAATGAACTTTCTTTGACATATTTATGTCCGCAGTAAATATAAATAGTGTAAACAAACCCTAACATTTACTTCAGCATTCTGTTCTTTAACATTCAGCTTTAAAAGTTCTGTTTATTTTTGATAAATGTTAGAGGTTGTGTATTTTTTACAGGCTCCTTTCTCACAACACATTAAACTTGAACTTGTTTGCATTCCTACAACTTATTGACAGTTTATTGAATTCAAGGGATGGGAAGCGAGGGAAGGGAAACTGCAGTTTTTATGTTTATGGTCATAGCTTAATCCATACTTTTATTATAAATGTGAAACTGATTTTGTTTGTTTGTTTGTTACGCTTTCTGCCTAAACTACTAAACCAATTTTCAAAATTTCTATGATGTATGTAGAAATTTTGCTTACGAAACGTATGAAGGTTTTGCTTACCATAATTCTAGTCCCACTTTAGTAATGGGTGGCAAACCTATTGCCCTCAACGGGGCATATATATTTCTAAAAATTATAGATTTTTCCGGTGACTCCACCAGCGTGTATTTCAGTTATTGCGTTGAAAGGTGCCCTATATTACTTGCTGATAATGTAGCTTTCCATTGGTGAAAGAATTTTGAAAATTTTTATACTAGTTTAGGCATGAAACCGTAACAAACAAATAAACAAAAATCACTTTCACATTTATAATATAAGTAAGGATTACAACCAGTCACACAATATTTGTCCTGGTGGAAATTGAACCCACAATCTATAGCTTAACAGGCAGGATTAATAACCACTAGATCAAAACACTAAAAGGAGTAGATTATTTTATCTTGAGCTTGGCTTTATTCTTTTTATAAAAATGTTAAAATATTAAAGTATTACTAAGACTAGCAGATTACCGATTTAATTATCAGTTACAATATGATATAGTCACATTACAGTCAATGTTGGATGTTTAATACTTTACAAAAATACCTTTTATGACAGTTGTGAGATTGAAAGTTGATTGGAACTAAATTGAGACCGAACTTTTATTACGAGAATTGGCCTTCTGATACTTACGATTGAGACATAATTTGTAAACATTTTTCATACATATTCAATTATGCAGTGATATAATCAGTTACTAACTGTATAATACGAAGATTAAGTAAATTAAAAATCAAAGTAACACAATCAGAGCTTAATCATGATGAATTGCAAAAACCGTTTTTACAAAATCACTATTACTCATGAAATATTTGGTCCATGTTTATTTAAATCACCGTGCTTGAGTACAACCAATGCAATTAATAAAAGAGTTATGGTGAAGGATCTTCTTTTTAAAGTTGGTTAAAAAAATGTACCTACATACAAAGTAGAATTATTTATGTTACTTGACACATTACATGTCACACTCAGTAATAAGTTAATAATTTATTAATAAGTTTGTCCTATGACATAGGCCTCTTCTAACAATTTCCATTTTATTTTATCATATGCAACTCAAGGCCATAGTCTGGCCTTTTACTATGGCAATCTTTCTGTCATTAGTTCTCTCTCTCTTATGCCACACTAACTGATACCCGCAACTTCATTCGTGTGGAATTTGAAAAGCGCTGCCTGAGTGATATAGTACGCTATGTGACTGCAGTATATGAGGCATCGGGTTCGATTCCCGGGCCCGGGCAAAATTCTGAGAGGAAAAATAGCCTAAGTTATCTCATATATAGACAGGTACCTAGTAGTAAAATATGCTGTATCAAAATCGGTACAGCCGTTGACAGACAGACAAAAATATTTAAACTGGTTTTTAGGCAAAGGTATCGTGCAAATAACCGTGTGAGTGTAAAATATATATCATTTTGACATTACAAACAGACACTTCAATTATATTTATGTGAATAGAAAACTTTTTTGCTCTATTTTTCTTTTCCTCTTATCCAGCCAATCTCCACTTTTGCGATAGCTTACACTCGCCATTCCACCCAATAGTAGAAAAAGCATATTGCTTACCCACTTTCCCTTTCTTTGTATTTATTTTCATTCTCATACATTGAAAAGTATTCTTTGACACCAATAGGCTTGAGACTGAAATAACAGTGAGCGTTTAAAACGCTTCTGTCTACTCCCTCGAGGATATAGCCGTAATATGACGTCACGTGTGTATGTATATAATCTCCACTTTAGTTTGTTAATTCTGTTTATTATAATTTCTAATTTGAGTTCTTTCTTATATTTTGTTATTCCTTTTTCAATTGTTCTTTTCCAATACACAACACATTCTCTGTATGAATCTTTGACATATGTCACAATGTTAATAAACTAGGTTATATCCTAGACTATCTGGTCAGAGGATTTAAAATAATTACCTATTATATTATTGACTTAATAAAGCGATAGCAAGGGTACTAGATAAACAAAATATTTTATTATTTGCAGGATGTTTGCAGTGATGGGGTGAAATGTACACCCTTGATAGCAGCGGCACGACATGGTCGCGAGAGTGCCGTCAGAATATTATTAGAAAAGTTCAGACCACCAGTCAGACTTGAAACCGAAGGCACAGTTAAATTTGACGAATACGTTATTGAAGGTCAGTAGTATTTTATTTAATGCTAAAGCATAAAGTCAAACAAGCATAAAGTCAAAACTTACAAAAAGTCAAACACGCATAAAGCTAAGAGTCAAACACGAAAATTTAACAGCTGATTGCCACTTTTAGTCAGATTTTCCCAGTTTATCTCCAACGGTAGTCAATATTTCAAAGATACAACTCGGATGGTCAAAATTCAGCAAGTTCATGATAAAAACGATTATCCCCGTAACACAGAACTGTAGATATATTATGTAGGTAGTTAGTAATGTCATCAACTGTGTTTTATTCGTAATGGCTTGTGACCAGTTGCACACACTTAGTCGATATTCTTTTTTTACATACCTAGAAAACTAGGTCAATTCGTCACAGACGATTTATTAAATAAGAGTCCTAAGTGTCATTGTGCTAAATACGCTTTTACATTGTTTCTTCTTCATCTTTACATCTTGACAGCGGTCCTTAAATGAAAGCTGTCAAGATTTGTACGATTGCAACGGAATGTGTTTTCAAACTGGTCATTTACGTCCAGACTCCGGTATGAAAAAAAAAGAGGTGCAAAAGAATGTCTTAAAAATCAAATTGCACAGTAAATGATTTCTATTTACCTAAAAGTTTCGTGTAAAATGTGCAGAAATATCCTTATAAACAACGTAGTTTTTTTCCAGTGGTGCCAGTACGGTTAGTATTAACTGATATTCATGACTTTATTTTACTCGAGTTACATATTACCGATAGTCAATTTTATGCATATTTCTTCTATTTGGTCACATTGCATTCCTAATTACTTTTGCACGTAATTATTGCGCAACTCGGCGTTCCACGTTCCTGGCGAAAGTATATATAAGCCGATACACAGCTGTTTACAAGTGTTTCTATTATGTACTTCTTTTATGTCTTATGGACTCTCAAAGTTACTCAAAAAGCTATGGGCCGAAGCCTATGCTTTGTGATTCCCTACAAGACATGATTCCGAACAAAGAGCTCGGCATTAAATTAAAAAACCAATAGAGTTCTTGTCATTTGTTACATGAATTACCAAGAATCAAAAACGTAGTCAGGAGAATCATTAACCCCCTGTTGTTCCCACGTATTTGTTTGGTCTCAAATTACTAATTTTTTTTAAACTAAATTGTGAAAGCGCGATGTAGCGATGATCGCGCGATGTCCACGTGAGTCTTGTCTATTGAGGGTTGTAGATCTATCGTCCACTCATTATAAACGTTGTATGTCATAAGCTTTGATATAATTTTATCTATAGTCCTTACATTACATCATCTTACACGTTTTTACACAGTTAAACAGGATTGAAGATGGTTTTATGATAAATAAGGGTGACCATATGATTATTAATAAAAACGTTTTAGGACCACAATTATAAGTCATCGCTTCGTCGTTCAACTTTTACTTCTTGCCATCCCGCAGTATCTGGTCCCCCGTAGCCACCGTGGTCGATAAAATAACATCGTATGTCAAAAATTTAAGGATAAGTCCTTGATAAACTTTCTTGAAAATTTCTATAAATTTCTATTCGTGTTTTGTAATGCCTAACATTAGTACTACTAGTGGAATTACCTAACATAGCAATTCCACTTGATGATGAAGAACCAAGTAACAGGCGAAGATAATAGCAATCTCTTGGACGCACGAAACGTGTTTCGTGTTTCCAGGTTGCTCGGGACTGCTTGCAGGTCTCTCGAGACTAGTCCTGAGAAAGCTGCCAGCTGTATACTTGTTATTATTAGGTAGGCAACTAGCGGTCCGCGTATGGTGTGCTTACGGATTTGATAAGTGCGTATAAATGTGTGCAAAAGAAATCTCTACTGCACGAGGCGAGGCTGTGCTGGTCGTGTGCCGAAGTGTTAAGAGAGTGACGACCTTCAGTTGCAAATACGACACGATAATAATAGAGCTATTATCGCTGCCATTATTTATCTCTCATTAATTGTTTAACTTTAGAGTACAGTAAGACAAACAAAGAAAATTTGTGGTACGAGGATTATACTGCCGTGAAATGAATTATGTAAATTTTTTGATGTCATCTTAAACTCCTCCATTGTTTAGTAGTAGTCCTGTTTCCCAAAAAAGCTTTTCGTGGTATCGTTTACCCCAGTTTCCGCGCCCTGTCTGTTCACCTTAGTAGAATTTACCTTCTTCATTTGTCCAGTCTCATAATGATTACATCAAACCGTATCGTAGTGTACGCTAAGGGTTTCATCCAAAGTCGAAGACTCTTTAGGGACTTTGAAACAAGCCTATAGAAACAGACAAAAGGAGTATGTGGGTCAATTCGAGCTAAAAAAACATGGGGATGCTAAGACTTGGAATATGTATATATAATTAGATGCTTTCTCAGAAATGTTTTACCCATTGTTCACTAATACAATACGTATTTTTACAAATTAATAAAAATAAGGCCATCTTTATGACCTATGAAACTCATTTCGTTGTTTTGGTTCCCACGACTAATAAATTGCTTGGTATATTATTAATTCAATGTCAAGTTCAATTTCCCTGAACAATTTCAAGCTCGCGCCTCGTCATCGTAGTGCACATAAAAGCTTGCAACATATTCCCGTCCCCACGAACATTGACTCCGACTTTTTTGTGTTACTGAACGACTCATACGATTCATAAATAGATTTTGGTGAAAGTTTACACACAAAGAAACGGGAAATCGTCGCTGTACGTTTTCATACGTTTTTGGACACATTCCAATTCTCTTTGTTTCCCAGTATTTATATGATTTAGGATCATTATAAAGGTTTTGCACGTTTGGCATCGCTCCTGGTGGAGTGGATACAGTTTGTACACTCATGTCGTAGACATCGCCAGATATGAGAACAGGTTTCTTTATTGTTGTTGTATTACTCTTTCTTATAAATGTAAATATTTATTACTCACTTTACTGGCAAAAACAATGCAAGTTTTTGTTATATCGTATCGATAAAATTTGAGTTTTAAGAGCGTAACTAAAGTAATTTTGAATCGAAAAAGGAAAACGTTTTTCAGGCCACTGATAACCTATTGTAAAAATATTTTTTTATCGTTGATATCATTAATATTAGTGACAGGTTTATAATGATTATTAAATTGATCTTGTTGTTGTTCTCTTTACATGGAACTGAAATCGTTAGCTATCTTGGCTACGCTCCTGCTTTTCTCTGAAATATTTTGGACTATTCGTTTTTTATCGATTTTATTTGTAAACATGTTTAATATTTAACCTTGGGGGCTTATTTGAGACGCTGTACACACGGATAATGTTTACCATCGAATTAAACTACACCGAAATTCATTTATGCCATTTGAAGTGGTGCGATAGCAGCGTCATTTCGCATGCTCTCGTAAGCTCTTTTTGTTTATGCGATCGTGTTTTCGCTAGGTTCTATAATTAATTTGTTTAGCATCGAACTAGATCTCAGTGGTGTATCATTTTGACGTCTAAATGTGTTAATGAATATTGACTTCGTTATTAAGCTTTGTTATTATTGTTACATTGAAGTTTTCTCTGCGTAGGATTGATAAAATAAACTTTAACTGCTCGAATGGCGTAGTGGTTTAAGCGGTCTCCACGCCGCTCACTACTATGCTGAGTGCTGTGGGTCCGATCCCCACATGGGACGACACTTTGTGTGATTCACAAATTGATGTCTCGAGTCTGGGTGTTCTTTGTGTCCGTTTCATGTATGTTTGTAAAGTCCCCCGCGACACAGGAATCCCTACTGCGGGAGTTGTCTTTAAAACAAAAAAAAAAGATGCTTTCTGCATGCAAGTGTAACTAATATGCTAAATATCTGTCAATACAGCATCTTTTGTTATTGTATAAAAAAATGTCGTCCATGAAGATGGTATTAAAGAAAATTAAAGTAAGAAATCTCCACTCGTTGAAATTTGTATTACTCTTGATCGAGAGGCAAGTTTTGATATGATACGGCAGCTGTTACGTTAGAAATAGTGTTATTGGAACTAAGGTAGCAATGAATTACATTGCTTACAGAAATACTGCTACACATTTTGCTCAAAAATATTTGGTAAATGTCACGATGAATACTTCGTTGCAATCATGCAAATCTGACAGCTTTCTGTTGACGTACCGGCTTGTAACATAAGTATGCATACGAAACGCTACCTTATAAAGAACGGTTTAATGGTATATTTACTGTAATAAAAAATGGCGTTTAGAATTTACAATTAATAATTGACGTAGAATGGACGTAAATTGTTGTGTGCAAAATATGATTATTTATCGCCTAAGCGTGTGCAACTGACAGCACGAATACAGTTGATGAGATTTTACGTAGATATTCCTATTTCTTCGAAGGAAGTAATGTCCTTACTTTGGACATATGGACCTGACTTCTTTTTACCCACGACGTACGGAGAAGGTATATGCGTTTATGGTGTTTGTGCAAACCAATGTTGCCATTTATCTCCAAAACGGACTATTAGTCCGATTTTAGTGCGGTTTTCAGTAATGGGTTCGTGGTTGATTGGTGCTGGTTCTTAGATGGGCGTTACGGTTGTAACCTACTAGGGGGCGCTGCAGTAAACGTTTGTTTGTGCAAACCAATGTTGTGGTTATCTCCAAAAGTACTTGTCCGATTTTTATGCGGTTTTCAGTAATGGGTTCGTTTGTTGCTCGTTTTTGCTGAGTTGTATCGTACTGTCAGTTTGAAACTTTGCAGTTATATATGGTTTACATGTAAATACTATAAATTAGTAACTTTAAGCTGATCTGATGCTGAAGCCAAGAGGTGGATATTGGAACTCTTCAATGGCTACTAGCAAACTCTTCGTCCTTCGCCCCTTTCATAATAGTACGAATTCTGCATAATTTTTGATGTTTCAACGTTCCTGAAAATAATGTATTCATCTTCGATACAGCAATGTTTGCACGTATACTATAAGTAGTGAACGTTTGCTCATAACTTTGATTTCTAATTACTTATTATCTAAACCTTTATAAATGGTTCAAGATTTGATAAATGGTAAATTTATCAAATCTTCAATCATCGAATATCAAGACTTGAGTTGCGAAACCAAGTATCGTTTGCTAGTATTTAGTATGATAAAGTTAAACATTGAATACATTATACACAAGGTTTGACACAGAGATATCAGTGTGTATTCTTATCTTGAGTTGGAAAAAAAAGGCAGACATAAACAGTCAACCGTTTCTTATCTAAGACATCATATGTACTCGTCCAATAAATGTTATTAACACTTTGTTTTGTTATTAGTTGAGAATAAATGTTTAACAAATTTATCAAAATGTTATGTAATACAAGTCAAGTTTGTACATTATGTGTCTGTATATTTCTTAGTTTTAGTCTAATAAATACATGTAAGCAATTAGCTGTTTTGATAGAACTTGAGTTAAGGGATACTTTTACACCAGAAATGGGCCGCTAATTTAGACATAAATCACCGATAGGATGGCTGGGATTTTGATAGATAGTTAAGATGTCGCGCCGACAACGTCACATAGTATTATCTTTTCTTTGCAAAATAACTTATCGTAGCACAAGATATAAATGATTTTTTATACTCCCAAGGCGATGTGTGAACAATAAAAGACGTAACCGCACTAGGCAGGTGCTTCTACGTCATCTGATTAACATTTACTCTGACACATGTCCTTAACTTGCATCCTCAATAAAAAAACCGGAGTGCAAGTCTGACGAACTCACCAAGGGTTCTGTACAATTTATGTGTAACTAATTCGTCCATTTCGGGAATCGATTACTGAAGAATTTTTGCGCATCTTTGCAAGTATGTATGTTTGAAAGACAAAGTCAAAATATAACTTTATAATTGCAAAAAAAACATGATCATAACAATAACTTATCGACTTTATTCCTTCATTTGCACTGTGAGACCTTGCTTCTTGCCAAATTTCATGTTCTAGGTCAATGAGAATTACGCTATAGGTTATCATTTACTTGCAAAACGTTAAAATATTTATGGCTTAAATAGCTTTCGATAACTTTAACTTAAAAGCTTGATTTCCCAATCTTATCGCGTTCAAAATTTCTCATCTTCTAGGTTAGGTTATATTTGAGTTGAGGAGCGTTGTTGTAGCGTGGATGAAAGTAATTTAATTTCTTCTTAATTGAATTCAGGAGCGACAGCATTATGGTGTGCAGCAGGAGCCGGTCACCTCGGTATAGTGAAACGTCTAGTCCGTGGCGGCGCCAACGTCAACCATGCGACGAGAACGTTAAGCACACCACTCAGAGCCGCCTGTTTCGATGGGCGGCTGGACATTGTAAAGTACCTCGTCCGACACGGAGCCGACATACATAAGGCCAACAAATATAATAACACATGTTTGATGATAGCAGCTTATAAAGGACATTTGGATGTGGTAAGTTCTCTTCATACTATGGTTTTTTTACCCTTTTTTTTGTTGATGGGGTGAAGAATCCCTTCGGATGGCCAACTCCTTGTAGACGCAGGAACCAGGAGTAGTATTTTCACTAAAAATTACTGCGATGACCAGCTTCAGGCGCCCCACCTTGGGGAAGACCCGGACCATGTGATTTCAGATCCTCCTCAATTCTGCTATTTTATGTTAACGCCAAGCCACTGCCATTCCATTGACACGCTATTGAGATGCCACTAACATCGGTCAAAATATCGGTATTCTACTAACAAAAATTCACAGTAGCAATAGACTAGACCAGACAACCGTAAAATGTACCGTTTAACAAATTATTACAAAGACATCGACGACATTTGTATCAGTGACAAGCCATCGGGAGGCCATTGGTCTTAGAATAATAATTGTGCAAAACTACTCCGACGACATTCCGATAAAATATTAAAATAGCAGAATTGAGGCCCAGGCCCTATCCTGGGAGAACTGCAAGCTTTCCCCCTTCAGTAACTCTAACGACGTGGCAATGTACACTTAATGATAGCTATATCTTTAACTATTCATTTTTATATAACTGTTTTTTTTTGTAGTGATTAGTGATACCGACTCCTAAACCAAAGGTCGTGAATTCGATTTACACCCAGAAGAAATGTATGTGTTGAGCACGATCATTTAACCTGGTTTTGAGTGTAACTTATGTATAATACGAATATATTTAGATATGTTTATGTACGGTTATCCATTTTGTACAAGACACTTCCATGTAGGTACTATTGTTTCGCGTCAGCAACTTGTTCATTCATTATTTTGGTTAGTGACACTTGAAATCAGTTTACATTCTACTATCAATTGACGTAGGCCATGATATAAAATGATGAAATGATAAAATTGATAAAGGTGTGTCATTATAGTAGGCTAAAACCTCCTTTTTAACGAGAGGCATATGCCCAGCAGTGGACTATTAAAGGCTGTTGTTGATGATGATGAATATGTATCATTTTATCTTTAAGAATAGTAAAAATGGATAATTGGTAAATGTCCAGTCTAAACACTTACGTTATAGAATACAAATTAATGACTCGGGTAACTCAGAAATAAATATGTCTACATATTAAGCTAACAATACCCGTTGGAGAGTCAGTAGAGACTAAGAGGCTAGTAATACAACTCACTGGCTGTAGTCAGTACACTAGAGGACTCGTATGAAGATGTAATTTTTTGAGATTTGAATATTATACTGTTGATAACGAATATCAAGAGACACCGTTCGCTAAATTCGTAATTCATTCATTACATTAAATAAAATGATAGTCAATTTCATGTATCTCAAATTATAACGTACTATAATTTCCTATATCAGGGTCGGACGGGTCAATAAGTATGTTGATAGTAGTTATTTTATCGCATTTGTTCAGTGCGTGTTAGTTAGAATTTGATTATTTTAATTTTAAATCATACCAATTTTTTTCCTCTGAGCCTTTTTCCCAAACTAGGTTGGGTAGGCTTTAAGTCTATTACGATACGGCTGAATTTCGAATTTTTACGTGGAGCTACTGTCATCAGACCTCCACAACCCAAATACTGGGCGATATCGAAGTTCAGTAGAAAGACTTGTCGATCTTGTTAGAGCTCCAACTACCCGTAACTATTGCCACTGATGTTTGTATAGCAACCGCGATTGACGGCTGAACGTGCTCTCCGAGGCACGGAGGGGTCTTAATATGTTAAGAAAGGTCACCCATACATATACTGACCTGGCGAGGATTGCTTAACTTTGCAATGTGTTAACCTGCTCGGTTACCCCTTACTCACGAGCCACTTATATACTGCTAAATGTTGAACACATATTTCCTACCGGGCTTTTTGGGAGAGCTCGGGTTTTTTCGAGTTACAACTATAGGTACGCTGGTAAGCGCGTGACTTGCTCCAGCTATTGCTTGCATATGCAATGTGCCTTTTCACCATTGCCTTCCCTTCTTATTCACCTTTCCTTTTAAGATACACTTAATTTGCCCATTTAACTCCTAAAATGCTCGATTGACAGTAATAGGCGTGCTTCCTATTACGTAAGTGGTACCGAAATCATAGTTGGCAAAATGTAAGCATTTAATTGCAAAAGAAATTGTCCTTGTGGTGACGGATTAAGAATACGGAGTGTTCATTCATCACGTGGGTTTCGCAAGAGCCGACTAAGAGAGCAAACTACAAAGGACAACAGTACCGCCAAGAGAAGAAAACTTGACACGAAGACTATACCAACCCGCCAGGTCAGTGTGGTATAGTAGGCCAAAACCTCCTTTTTAAGGACCACCAGCAGTAAAGGCTGTTGATGATGGTGAAGCATTTAATACGCCTCTATCTACCCCTTCTGGGTTATGGGCATATGTATGTGTGTGTGTGTGTATATGTAAGTGTAAAATGAGAGAGTAATGTAGCGGAACACATGATTGGAGACGAGAGTTTTATAATATTATTTTCTACTCGCTGTACCCTGCCACACTTCGATGTTGTACATTATGATTGCATATGGGTGAAAAAAGGGGAACAAAACTGACACGAAAAATGGATAAAAACTAGACTTGCAACGAATATTCGGTTACTATTCGGTATTCGGCCTATTCGGCTGCTTTTATTATATTCGGCCGAATACCGAATATCTACATATTATTCGGCCGAATACCGAATACTTAAATAATATATTTTGTCATTGAGAAATAATTGGTAAAATGAAAAATTAAAATCGATTGATTACGTATATATTCATATTTTCATTTCTGTGATAATCATTTAAGTAGTCCTTGGTGCAGAACACAGGTACATAATCATCTTCTGAATTGGAAAAATGGAGGATTTTATGTATTTGAATTATTGTGGTAATCAAAATTTAGAAGGGTAAGGTTCTTATTTCTTTTATAATCATTTATTAATTAGTCATTGGTACATAATTTAATTCACGTCTGTACAAGTTTTTGGCACTAAAATCCAGCCGAATACTTTTGCCTAATATTCGGCTATTCGGTCAGGGGCCTCGCCGAATATTCGGTATTCGGTATACTGCCGAATATACTATTCGTTGCAAGTCTAATAAAAACCATCTTTAAAGCCAAGCCAGCCAAGGTTGTAGGTATATTGTGTCAAAATTTGAGCTCAATACCTAGGTGCAGAACTTTTCGAGTTTTTGAACCGTACACGAACCAATTTAACATCTTTATATAAATACTCGTAGATATCATTTGGCTGGGAATCATCAATCCCTTTTAATGATTTGTTGTCCCGTGTATATTGTACATAAGAAAAAATATACACGTACATTGTATATTTTTGTTATTTTTTTTAATGATGTCATGGTAAAAATATATACAAGATTACTATTTAAAAACTTCGGGTTATATAATGATAAACTTGTGAACAGACGTGTTCTTTTTGCACACGAAGTTAAATGAAATGTTCGTTTTGCGCCCGAATGAGCTGTTTTGCACACGAGTACACGTTCTCAAGGTCGTAAGATACCTTTTGTGGAACCCCTGCCTATTATCACACGTGATTTTCTTCGCACTACAACTAGCCATTGACGGCGACATTGTTCGTTTTATTGTGAATTTTTCAATAAACTTTCTATCCCTTGTTTTTTTTTTTCATGAAAGTACCCTCACTTTTTTGTACCCTTAACAAAGGGTTAACAAACTTAAAGTTCATCTTTATTATTGTTTTTATTCACGAATAAAGAAAAATTTATTTGAATATTGATTGTATTACCAATTACGTAATTATTACTAATTATAACAATGTAACCTTATTCCTGTCAATCATATTTGAGCTAAATTGAGTTAAATTATGATTCAATTAAATACATAACTTATTATAACTAAATATTTTTCAGTTTGAAACTTGAAAATTATGATACATATATTTTACATAACCAAATCTTTATTACACAAATGATTGTTTTTGCACAGAACGTCATTGTTCATTTTCACTACACAGACATATCGTACTCCTTGAGTTTTGTTGTTTCAAAGAAGCCCATTTTTTTATTTATTTTATAGTCAACTGTCAAGTCAATGACGTAATGATGAACTGTCTGGGAACTAGAACTATGTTTGACCGAACTATTTAGGATGTATGTGGAATTTGAGATCGTTTCTGCCAGTATCAAGACTTGACCTTCGTTTATTCTCCGATAAATTCAATACTTGAAATAATTTTACTGAAATTCATCATTTGTTGAATAGTTAAAGCTAGAAAGGTTGCAAACAAACCTTCATACGCATTTATACTACTAAAATTAGGATGGTATAATTCAAAAATACTATTTGTATGTTACAGGTTCAGTTCCTCTTAGACAGTGGCGCTCGAGTCGACGAGCGCGCACTATGTGGCGCCACAGCGTTGCACTTTGCAGCCGAATGTGGCCACGCCGCCGTCGTATGCGCACTCATCGACCACAACGCCAAGATTCTCACAAACGAGAATGGTCAGTGCTTTACTGCTTTTTTTTGGATACAACACTAAGGTCACAGTTCCTGCCCAAAATGCACTATATCATCCGGTCCTCTGTACTTTCTTATTCCAGCTACATTTTAGAATCGTCAATCCATTTGGCATCTGGGGGACCTCAATAGGCTATTTATAAATTAATTAGCCTATTAAGGTCTCGACTCAGTACGCCTCAGTAGTGTCTCAGTACTATTTGCAACACTAATAACCACTTCTGCCTATAACACTGAATAATATTACAACATGTACACACGGGAAACGAAATACCTGGTTAGCAGTACGAAATAACTGTGATTTTAATTAGTTATTACTAGAGAAATTTAAATGAATGAATCCGTTGCGTCTGAAAACATTCCCAAACAGTTTAAGTGTCGGGTAGGCGTTGGGCTGAAAAACCCTTTGCAATCCTTTGCAATTTGGAGTCGGGGCAATGTGTAAACATTGCCCCGACTCCAAATAAAATGAGGAACAAGTCAGAAAGATGACAAAAAGAATCACAGTATAGTTACTTTTTTAAGTTCCTATATCTTTGAATTATGTCGTATCAGATAAACAATCCGTGTGGTGATGGATTAAGAATTCGGAGTGTCACCACCGCTATTCATCCAGTAATATAATAAATATAAGAGTCGACTAAGGGAGCGAACTACGCAAGACAACAGCACTGCATAGAGAAGGAAAACTTGATACAAACCTTATACCAAACCGTCTGGCCAGCGTGGTATAGTAGGCTAAAACTTCCTTACTAATAATATTATTATTAATAAGTGGATAAGAAATATTATACAGCCCTGCTTCCCAAACTAGCGCGAGCTGTGAGTAGGGAGTCAGTTCCTTCCCAAATACAAGGAGAACAGATAGTTACAATAGTAGACACAATTTACTTTAGTTAGATATATTTGTGTGGGTGTGTGTAAATCTATATGAGGGTGTGTATGAGTGTGTGAGGCTGCAAGTGACGGTATGTGTTTAAGGATGTGTGTGGCTGGTGATGATGAGATAAACAAAACCAAATTCGCAACTATCGTATTAGGAATGATACCATATGTCTTCCTAAATGTAGGTATGACCCCGCTGCAATGCGCGGCGGAGCGTGCGCGGGCGTCCGTGGTGGAGATATTGGCTGCACGGCCCGAAGTCTCCCGAGCACAAGCCATAGAGGCCTACGAGCTGCTAGGGGCTTCCTTTGCGAATGACAAGGAGTACTACTGTCTCAGAGTAAGTTATAATAACGTACTTTTATTTTATTTTCGGTACCTGCGACTTCGTTCGCGTGGAATTTGAATTGAAAATGTTATTAAGGCCTCGGGTTCGTTTCCTTGATCGGGAAAAATTAAAAGGGTTTATCTGAAAATTATAAAAAATAAAAGAAACGGAAAAAAGCCTAAGTTACTCCTTAAATAGATAGCTACCTGGTGGTAAAATTATTATTAAATTTGGTCAAGTCCATTTGAAGATTACCCGGAAGAAACAGACAGCCAGACAAAAAAATCTTTAAAGTGGTTTTTAGGCATAGGTATCGTGCAAATAACCGAGTGATCATGAAAAATACCTATTATTTTGGCATTACAAACAAACACTTCTATTTTATTTATTTGTATAGATTAAAACAGTATACAATTAATAATTCTGAAGACGGCAAATAAAAATTTCGAATTGATTAATTACCCAATCTACTGGCTTAAGAATGGTGAATCGTAGATCGATGTAATGACTAATTTAGCAACGCAGACTAACCCTAAACCGCTGGAGCTACAAACTTGAAACTTTAGCAGCTGAAGCTTTCTATGTTGAAAGTACCCACTAAGAAAGGATTTTTGGAAATAAGGGATTAATGGTTGTTCAATCATTAACATAATAACGAAGACGACCGGATGGCGTAGTTGTTTGTGTAACGGACTGCTATTCTGAAGGTCGCGGGTTCGATTCCCGCTCAAGTCAAACATTTGTGTGCATGAAAATTTATTGTATGATTTGGTCTGGGTGTTTCTATGTATATGTGTGTATATGTATATGTATTTACAAAAAAAAAGTAAATACATATGTGTATTTATGTCAGTGTACTAGTGCCCATAGTACAAGCTCTGCTTAGTTTGGGACTAGATGGCGTTGTTTAAATGTGGTAAAAAAAAAAAAAATTGCATCACCCAGCAACAGCATCTATGTCACACGCAGTGCGGCGTAAAGTCGATGCACTGTCAACATTTCGGCATCGGTCATTACGGTGCCAGCTCGATACTTAGGTTGTGTTTTAGATAGGCTTTCGGTGTTACACGTACGAGTGCTGATTGATGTACCACGGTTGCCGATCCGCACCCTTACAAGGGTTGTATGGAGGCATTTTCAAATTTAGAAATAATAAATAATTCGCTAGTAAGTGATAATTATATAGAGGACCTTATTTATTTGTAATACATAACATGATACAGGCAACCATACCGGGACCTGAGCGCCTAGTGTGAGTTTATTTCCATCATCAACTCGCTTTTGGCGGCGACCGCGTTCTGCGCTTTGATTGGTGAAGATTTCAGCTCGGGCAACGCCTAACGCGGTCACCGTGACGATCGAGCTGATGTGAAATAAACACCCACTAGGCCCTCAAAGTTATGTGTTTGTCACGTGGCGTGTGTGTGTCCGTAAAATTGCACTCCGTCAACATCAACAACAATATAATTTGTAAAGCTTTAATGGAATTAGATTATTTGATTTTGACAGTTGCATATCAAAGTGTAACACAGTTATAATAGTTTCAAGTTTATGACGTTACACTGATGATATCTCGATAAAAAAACTGATATTGTGTTCATTATTGATTTATAAGTCACGACACACTTGTCAATCAAATAAGTTGATAAGTAGACTAAATGAAATAAATATTGGTTATCTATAGATAACTATAGGAACTACTAACTATTCTTTAATTGATTAAAAAAGTCATCAATAAGTACTATTAAGGAATAGTTTGCTTATATTTTGATATAGTAATACATAGTTTATACTATTTAAAATATGCCAAAAATATACAATTATCCATACAAATAAATAAAATTAAAGTGTCTGTTTGTAATCTCAAAATAATAGTTTTTTTTCACGCTCACACGGTTATTTGCACGATATCTATGCCTGCCTCTGTTTGTTCCGGGTAATCTTCTAAACGGGTGCACCGATTTTGAAAATATTTTATCACTAAGTAGCTGTCTTTATAAGGAGTAACTTAGTCTATTTTTTCCTTAAAATTTTTGTCCGGTCCGCGAAGGCAGAGCCACTAAGGCAGAGCTTGTCGAAATCCACGCGAACGAAGTCGTGGGTACCAGCTAGTTGTTAGCTAGTTATTAGTTTTAAGATTAAGCTGTAGGTACAAACAAACCATGAATAATTAACTTATATCTAGGACAGAATATATGTAGGTATATATGTATTGGATTCGAAATATAATGAATTTGATGAACTATATATATATATATATGTACATAAATGTATTTGACATGTATTTACATTAATGTTATCTGCTATTTTTACTAGCACGTGACGTGCTAGTAAAAATAGCAGATAACATTATACTTCTAAAACAGTACATATGTACCACCATAGAAATAGAGGCACTTTTCTAATGTTCTATGTCAGTTGGCTAGGACATGCTAAATAAAATTGTTCTAAGTTGCAATAATATATTTGTTGTTACATCATCAGATGGCATATCAGTACCTGCACAGAGCGATGGCGATGCGATACGACACAAGATATGGATTACTGCTCAAAAAACCCGCCGAACCCATACCTGCGTATGATAATTGGAAAGAAAGTACAACCATAGAGGTATGTGTCTGTAATTATCTATCTACTTATTACGTGTTAACAACAATGGGCTTGGTGAAAATATCTTATTAAATTGCAAATATCTCTTCAATGAATATTTTTTATTGCCCACTGATAAGATCATATTACAAAGTTATAAAAAAAACTAATTTAGTTCATAAGTGAGTATGACGTCATAATATTCTGACGTTTAGTTAAACGTCAGAAAGTTATGACGTTTGTTGTTGTACCGAACAAATGTTTTTCCTTCCTTTTTTTTCAATTTACATCATATTCATAGTCAAAATAATGGTGTACCCGACTGATCAATGATCGATAAACATATATTTTGTTGAAGTTACTGCGAATGTTGTACAGATGCGACAGATCAGCATGAAAAGCATGATTTTTAAATATGAAATGTATGGTATAGGAGGTGGAAGCTCTAGTGGGCAACTCGCACGCTCTCCACATGGAAGGTCTGGCGGTGCGCGAGCGCGTGCTGGGCAAGCGCTGCCCCGACCTGCCGCACCCCATCGTGTTCCGCGGCGCCGTGTTCGCGGACGAGGCGCGCTTCGACAAGTGCCTTGCGCTCTGGAGACATGCGCTTGCGCTTCGACAACACAACGAGGTCAGTGGTACACACACCGCTCTGGGAAACTCCTGGTACCATTAAGCAATAGCATCCTTAATACCGCTTCGTACATCACTCTTCAGTGTTACGTAATGATTTATGGGGGTTTTCACAAGAAAAAAGTATGTATTTAAGGCTGAGCTGGCTGAGAGAAACTTCATAATTTTTGGGGAAAGTCCCTAAAAATCTGAATTGCTCTGCCTCTTGGTAGATGGTTCTCTAATAATATAAGTCTTAAGTAAATAAATTAAAATACTATTTAATATTTATTTCAGGTGTCGGTAGTCAAAGATCTGCTGCGATTCGCACAAGTATTTTCTCAAATGATCCACATTGGAATAGAACTACCACTTGTTCAGGTAAATATAACATAAAAAAATGACAAATTGGGAGAAAAGATACTGAATTGTTTATCTGTGTTTATTTTTATATGAATGTCTTCTGGGATGTAAGATCCACAGATATCCGTGGGAGAAGACTGTAGATAGAGAGATAACTCTTTATTGTACAAGAAAAGAAAACATAATTATAGAATAGTGTACATTTGTATGAGTCTTATAATCTAGGGACAGTTTATATAACTGTCCATTTATCAAATTATCGATTTATTGTATAAAAGATAAATGTTTAAATATGTAGTGATTTATTAATATTATTATTAATAGTAACTCACTATATATTATGATATTCCTGTCTGTCTTTCTAAAGAGATTGAGTTGAAATATTTTATATTATTAATCTTGAACGTCTGTGTTACAAGAAACGTTTTTGTATCCGTATCGTATCATCATCAGCCTTTAATAGTCCACTGCTGGACATAGGCCTCTCCTTAGAAAGGAGGTTTTGGCCTACTATACCACGCTGGCCAGACGATAAATTTCATATCAAGTTTTCCTTCTCTTTGCAGTGCTATTTCCTGCTTAGTTTGCTCCCTTAGTCGGCTCTTACGGCACCTACGACACTCCGTATTCTTAATCCGCCATCACACGGACAGTATCCTTATCTACATAATCATAAAAAACGCTTAATTTCAGGTTTGTTTTGTATTGGAAGCGTGTGCAGAGGAATTACATCGTGGCACTAAGCGGTTGGAGAAGCCACAAGCTAACCACGACCCAGAGTCTCTAGTAGTATGTATCAATACACAATGTTCTGTCACCGTTCATCTCATGAGACATAAATTTTAACATTTATGTAGCCTAGGATTCTTAATAACACTAAACATGTGAGGGAAATGTTCTGTTTTTTAGAATAATAGTCGATTATAATTGACTAAACTTTTTTAAGTTACAGTTTTAGTGGTGTCAAAAACTTTGGATTATTTAAGATACGTAAATAAGCTGTCAGCTTCCGTTTTAGTTACTGAGATGTATTTTGAGAGAGGTCTGCAATGCGCTTCTGACTCCTAAGATGCATTCGTTTGCTTCTATATCATAAAAAAAGAGAACTGGTTTCTACCTTCGGAGGCACTGATTAGTTCTTTGGCTTTATCATACACAGGTTGTTTGATAACGCTCCAAAATTTTGACTACACCTTTTGAAACATTCTGTATGTATTTTTTTATTTGTGTTACAAGGATAGTATTACGTTAGTATAGTTATGTTCATTTTCACACTTCATTATGACAATATCCACAATCATGTGCGTGGTTCGTAACGAGTATTGACGCGTAGGTTTTGGTGTGCACCTTCATATTGCAGGAGGAGTACGAGAGCAACGTGAGAACAGCTCTCTACCTTGTGGCTGTGGCTGCCAGACTGCTAGAGAACGATGGGAATAGTGAGGTATGAATGTACGGCTTACTTCTTAGGGTTTAGACAGGAACAAGAGCTTGCTACTTGCTTCCATCCTTATATAGCTCTTAACCTTCTGCTACTGTCATTAGACCTCTATAACAAGTCTTTCAAAAACACAAGAAAAATGTGTCCTAAACAATTCGCGTTGCGTTTAGACTGAACTCTTCACCGATCAAAACGTCGAACGCGGTCGCCGTCGAGAGTGAGTAAAATAGACTCGCGCTAGACCCCAAGGTGTCCTCATATAACGCAAGTACTAAGTAAACTATGAAAGTAATATGATCGTTCAGAACTATGATAACTACCCTTGGTAACCTCTTTATGGTAAAAATATTACCCTTGATCATCATATTGTTACGAGCGAGGTATACAATAAATAAAAGTTGTCGGTTAATTACTTTTATTGCACTGCATTTACTAACACTCACTATAACAAACAAGAAATCACTATAAAATTCGTTAGTCGCACTAGACATAGTATCGTTATAGGACACAACGAATTAACACTTCGGTGTTAATTCGTTATGTCGTAAAACGATACTGTGTCGTACGGCTAAAAAGCTCCGCTTTTATAGCGCTGTCGAATTTACTAGAATGATCCCTAATATGTGATAGTCCGTCTCAGACAAACAAGAATATTCTAGCATCAGTCACGCGTTACTTGCAGCGCCATCTAGCGCTGTAAAGATCATAATTATTAATCACAACCTTAATAGTTGTACTTTACTCGATACTAGATGGCGCTGTCCTCCACATTTTATACAATTCTGGTACAATCGAACTATTTAATCCTATGGCGTAATAATATTAAGTACGAATAAGTCCTTTAACTTTTAAATTGAACGTCGTACTGTCCTCAAAATTATTTGTTAAGTTTGTTAACATGTCTAATCATTTCTATCTTTCCATGTTCAGGACACCCAAAGGTCCGTTCGTCGTGCGATCTTCGGCCTGCGCAAAGTGCGTCTGCACAATGGACAAACTCTTTTGCATTTAGCGGCGGACAGGCGGACACCAGTCGACGACTTCCACACCAGCGACGTGTGCCAGTCAGTATTTAAAATATTAAGAAAATGGTTATTAATTATATTTTAATTTTAAAATTCCTACTAAAACTACGACTATTACTATACACTTTAAACGTACTACTATACTATAATTCGTAGAAGACATCTTAATGTTTTCTTGTTTAGTAATTTTATTTTTAAAATATAATGGAATAATTCGTACACTTATTTAAAATACGTACATTAAAAAGGTAAATCTTTTCTTACTTACTTTCTTATTTAATCAATAGTTAATAATTATATACGAGGATTGTTTAGTATTTCATAAATTAAGTAACCCGCTTTTAATGATAAAGAACGATATCGTTTTATCGCCAAAACAAAGTTTATGTAAGTAAATTATTTTCAGACGGTGTGCAATCCACGAATGATAAGAGATAATTATTTGTGGAATGCACTCCACGATCGATACTATTTTCGTTCGTTTAGAACTTCACTGTTAAGGTATCAACGTGTAACGTATGAGTGTGTGTGTGTAGGTTCCCGTGCATGCGCACGACGCGTCTGCTGCTGGAGTGCGGCGTGGCGGTGGACGCCATCGACGAGCTGCGCCGAACTGCACTGCACCAGGCGCTCATCTCCTATCAGCTGATACCAGGTCAGCCTGAACCGTTTAGTAATTTTTTTAAACATTATTTGAAATGTGAAAGTGAACAGGTTGTGTGTGTGTAGACGAACGCGAGCAGTGGAGCGAGGCGCTGCGGGGCGTCGTGTGTGAGCTGCTGGCTCGTGGCGCTCACGTCGACGCCGTGGACGCTAATGGGATCACACCGCTTCTCGCTTCAACTGGTGGTATGTAAACCCGAAAATGGTCGTTATCGTTAAATTAATCATCATTTTGGTACTTATTCCATCATTCGATGTTCATGACGGTAAGCAGTACTGTGTTTTTTGTTAGCAATAATAAAATGTAATGTATTAAAAATCATTTCTCGACGTCAGCTTTCTATACTGTTTTTTGTATTTTAATGATACATTAAGGGCCTGTATTTTAAAAAGAAGTGACAAGTATCGGTTGAACTCTGATTGCCTGAAACTAGTTTTAAGTGCAGATCAAAACTTAAGTATCGATCTTATTATAGAACGCGTTTTAAGTTTTATTCAGTTGAAACTAGTTTCAAGTATTGATTTGAACTTATAGTCTGTTTTCGATTACGCTTCCGCATGAATCACATTATTATTCCGTATTACGCAGTTAATTATTTAAAAAATAAGTAAATGTTTCGTAGTTATTTTGAAACAAATCATCGTAAAACATATTCATTTCCTTTAAAATTCTCTAGAAATCACCGCTTGAAACTAGTTTCAGCTTGTCTCACGTAAACAAAGATCACAGCTGTCAAAATCTATACCTGAAAAAAATCGACATAAACATTGTTCTAAAATAAGCTATCACTCACTTAAGTATGTAATATAATAAGTGAATCTCATTTGAAGTGACGTGCAAATATAAAATCTACTTAAACTTAGTTTTAAGACTAGATTCACGACTGAAAGACCTTTTAAACTACGGGCCTAAGTATTTTTGAGTATAAAAAACGCAACACAGACCAGAAGGCACCGCAGGGCAGTATGAGCTATATTCTCATTCTGAAGGGTCGTTAGTGGGGCTACAGTAAAAGTCATTAATTTTTAACTTATGATCCAAACAAACAATGTCATATTTGTTACCAATATTATTTCGTCGTAAGTCATTCTAAGCTTAAATAGAATTATGATGTTTGTGAGGTGGTAATAGAGGCTTGTGTGGTGGCGCAGGTCCGGCGGAGCTGATAGTGCGGTCGGCGCTGCGGCCGCGCCTGTCGTGCCTGGCGGCGGGCGCGCTGGCGCGGGCGGGCGCGCGCTACCGGCCCGCGCACGTGCCGCGCGACCTGCACGCCTTCCTCGCCATGCACGGCGTGCGCGCCCACCGCGAGCCGCCGCCCCGACCCGACACCTACGCGATATACTCCGCAGAACTTTCTAATCTCTACTGATTTACCTATATATTTGCCATACTCCAAATTTGATAATAACCGATACGGCTACGGGAGTATTACAGTTTGCAGTTAGTGCCCATAATTATCTCAAAAACAAAATAGACCACCTTCATGAGACGGTGGTTCTTCTTGTCTATGCGTTCTATACTATGCTCTATACCAAAGACTAAACGTAACTCGTTGATTTTGCCTCTTAACGTTAGAATGTTATATAAAAAAAAATAATCCTGTCTGTGTAAATATCGATTACGCGATGCAGTACAACTTTAATAATATTTCTTTTCTCGCCATACAAAATATTAGTGCTCGACGTAACCTCATCTGTAGTCCTTGATGATATGCCTTCACATAAATAGAAATTACGCTTCCTAAGACTTATTCAAACTCCTATAGATAATGTCTAAATTATACTTTTAAAAAGTAGATTTTATTTGTCATCACCTGTCTTATTCTAATCTTATTGTATATTTAAGAAGTAAAAAGACATTCAAGTGCATATGTCTTTTTAATTGTACACTGTTGAAGCTATAACTGAAAAAAATATGATCTTAAAATTATTGCGCGCTGTCTGTTTGAAAACAATTTTACTGAAATCTTTCTACCTACTGTAGTAAAGCTTGGCTTCGTTAAACACTATACTATCTACGAATACTTTACAGAAATATGAAATTGAAAATATTAGCCTTAATAGTGGTTATAAAACAAATAAACTGTTTTAATCGACGTAAAAAAGGAAGTCTTTTATTAGACTGATATTTTTTTGTGTTTAATGTTATGCATTATATTTGACAAACCGATTTCATTTTTTTTCAATGAATTAATTCTTTTCAAAGTTTAAATAGGACTTTCTATTTAAATTAAACAACAATATTCCATCTCTAAGGATGACAAATACAAGGACAAGGAATATAGCTTATTAAAATTTAACAGTTTGACACATTAAAAGTCGATGATAGCTTAAAAAAATTAATTGTAATACAACAGATCTTAATATTTTCAAATTGATATTAATATGATATTTTTGATCATCTTTTTTACATAAATCATACCATAAATTTCGAACTACCATAGACTAATATCAGATGATATCTAATACGCTTTGATAAGCTTCAGTAATTTCTTTTTAAAAATATATGTAGAGTGGATAATTGAACAGAGGGCTTTGATGTGTTCAAAAATATTGTCTTTAAGCACGGCTCAAAAGTAGAATAGTGACGTGGTGAAATCGACTAAACGGAATCGATTACGTTGTAATCGTAGGGACGATGTATTGTGATAATAAAATAGATTAATTAGGTTTAAGATTAGAACGAACATCGCTAGTGTTGCTTTGTTAAGGCAAATTATATCAGCTATGTTAAATGTTTTGTAGGGTTATCTTTGTTTTGTAGGGCGTAAAGGACTATTCTGACAATGAGACATGGATATAACTCCGTCTCTTACGCCCTTTGAGCCTGATAAAGATATTTTGAGTTTGAGTTGAGTTGAGTTCAAGGTACAGTTTGTTTCATAGAGATATATATGGATATTGCATTGTTCGTATGAGGCTCTTTCTGCTAAAAAGAATCATAACAGCATGCTATCTCTGTCTTTACGGTCGATATAGAAAGAGCCAACATAATTGTTATGGTACGTTGCTGACATTGTATATAGATATATATAAAATATAAATTACACATAGTTTTTAATAAGTTAAATTTTAAACGCACATTTCAACGTACTTTTATGTACTATTGAAACAATTTTTTCGTTTCCTTTGAATTGATTTTAAATATCTTGTTAACTAATATTTTATGACTGCTAAAAAATTTATGATTTTAAATTTGGTTCCTCTATTAACTTTATATTGGGGTTACCCAAGCCTTTGATCCTTTAGGCCTGTTTTCGCTTAAAGTTTTTCTGTTGTTGTTTAACTACAGTTTATTTTGACAATTATATTTTTCTTTGTAAATTTTTGAGTATCGTAATATCTGAATTATGGAGGTTAGAGGTTAGCATTACCGTCTCTGTATGAGTAAGTATAAACTGTTTATACTTAAATTTTGCAACTGTTACAATCATAGCTATAACGAAAAAAAAAACACTTTGTAGAGGCTATACTTAAAAAAAAAAACAATATCCTAAGTTTTCATACATACGATAAAACTTAATTTTTAACCATTTTTAATTATTTTTTAACAGTCGTCATAAAATTAATATTCATAACAGTTTTAAATTTCAGATACATTCGTATTTCGTTATTTCATACATATTTCTACAGAACATACCTGTATAATGTTTAAAAAAGAAGCACTAATTTGACTTTACAGACAAAAGCCGTAATCAGTGCCCAGTTCGTGCCATTTTCTTTGTCGATACTGGCGCCATAATGGTTTTTTAGCTTGTCGCTGTCAGTTTTATGTTTATATAAGATGGTCTTTCGAGCCTTCATAATTCATACTATGGTTGCTAATGGCCTATAGGACAGTTGATAATAGTTTACTTAGTTCCTTTCACTAGATTAGTATAACACGATCGCATTGAGTGATTAAATTAATATCTAGTCAAAACCTTATTAAAAAAAGTGTTTTTGTTGGTAATATGTTAAAGTACTTTGTTCAACAAAACTGATTTAATGAATATTGTGTTATTTTTTTTAGGAAATTAAAGAAAAGTTTTATAGTATTTTAAAACTAGTAAACAGTAAAGAAAATGTATTTTAATGTGAGAATAAAACAAACAAAAAAGTATGAGGAAAATTGAGAAACAGTCGAGTCCGATTTTTATTTGATCTGAAATTTTGTCTACAATAGTTTACGCCTTGGCACACGTTATTTTGCTCAGAAATGTTCGTCTCCATTAATTAGGATGCTATTGTGGTAATGATGATGTGGAATCGGAGGCGTCATGGCCGGATTTATTTCAAAATACACAACAAAGGCAAAAGGCGGTTTCATGCATGCATCCATGAGTTTGTTTGCCCTTTCTTCTCATAAGGCTAACCCCTTGGAAACGGGCGGTTGTAGATGGGCACAGATTTTGTATAAATTTAATTTTTATTAAATTTATTTCGCTTACCATTTTACAAAACAGAGATTGTTGTTATTGTGTATCTATGACTAGTCTACATTAAAGACAATTTTTTTTTTTTTTATGAAATAAAGATATTTGGAGTTTGAGTTGAGTTTCTCGGGCCTAGTTGTCCGGCTGTCTAGTTCTAAGACTGCTCGGATCTTGTCTCCATCAAAATATTTATCAGTTTTATATAAAGTATGACCTCTACTTAATTTTTTGCTGCAACCGCTACTGATATACATAGATATGTAAATCTATTACAATATTATTTGCCATAGAATATGTGTATTTTGGTTTCAAATAGCTGACTGAAATTTTAAACTCTAACTGACTTATGCCAGTGATAGACATCTTCTAGAGGAGTTATTTATAAACTAGTACCTCATATTTATTCTAATAATAAAAAATTGACTAACAGAGCCGCATGGTATTTAAAAAATAAAGTTATATATAAATATCAAAGTAGGTGTACTGTAGTAAGTTGTGCGGTAGTAAAAACAAGTTATTAGTATATGTGTACGTTGATATTTAAATATTTCATTATTTTAATAAGCTAATACAAAGATGTTTGATTGATCTCATTATAAAGATAGCTCTTTCAGTACCTACGACCTGCCTGCAATACAAAGGTGCCAAATATTTGTTTTAAGAAATAAAAAGTAATCTGAACAGAATTCAATAGTTTTTCATAGCTACCTAATAACCATTATTCAGGGTTACTTTAAATTTACTGAAAACCTTTGAAGTGCATATTAGTAACATTATAAACAACAACTTTTCTTCTGGACTAACACCGAAAACGAAAGAAAAAAAAATTGTTTCTCCATACAAACTAACAATATTTGATTGGTCATTTGAATGGAGGACCAATTTATTTTTATTTTGACGTTGACCAGAAAAAAAGTTGCTGTTTATAGTGTTACAAACACATACCTAAGAGTTTTACAGTGAATACGAAATCACCTATATAGAATTTCATCTATGTAATATGTATTGAAAGATCCGCCAAAAAAGTCACGGATACGGATACGGTTACGGATCTCTCTTCTCCTTTGGATATCCGCGGATACGGATACGGATACGGATATCCGGCACATCACTAGTACGTATACACATGTATACGTACGAAACGCCTACGTAGATATTGTCGTTGTGTTAGCGCTTCTCAACACACAAATATCCACCTGGGACAAGTCATATAGTCAAAAATAATAATTTAATACCACCCGTGAAATCGCTTTCAAATTCGTTATACCTATTGTAAATCCAAACATTTGACAATAGCAATATATGACGTCACAAGTTATACCACTAGACAATAACTGTCAGTTTTGTCCAGAATGTTATTGTTGCGGGTTTGTTTGTGTATCTTATCGTAGGTACTCGTAAAGTATAATAATGTATAGTATATCTTAAATAACGATAATAATAATATTTTTTGTAAAAGTTTTATTTTTATATAAATTCAGGTATTTTTGTAAACGATGCCATGATAATGTACTTATCCGACGTACCTGAGTACAGAAAGCAATAGTAAAGAGATATTATATGTATATTATAATTATGTAAAATGTTTACAATGATGCGTAAAATACATATCTTTAAAATAAATTTCATTAAATTATTTTAAAACAGCTATCTTTAAAAGTATTTGCGTCTTCGAAGCCCACAGAGGTCATTGGCGGCGTAAACCCAGTCCTAATTTTAACATTTTACATTTAATTGATAGGGTTTAAAACAATCGTAAAAATAGGGTAGTCAGATGCGAATCATGTCTTCAGAAAACAGCTCCTAATTGGGATAATCAGTGAATGCTTTGAACGTCATCACTTATCGGACAACGCCGCCCAAGTCAATTTCACTTTACAGGGGAGTGAAAAAACTCTTCTCATGTGTTCTTTTTTTACTTCTTTTCATGTGTAACAGATTTCCTGTCACTTTCC